TCCCCTTTCTCTTTCTATGCTGCCATGTTTCTCTGCTGCCAAGTTGGGCCTCTCGGCCCTTTCGGTTCTGCTTGGGGGAGGGGCAGGGTTCCTGCTGCCCCCTGCCTTGGGCCCCACCTGGGAACGTGGACACCAAGTGCCTTGCATAGAGCCCTCTTCCCCACCTGGCTTTCCCAGGGCCAGGTCAGGTCAGCTCTTGCCTGGAACAGTCTCCAGACTGTCGGTCGGAGAGAAGCTAGTCCTCACGCCTCCTCCGTGGGGGCTGCTGCAGACCCCGTCACCTCTGCCTCGGGGGGCACAGGAGGGGAGAAGATCTGTTGCCACTTGTGAGAGCAGCAGGGGTTTGTCCTTCAGGACCCAGTCCTGCTTCTCTGGACTCCTCAGCTGAGGGCTGCTCCCCATACCACCCAAGGCTCTGCAGCTCAGCTCCCCCAGCTCCAAGTGTGGGGGCATAGGCAGGACCCCTTTATGGTGCCATATAAATATGTATATGTGTATATAGATTTTTAGGGGAAGGAGAGGGGGAATGGTTGGAGTAGAGACAGCCCTTCCTCACCCCTTTCCCGGGCCCATAAATTGGGGGGAGGGAGGAAAAGGATTTTTACATTTTTAAACTGCTATTTTCTGAACGAAACAAGCTGGGCCAAGAGGCCCCAGGCCCTGTCCTCTGTCACCCACACCCTCTTTGCTTCATTTAAAACATTTATTGAGCACCTTCTCTGTGCCCAGCCTGTGCTAGGCCAACCAGCTGAGTGTGTGTGTGAGGCGAGGGGGATCTCTCTCCACCACCCACCCCATACTTCACCCGTGCCTTTAGGGGATCTGTAGGAGGTGGGACACTTGCCAAGCTACACCCCTCCATGCCAGCCCACTCTCTGCAGCCCCCTGCCTCATCCCCAGCTGGCTGAGGGCTGCTCCCAGGACATCTGCCTTCCAGCTCTGCCTCCTCTACCTGGAATCCCTCCCCCAAATGCTGAGTCTGGAGGTCAAGGCCTTGGGCTCTTCCCAGGGCCTAACAGTTAGGGGACCCACATATCAGTGCCAAGGGGGATGTCAAATGGAGATGTCCTTGTTTTCCGCCAACCCCCAGCTGGGGGCGGGAGGGAGGGCATGGCTGGTCCGAATCTGATGACCCTCCCATTTAAGTGCCTTCTCTGTGATAGAGAGCCCCTCAGTGTGACGCGAACTAAAGAGAAAGCCAGACCCCCACCTGCCTCTGTGGTTATTGGGCGGTGAAGTGGGGGCGTGACTGTCCCAGGAAGCCTCGCTCCGCTTCAGCTGACCCTGCGGAGGGAGGAGGGCGGTCCTGGAGGCTACCCTACCCTCCCGGGCTCCAAGTGCGAACGTGCAGGAATGACCGAGTACTGTCTAATTTCCCTGCTTCTCTCGGCCTCAGTTATCTGGTCTGCAAAATGGAGATCGGCTCCCTGCAGAGCCGCTTCGGTGCTGCCCCTGGAGACCTTAGTAAGATTAGCTCAGAGGCTACGCAGAAATGCGTCCCTAGGCGAGGCCCCTGGAAGGTATTTGGAGACGGAAGGGGTGGGGTCTCTGCCCGGAGCGAAGGGGAGGAGTTCGTGAGGCCCCAGAGGGGGTAGGTGGGGAGCGGGGCGGGGTAGTGGGAGCCAAGTTCAACTCCAAACCCAAGACCTTTGAGCGAGGCTGCCGTGGGCCTCCCGCTGCTTCGCGGGAAGGGCTGGCAGGCCGAGGCGTGGGGACTCGGGGGAGACGGGCGCCCCTTCCCCCACCGGCCTCCCGCTGGCCGCGCCCTTGCACGAGCCTCTGGCCCACTTCCTGCCCCCGCCCCTCCAGCCCTGGCAGCACTTCCTTTGCAAAACTGGGCAGCCCCGGGCCCTGGCAGGAAGTGCCCTCCCGCCCCGCCCTCTCCTGCTTCCCACGGTGGCCACTAGAGGCCTCTCCGGCCTCGCCGGGCTCCGCTGCGCCGGGCCCTCGGCGATCTGCCCCCACCCCAACCCTGGGGGCCTGGAAAGATGAACATTTCTCCTTCACTCCTCTCCCGGGGGTTGCCCGCCTCCCCCTTCTCTCCCCACCCAACACACACAGCGGAGAAGGGAGATCTGCCCCTTCCAAAGGTTGGGCCCTGCCCCCCACCCCCAACCTCTCATCCCCTTGTGAATCCAGCCTCAAGCCTCCCTCCTGGTGTCCCAGATGCTAATCTGCCCCCCAGGTCTCTGAGGGTGACCTGCACGTGTATGATGCTGCCCCTTTCCTTCCCTCGCCCCCCTCCCTGCTCCTGGTAGGAAAGTGCTGGGAAGCACCGACCTGGGAAGAGCACGTGCAGTTCCCGCAGTTCCATGAGCTCCCGTGTGAGCTGGAGCCTCGGAGCCTTTGGCCCAGTTAAGGCCCAGGTGGCCTGCTTCTGCCCTTGTCCTCCTTGGGGTGCCACTGGGTTTCCTGCTCTCCATGCAAACACTAGTCCCCCAGATTTGCATCCCACAAGCCCACAGAGGCCAGGGAGTCACCAGGGCTCCCAACTTTGAGACCGCAGTCAGCCTTTACCACCCACCCTGCACCCACAGAGTTCAAGGTAACCACATATACCTGCACTTCCCGTGTGCCAGGCACAGTGCCAGGACTGGGGACACACCATGACTAGGGCCTGCCTCTGCTCTCAAGGAACCCACACTCTAGTGTGGAGAAGGACGCCTGAACAGGTGATCTAAGACCTTCAATGCTGTAGATGGAGTTGAGGAAGAACATCGAAGGCCGGGATGGAAGCACAGGGGACACCACCCGGCCTGGGTGGGGATGCAGGATTTGGAAAATGCATCCTGAGGACGTGAGGCTAAGAGGAGTTTGGAAAGGAGGCGTGAGTCAGGTGATGGTGGCCTCAGCAAGGAGAGGCCCCAGAAAGGAAGCCCAAGAGCCAGGAGCCGCCCCAGCAGGGAGTGTGAAAAATGACAATTTTGGAATTGTACACAGCCAGGGGAGATGGGAAATGACGCTGCAGAAGGCAGGAGGGGCCAGATAATGCAGATCTATAGGCCCGCCAAGGCAGTGGCCTTCTCTCTTGCAGGCGGTGGGTGTCTTTGAGGGACACAGGGACACTAACCAGGAAAGAGGTGTGCTCCATCCTGACAGCTTCACGTTGGAAGATAAGTCAGGGGTATGGGACGGAGGACCTTCCTGGGAGGCCACAGCCGTGGAGGGCGGAGAATGGAGAATGAAGACGAACGGGGGCACAGAGGCAGAGTGCAAAGAAGAAGGAAGGATGGATGTGAGCTAGGAGATAAACTTGACAGGAAGCTGTGGCTGGTTGGCCCTAGGGACTGGGGTAGAGGTTTTGGAGATGTCAGCTGCAGTGAAAATGACAGCCTGGTATGGAACAGACATTCACTATTTGCCTGTCACACACGCAAATACACACGCACATACATACACATGCAGAGGAAACAGGCACCTGATACACTCCTGTTGGCAGGAGTGTAAACTGGTACAACCTCTTTGGAGAGTGATTTGACAATACTATTTTTCAAAAGTAATTTTTAGCCCTGGCTGGGTAGCTCAGGTGGTTAGAGCATTGTCCAGATACACCACGGTTGTAGGTTTGATCCCCAGTGAGAGCACATGCAAGAATCAACCAATGAATGCATAAATAACTGGAACAACAAATTGATGTTTCTTCCTTCCTCTTTCTCTCTAAAATCAATTAAAAAAGAAAACCTATCCATATTTTATTTTTATTTTTTTAGCAGACATCCTTTGATCCAGCAATTCCACTGTTAGGAATTTATGCTGTAGAAAGAATGCATATACACATAACTTTGTACGTATCCAATATTAATTGCATCCTTGTTTATAATAGCAAAACACTTGAAATAACCTAAGTGTCCACCAGTGAGGGACTGTAAGTAAATCTTGCTCTATCTATACCAGAGAATACCATGCATGGGGGAAACAGTGAGGTGGAACTATCCAAGCAGATATAGAATGGCCTCCAAGATAGACCAGTAAATGAAACAAAGTAAGATTTATAACAATAGTGTTGGTGTATTCCCACTAAAGAGCAATATAAAGGTAGACAAATATACATATATATTTTTGTTTACTCCAGTAGGGTAACAAGAAGTGGGAATTATGGCTAATCCTGGGAAGTAGTTCTGGAGGACTGGGTGGGACTCATCTAAAATGGGAGGGACACATTTTTACGAACACCTGTTTGTGTTTAGTAAATGTACCAGGTACATTTTTTAATTTTTTTATTTTTTTTATTTATTTTATTTTTTTTTAAAAATATATTTTATTGATTTTTTACAGAGAGGAAGGGAGAGAGATAGAGAGTTAGAAACATCGATGAGAGAGAAACATCGATCAGCTGCCTCCTGCACATCTCCCACCGGGGATGTGCCCGCAACCCAAGTACATGCCCTTGACCGGAATCGAACCTGGGACCTTTCAGTCTGCAGGCCGACGCTTTATCCACTGAGCCAAACCGGTTTTAATTTTTTTAAAGGTAAAAATTAGTTTAAAACAAAAACAACAGTCAATCTTCTAAACATAACATCAAAACAGAACTCAAATTCCATGTCTTTCCTTCAAATTCCAGGCACTAGGGTACAGCAGCGAGCAAAACAGATACTGTGGGGAAAACAGGGTTAAAAAGTAATTACAAAACAAGAAGAATAAGGTGGTAAATAAAGAATTATAAACTTCCGTACTGCCCTGGCCAGCGTGGCTAAGTTGGTTGGAAGGTTGTCAAGCGGCATTGGGTTTGATCCCAGGTCAAGGTGCATGCAGAAGGCAATCGACCCATGTTTCACTTTCACATCAATGTTTCTCTTTCTTCTCTTTCCTCCTCCCCCTCCCCCTCCCCCTCCCCCTCTCCTCTCCCCCTCCCCCTCCCCCCTCCTTCTCCCCCTCTTTCTCCCCTTTCCTCTCCCCCTTCCTCTCCCTCTCCCCCTCCCCCTCCCTCTCCCTCTCCCTCTCCCTCTCCCTTCCTCTCTAAAATCAATAAAAACGTGTCCTCAGGTGAGGATTAAAATAACACTTTTGTACTGTCAGTGCCAAATTATCACCCCAAGATGACTTATGATTGTAAATGGGGGAAAGTGCCTTTACAGTGGAATGCTGGCAGTAAGCAAGGGAGCAAACTTCGAATTACTCATGCTGCGTCAACTTGACTTCATCTATCGCCGAGTCAATGCAATGTGAAGTACACAGCATCACCTTTGCCCGTGCTACTCAACGTGCGGTTCAAGAACCAGCAGGCACATCAGCTTCGCCCGGGAGCGTGTTAGACAAGCAGGATCTCAGGCCCCACCCAGACCTACTGAATCAGATTCTGCATTTTAAAAAGGTTCCCAGGTGATTCTTTGATAGTACAGTTTGAGAAGCGCTGGCCTTCATCAAGTATTCTTGAAAAAACCTGTTTAACCAGGACAAACCTTTAGAGGTACTTTCAGTTTGTGGGGAAAATAGGAGGAAGAGGAACAAATTAAATAAGACACAAAGATTTAGACAAGTCCACAGTGTGAACATTCTACAAGACAACTGTCCTTGACTCAGGTAAGTCAATGTCATAGAAAAAAAGGCTGGGAGACTGTTCTAGATTTAAAATCACTGAAGAGCCCTGGCCGGTTTGGCTCAAAGTTCAGAGCAGTGGTTCTCAACCTTGGCTGCACATTAGAATCACCTGGGAATCTTTTTAAAATCCTGATTTCTGGGCCTCATCCTCCGGAAATTCTGTTTCTTTGTTACTAATGTTGTGGCCCCACCCCATAACAAAGAAACAGAATTTCCGGAGGATGAGGCCCAGAAATCAGGATTTTAAAAAGATTCCCAGGTGATTCTAATGTGCAGCCAAGGTTGAGAACCACTGGTTTAGAGCATGGGCTGAGGACCTTCTCGGTTGCAGGTTCATCCTGGCCTCTGTGGGGCACCTGTGGGAGGTAACCATCAATGTATCTCACATCTCAATGTTTCTCTTTCTCTCTCTCCTCCTCTCTCTAAAAAAATCAATGGAAAAAAAATCCTGCCCTAACCGGTTTGGCACAGTGGATAGAGCATCAGCCTGCGGACTCAAGGGTTCCAGGTTCGATTCCCGTCAAGGGCATGTATCTTGGTTGCGGGCACATCCTCAGTGGTGGGTGTGCAGGAGATAGCTGGTCGATGTTTCTCTCTCATCGATGTTTCTAACTCTCTGTCCCTCTCCCTTCCTCTCTGTAAAAAATCAATAAAATATATATATTTTTTAAAATAAATAAAATATATTTTTTAAAAAATCCTTGGTTGAGGATTAAAAATAATACTGAAGATAAAGGATTAAAAAAAGAATACTGAAGATACATAACAATAAAAGGACATGCAGGATCTTAATTTGATCATGAATCAATAAAAACAGCTGTTAAAGTCCTTGTGAGGACAATTGGAGAAATTTGAACTGGATAGAAGATGATATTATAAATAATTTGTGATACCATTTTCATGTGAAAATTGCATTCCGGTTATTTTATTGATTGATTGTTTTTATTTTTATTTTTAAAAAATATACTTTTATTGATTTCAGAAAGGAAGGGAGAGGGAGAGAAAGCTAGAAACATTAATGATGAGAGAAAATCACTGATCAGCTGCCTCCTGCATGCCCCCCACTGGGGATTGAGCCCACAATCTGGGCATACGCCCTTTACTAGGAATCGAACCTGGGACCCTTCAGTCCTGAGGCCGGCGCTCTAGCCACTGAGCCAAACCAGCCAGGGCTATTGATTGTTTTTAGAGAGAAAGAGGAAGGGAATGAGAGAAACATTGATTTGTTGTTCTGCTTATTAATGAATTCATTGGTTGCTTCTTTTCTTTTTTTAATCCTTATCCGAGGATATTTTTTCAAAGAGAGTGCAATGAAGGAGGGATAGAGGAAGAGGAAAAGAGAGAGAGAGAGAAACATCAATGTGAGAGAGACATATGGATTGCCTCCCGCACATGCCAAACAGGGTTCGAACCTGCAACCCAGGTACATGCCCTTGACCATCAGGACCATGCTCTAACCAACTGAGCTACTGGCCAGGGCCTTGTATTACAGTTATGAAGGAGAATGTCCTTATTCTTAGGAGATGAGCGATAAACTAAATATTTGGGGCTGAATAGCATGGTATCTGCAACTTACACACACACACACACACACACACACACACACACAGCAAATGAGAATTTTTGAGCCCATCAGTGTTTATTGTTATACTATTTTACTATCATTTATATTTTTCTGTTTTTGACATTTTCATAATAAAGAAATTGGAAATAATTTTTAAAAACATAGGTTCTCCTCCAAAATCCTGAGGCTAAATTAAAAGGGAAGCACCAAAGTGGAGTAGAGAACCCATAAATGACAGGCAGGCTACCAATCTCAATGCATTAGCTATATAAGCAATCAACGAATTACTTTAAAATTCATGAAAGAAGACATAGGCAATACATATATTTAAAAATGGTCTATCGCACTGGTAATAAAAAATATATATAAATCAACACAATGCTGATTTTCTTTTTGACATTCAGACAGACATTTTCTTTTTTTTTTGTTTTTTAGAGTAACCAAACTTTATTTGTAATAATAATTCGTTATTGTTGACAGTATTATATATGTCCTCTTTTTCCCCCCATTGATCTCCTCCAGCTCCCCCCCCCCCACCCCCAGGCCCTCACCACCCCATTGTCTGGGGCCATGGGCCATGCATATATGCATACAAAGTTCCTGGTTGATTACTTCCCACCCATTCACCCTCCCCGGCCTTCCCTCCGAGATTCCGCACTCTGTTCCATGCTTCTGTGTCTCTGGATCCACTCTGTTCATCAGTTTATTTTGTTACTTAGATTCCACATATGAGTGAGAGTCATGTGATTCTTGTCTTTCTCTGACTGACTTATTTCACTTATCATGACACTCTCCAGGCCTCTCCATGCTGTCCCAAAGGGTAAGAGATCCTTTTTTACTGCTGCATAGTATTCCATGGTGTAGATGTACCACAGCTTTTTTACCCACTCATCTACTGATGGACACTTGGGCTGTTTCCAGATCTTAGCTATTGTAAATTGTGCTTCTATGAGCATAGGAGTGGATCCATTCTGATTGGTGTTTCGGTTTTTTTTAGGATATATTCCTAGAAGTGGGATCGCTGGGTCAAATGGCAGATCCATATTTAATTTTTTTGAGGAAACTCCATACTGTTTCCATAATGGCTGCACCAGTCTGCATTCCCACCAGCAGTGTTCTAGGGTTCCCTTTTCTCCACATCCTCACCAGCATTTGTCATTTGTTGATGGTAGCCATTCTGACAGGTGTGAGGTGATACCTCATTCAGACAAAGATTTTCTTAAAAACTGGAGCCCAGGGCGGGGAAGAATAGAGAAACAGGCAATCGCCTATCCTCCTGACCTGAACACGGGGCTACCAATTAATGCAACTTTTCTGGAAGGCAGCTGGCCTACTCACATCTTTGACCCAGCAACCCCACTTGTAGGAGTTTATCCTAAAGAAAGAATAATTAATACTCTGGTTTCTCTGCAGATCGTATAAATCTTTCGCCTTTTACTAAAGAAAGAATAATGAATGCAGTCTAATGGCAAAGATTTCATAGTAAGAATATTACCACAGCATTCTTGGTAGAATCGAATAATTGGATATAATTTAGAAGTCTGAAAATGAGCTATTGGTTACAGAAACTGTGCTATCTAATGGACTGCCATGGGACAATTTAAATGAAGTTGCAAAATAACAATCATGTCACAGAAAAAGATATATGTATGTATGGTCATTGGCTTCCTCATTCCCAAGCTCCACGGCCCTTCTTTCACCTCTAGAACTTGTTTGCTAAGCCCATGTCTTCTAGGAATTACTTTTTCTGCCTCTGTAATTTACCCAACAAATGTTCTCTTACAGAAAAAAAAAGTATATATATGTAGATAGATCAATCGATCCGTATATAGGTATCATATACATATAGTAGACATATGCTGTTGAAAGAAATGCTAATAGTGACTTATCTGCAGATTACCTTTATAGTGGAATTACAGATAAGTTTTTCTTTCCTTTTTGCCTGTTTGTACAATTGAATGAACATATACTTCTTTTTATTCATAAAAAAGGTATTATTTTCTTTTTCTTTCTTAATATATTTTTATTGATTTCAGAGAGGAAGGAAGAGGGAGAGAGAGAAAAAAACATAAATGATGAGAGAGAATCATTGATTGGCTGCCTCCTGCTGGGGATTGAGCCCACAACCCTGGCATGTGCCCTTGATCGGAATCGAACCTGGGACCCTTCCGTCCACAGGCTGATGCTCTATCCACTGAGCCAAGCCAGCTAGGGGAAGGGTATTATTTTCAAAAACAAAATCTCACTTGCAGTGTGTTTATGCTTAACAGGCTGCACGTCAGAGCGCTCACACTTGCACACACCTGCACATATGTGCACACATAGAACATCCGGTCTCCATAACTCAGGGAGGTGTCAGGAGGAGGGCCGCCCTCGCCCAGCCCACTGCATCTCACCCTCCAGGAGACCGGAGTTCAGAGGTGACAGGAGAATTTCTGCAGGGACGCAGGCTGGAGGGCAGCTGCCCAGGATGATGAATTTGTGGGCAAAGCCAACTTCTGCACTTGAGAGGGTCGCTCTCCTTTCCCATCCTGAATCCTAGGCCCCCGGGCTCAAGAGGGAATGGAGACTGGCTGCTGGGAGAGGGTGGCAGAGTCCAAAGGCACTGGTTTATGGCAGCTCATAAACAGTCCAGGTGGAGCCTGAAGAGGGTGGGAGGGCAAGAAGAACAATGGCCCCCACTGAGCGAGTGTCATGCCAAGTGTAAGAGACCTCTAGGGTGTCAGGGTCCCATCTGTCCTGGAGGGACCCTGCGAGTGAACCCCTGGCCCTGCATCTCTGGCTCTGGGGCTCCCTTGCCCCAGGAACCATTCCCCCAGGGGAGGAGGGAGGACTGTGGAGCCTGTTCCCTGGCAGGTGCCATCGACCGCAGTGAGGGCCTGGGCCCTGGGCAGCAATGCACCCCATCCCTGGCAGAATGCGGGAGCCCGGGGTGAGGGACTTCGGGGCTGGTTGTCAAGCTGTCCTTAGGCTCCTGGCTCCCAGGGACCTGCTGGGCACCTGCCTCCCTACCCCCTCGGCCATTCTCTCTCTCAAGGGCCCTACCTTTCCTTATATGGAGAGGGCAGTTCCTAGAGGAGGGGGGTGGGGACAAAGGTCGCTCTCCTGCAGCCAGCTCGCCACAACTCCCTGAGATCTCGCAGGTGGCAGCTGCCTTCTCCAGCAGGTAAGGCAACCCTGCGGGGACACAGGGACCATCGGGCCCATCGGTGGTGGGAGAGGACAGGGTCCCTCGCTTCTCTCTGGCAACGTGGGGCCTCCTGAGGGGGAGGCTGGGCGCCCTGGAGTCTGGGAAGAGCCGTGAGCCTGTGGCTCCCTTGGCTTCCAAGTAAAGACTTGTGCAGGCTCCGCCATGGACCCTGCCTGCCGCTAGCCCACGCCGGACCTGAGGAGCATCCAGAGGTGCGGGACTTTGGGACTTAAAATTCTGACAGTCCTGAGCTAGCCAGGACTCACTGACCTCACTCCTCCGCTCTCTCACCTCTTCACCCATTTCTTTTTCATCTGAAGCGGTTTCTTTCTCGGTGTCACCATCCCCCTGACACTCCTAGGATCTCAGGACTCTTGTCTCTTGGGTCCTAGGGTGTGATCAATAGCCATCAGGGGTTGAATGGGCAAAGCAGAGGCAGGGGACTGGGTGCTTGGCCCTGCTCCACGAACTGCCCATCTCCCTTCCACCAGGACCCATTGTCCCCTTGGCCTCACCAGCCACTATGGCCCCAGTCTGCTGAAATGGGAGCGAAGGCAAGAGACGAGTCCAGACTAGGGTCTTGGGACACACTGACCACCCCCTTCCCAGGAAGCCTGCTCAGGCACCCTCAGGGCCGGGGAGGGGGGGGGGGGGCAGAGTCTGTAGGCTGGGGGGCTGGGGCGTGTCCATCCCACTGTTATTATGGGCCCGGGGAAGCAAGAAGGTGTCCTTGTTTCAGGGACAGTCACATCTCTGTCCAGCTCAGACTGCATGACTGAGGACTGAGCTGTGACAGCGTCCCAGGCTCTCTGGGACCTGAACTCTGAGGACAACAGGGCAGCAGAGAAGAAAGGGAAGATGGGACCTGGCTGGATAGGAACCCTAACTCCCTCCAAGGCCCCCAGAATGTCAGTCCCCTTCCATCCCACAGTGCAGTCTTCCAGCTATTCGCTGAGCACCTACTATGTGCTAGGAGCTGGGGGCTGCACAGACAAACATGCCTAGGTCCTTGGCCTGGAGGACCTCGGGCTTACAAACAGGTCGTTTCATCACCATGTGGTCGGGGGACAAGACAGCCATCGGCCCAGATGCTTTGGGGCCCCAGACGAGGGGCCCTAAACTAGCCTGAGGATTCTGAGACAGTCTCCTGGGAGAAATGAGACCTAAATTGAGTCCAGAAGAACATTTAAGTATTAGCCAAGTGAAGAAAGGCGGGAGGGCTATCAGCAAAGGGGACGGCAGGAGCAAGGACAGGGAGGGGAAGGTGAGAAGCAGCATGGGGGGCCTCCCTATAACCACTTGCCCACCCTTGGCCACAAGGAGGCTCCCCTTTATCTGTCCAGGCTGCTGGAGGTCCCCAATCCTGATTTCTCTCTCAGGAGCTTTTTCAAGTCCTGCTTACCTGAATCGCCTCTCTGATGGGCAAGAAGTACCTCCTCGTGTCCACCCTCTATTCCCCTTGCTGTTCATCCTAGAATCAGAGCATGTCCCTGGTGGGACTTCAGAGATCATCTAATTGACCCCCAACCTAGATGAAGAACAGGGCCCATGTTCATACAGCCAGTGTCAAAGAATCTGCCTCAGAGAAAAGGGGATGTCGACAAAGGTGGTGAATGAAATAAAACATTCTCTTCCTTTGCACCCAAATTGGTTGTACTGAGCCAGGAGTCCTGGCAGCCTTGGGTCCCTGTGGGTTGAACTCATGGAGGGGAGCAGGGCCAGCAGGGACACCAGGCAGGACCCAGGCACAAGCTCTGTGCTGGCCATTGGCAGGTGGCTCTGATCTGCTGGAGGGGAGGCTGGGCCCGGAGACCTTGCCCCAAACTCCAGAGTGCCAGGGCGGGGGGTCACCACTCAGGACTCAGAAGAAGGAGTTTCTGAGCAGTAAAAGGCCAGGTCATTGTCCCAAGAGGTGACTCAGAGTCAAGGTGCAGAGATTAGATAGAGTCCAGGCTGTCATTTCGAGGCTGGGTCTGTGGGGCACCCTGATCTTTCATTCATTATGGATCAGTTCAAGGAGCACTCATGGAGGGTAACCCTGTGCCAGGCTGCGTGGTAGGCTCGGTGGGGAGGGGCAGCAAACCAGGGACAAGGACAACTGGGGACCAGGTCCTCCGCCCTGGTTCGTATCAGAATCACCGGGGAGTTTTGAAAGCACCCATGCCTCGCCTCTCAAAAGGCAGAAAATAAAGCACCCATGCCCAGGCCCTACCCCAGCCTAGCTAAATCAGGATCCCTGGGAAGTGGCTTGCCCACTGGAGCGTCAGTATCATTTAAAAGCTCCCCGAGTGATTCTGATGAGCAGCTGAAGTGGAGAACACAGTTACAAGTCAAAACCAAGTGTCATAAACGCTACCATGAAAGAGCTTGGGAAGGGGAGGTTTCTCCCAGCGAGCAGGTGGAGGGTGGTTCACAGTGGGGAGTTCACTCTGTCATTCATCCATCCATCCACCCATCCATCCATCCATCCATCCATCCATCCATCCATCCATCCATCCATCTATTCATCCATTCATCCATCCGCTCAGCCACCCACCCACCCATCTATCTACCCATCCACCCACCCACTCAGCCAGCTAAGTGCTGCACTGTGCTACATGGGGAGGGAGGATTCAGTACTGAAAAAATAAACCTGACCCCACCCTTTTGGAGTCTACATCTTGTGGGCCAGGAGAACAGTGATTGAGGGGTGTTTGGGGGTAGCTGGGAAGGAACAGGAAACTGCTGCATACACTTTTTTATTGTGGTAAAACACACAACATAAGATTTGCCGTTTTAACTACCTCAAAGCCTACGATTTGGTGTCATTCAGCACATTCACAGCATTGCACAGCCATCACCCTCTATCTAACTCCAGTATTTTTCAACATCCCAACTGGAAACTCTGTACCGATAGCAGTGATTCCCAATTTTCCTCCCCCGACAGCCCCTGAAAACCATACGATCTCTATGGATTTGCCTAGTCTGAGTATTTCATATAAATGGAGTCATATCACACAAGCCTTTTGTGTCTGGCTTCTTTCTCTAAACATAATGTATTCAAGGTTCATCTATATTAGAACATGCACCGTACTTTTTGTGCTAAATAATACTCCATTGTGGGAATATGCAACCTTTTGTTTATCAATGCACCTGCTGATGAACACTTGGGATGTTTCTGCGTTGGGGCTATTGTGAATAAGACTTCTATGAACTTCATTTACAAGCATTTGTTTGAACACCTGTTTTGTCAATTCTTTTGGGTGCATACACTTTCCAGCCCTTATTATTCTTTGCTTTCTTTAAAAAAAAACACCACCACACACACACAAACACACACACACACACACACACAACTCTCTGATTTTTTAAAATCAATCTTTGATGAAAATTTTCAAAAAGAAAAATTATTTGAGGCTAGAAGGGCCTTAAGTGATAGGCTAAGGAGAGGGGGCTTTATTCAGAAAGTGATAGGGAGTCAGGTGTTTGAGGAAGAGAGTGACAAGATTAGAAATGAGTCTCAGGAAAAAAAGAAATGGGTCTGGGCCCTCAGCCAATCAGAGCCCAGAGTAGGGAGCCAAACCTCATCTCCCCACTCCTCCCCCCCCAGCTCCCTGGCCTCTGGCACCGTTGGGAGTTCTCAGGGCTGGACTGGAAGAGCAGCACCCGAACTCCAAGCGCTCCCAGCTCCTCAGTCCTTCCTCTCACACCTCTTCCCCCTTAGGCTCGTCGCCATGACCAAACTGAGCGCCCAAGTCAAAAGCTCCCTCAACATCACCACCCCTGGGGTGCAAATATGGAGGATTGAGGTGAGGTCTGCCTGGGTGTGGGGTGGGAAAGAGGACCGAGGGAAGAAAAGGCTGGGGATTATGCTTACTGTCCTCCAATCCTTCCCTCCAAGTGCCCCTCCCTATCCTCAGGCATGGCCTCTTTCCCTGCTCCTTTACCTCCTCCCCTCCTTATATCCCTTCTCCTCATCAGCTTTGTCATGCCCTCCTCCTCCCAGCTCTCTGCCTCTCCCAACTCCTGTGTTTAAGAGTAGAGGAAGCCGGGGTCCTGAGTGGTCCAGGGCAGCCCCTCTGACCTCCCTTCTCTCCCCAGGCGATGCAGATGGTGCCTGTTCCTCCCAGCACCTTTGGTAGCTTCTTTGATGGTGACTGCTATGTAGTCCTCGCTGTGAGTAGGGGCAGGTGGGAGAGGGGGCTGAACAGAGAGCAAAGCCCTCTGTGGGGTCAGGGAGGAAACTTGAGGCAGGGGCAGTGGGAAGAGCTGGCCTGGCTTCAGCCCCAGACTGTTCTCACCAGGTGTGTGCAGGTGCCCAGCTTAGTGGCAGCTCTGTAGGCTCGGAGCTGTAAGAGGCTCTTCCTGCCTTTGGGCCACTGAGCTCCAAGCTGAAATGACCTTCTGTGGATTCATAGTCTCAGGGACCTTCTGAACTAGTAGAATGTCACCCTACTTGAGTCCACATTTCCCAAACTCACAGCCATCTTCATATCACCTTTTTGGTTTTGGCCACATCCTGGTACTACCTGTACTATTAATGCATTTGTATTGTTTCTCAAAACTTTTTAAAATATATATATATTTATAATAAAACTTTTTTAATATATATATTTGTATTCAGAGAGAGGGAGAGTGATAGAGAGAGAGAAACATTGATAAGAGAAGAACATCATTGATCAGCTCCTCCTGCACATCCCCTACTGGGGATCAAGCCCGAAACCTGAGCATGTGCCCTGACCAGGAATCGAACCAGCAACCTCTTGGTTCCTGGGTCAATGCTCAACTGCTGAGCCACACCAACCGGGCATATAACACACTTTTAAAAATTAAATACATTTGTTTAAGAATATAACTCTATATCATCACTGAAGTGGAAAGCAATGTCCCATGTCCCAAACAGAAAGTAGCTATAAAATATTTACATAGTAATTTCATATATACATTTGCTTGTCTATCACCTAATCACCCAGGGACCTCTGCTGGCCCATGCACATGACTTTGGGAAATGCTGCTATAGTCCAGCTCAGTTATTTCCAAAGAGGAGGTGAGCAAGGCCCAGTGGGGAAGCTGCTTGCCCCTTGTCTTGGAGGAAGAGCTGGTGCCACAACTCAGGGCTCATCTGTGGCCCAGCCTGCATGTGCATGGGAGACCATGCCAAGCAGGGAGGCGGGAGAGCGTTGTGGGAGCCCAAGGTCTCAGGCACATTGGACATTCCCTCTCCCTAGATCCACAAGACAGGCAGCAACCTTTCCTATGACATCCACTACTGGATTGGCCAGGCCTCGTCCCAGGATGAGCAAGGGGCGGCTGCCATCTACACCACGCAGATGGACGACTTCCTGAAGGGCCGGGCTGTCCAGCACCGAGAGGTCCAGGGCAATGAGAGCGAGACTTTCCGTGGCTACTTCAAGCAGGGCCTTGTGTATGGAGGGGCGCGCTGCAGGCTGGGGAGTGGGACCAGGGCAAGGGAGGCACACCTGAGGCTGGGGGGCAGAGCTGGAGCTGGGAAGGGAGCCTGAGGCTGGGGGGATCCCATGAGGGTGATTTCTTTTTCCACTCCCCCAGCCCCACCTCTGCTGCTTCCTTGTCCTTGGTCTTCATCCTTCCAAGTGCTGTCTTTGGCTGCCCAAATGCTGTTCTGAAATTCTGTAACTCTGTGAACCACGAATGTTTGTAAATCAACCTTCAGGGTATTACATCAAGTCTCCCCTCTAACCAACTGGCAAATGACTCCTCCTTTCTCTGAAACAGGACTTTTACACTAAAAGCTCACATTCCAGTCTCTAGACTTTTCCCATAGAAAGACATGGTCAGGAACCAAGTTGTTACTGGTCTGTGGTTATAGGCCAGGAGCTCTCCAGTTAGCCACAGTCCCCACCCCTCCCTTTTGTCTTGCTGCTCCCCTTCTTCCCACACTTACAGCAGTATTCACTCATTTGGGCATTTGAGCTGGCACTTCTTTTTTAAAGATTTTTTAAAATTGATTTCAGGGAGAGGGAGATAGAAACATCAATGATGAGAGAGAATCATTGATCAGCTGCTGCCTGCACGACCCCTATTTCGAGCCCACAACCTGGGCATGTGTCCTTGACTGGAATCGAACCTGGGACCCTTCAGTCCACAGGCTGACGCTCTATCTACTGAGCCAAACCGGCTAAGGCTGAGCTGGCATCTCTTCTGTCTTAGTCAGCTTAGGCTGACATAGCAAAATACAGAAAATACAAAAAATACAAAAATAGACTGGAAGGCTTAAACAACGTAAATTAATTTCCTCACAGTTCTGGAGGTTGGCAAGTTCAAGATCAAGGTGCCAGCTGATTCGGTTGCTGGTGGGGGCTCTCCTGCTGGCTTGCAGATGGCCACCTTCTCACTGTGTCTTCACCTGGTGAAGAGAACGAAACTCTCTGATGTCTCTTCTTATAAGGGCACTGACCCCTGACGTCATCTAAACCTCCTCTAAATCGATTACCTCCCAACAGTCCCATCCCCAGTACCACCCCACTGGGGGTTAGGGCTTCGGCATATGAGGTTGGGAGGGGACACAGTTCAGTCCACAGAATCTACCCTCTTTTCCTTCTCTTCAACCCCTGCCCTCAGAGTCCTGCGCTGGCCCTCCACATTGCCTTTGAAGGACTCCCAGCAGGGGAGAGACTAAGGTGGAATGGAGCGGTCTAGGGAGCAAACTTCCAGGAGGCATTCACTGCCAGGGTCATGCAAATACAGGCAATGCACGGACCTTACCCGTGCATGACCCTGAGAGGGAATGTCTCCTTAAAGTTTGTACCTGAGGTGCCTCATGCACTCATCCTAGCCCCAGCCCCAGCCCTCAGATGACCCTGCTTAGCCAAACACCCTGTCACACTTCCCAGCCCGCTCTCTGGGGTCAGCTCACCTCTCTTCTCAGGATCCGGAAAGGGGGCGTGGCTTCCGGCATGAAGCACGTGGAGACCAACTCCAGCGAGGTCCAGCGGTTGCTGCATGTGAAGGGCAAGAGGAACGTGGTGGCTGGAGAGGTGGGCATCAACCAGAGCCCTAGGGCATGGCCTCCTGTCCCCCTCCCAATTGGGGTGAAGGGCAGAGGCCGAAGAAGGGTGAGGGGCGGGAAGGCAATGGGGAAGAGATGTCGGATGACGGAAGGGGTCTGAGTGGCGTCTGAGCCTCCCCGTGGCTCTCCAGGTGGAGATGTCCTGGAAGAGTTTCAACCGCGGGGATGTTTTCCTCCTGGACCTCGGGAAGCTTATCATCCAGTGGAACGGGCCGGAGAGTAACCGCATGGAGAGACTCAGGGTAAACCTACCCATGCATCACCCCTCCCCCAAGCCCGATCTGCCCCCACCTGCCCCCACCTGCCCTGCACACCAGCACCCCGCCTCCCCCAGACTTCTGCTGCCCAGCCGCCTCCATTTCCCCAGGCCTTCTCTCCGGGGGGCGGTGTTTGAAGGTGGATCTGAGTCTTCATGTGTTTGGGGACAGGTGTGCATGTTGGAGTTGGCGTGTGTGCACCTGTGTCGAATCCCCTGAGATTTAATGGGTACCTGCTGTGTGGCACATCCTGTGCCAACCGTTTGGGATCCACTGATGAATGAAGAGGCAGAGCCCTGCCCTGGCTCTGGCCTCCAGCTGAGCATCCAATGGAGGATGGGACATGAATGGAATAATGCAGAAGTGAGGGGTGGGGTGTACATCTGGGGATTCTGGGAAAGCTCCTGGGAGTTGATGAGGGTGGGGAGGAGAAGGCCCTTAGGCAGGAGAGAAATGGCTGGGGTCGGGGGGCTGCCTGAGAGTGAGTGGGGGTTCAGGGGGCTTGGAGAGGAGGCGAGCTTGTCTCATAGGGGCCTGTTATGTGGTCAAAAGGCTGTGTAAGAGGGTTGGGGATTGTTCTCAGTGCCAGGAAGGCTGTTGAAGGCCACCTGACTTCTGAGTGACAAAGGGATGGAGGGGCTTAGGGGCCCAGGGAGCCCTCTGTCCATCAGGTGAGGAGGGGGCAGGTGTCCTGGCTCCTTGGCCTGGGAAGGTGGAATCCACTAGACTTGTGTGTTGCATGGGGGTGAAGAGAGAGGGGTGAGGCAGAACTCACGCTCTGCTTGAGCAGTTATAGGGCTGGACGGAGTCCCATTTCCTGAGATGGGAAAGACCAGGAAGCAACAGATTTGGGAAGAAAATCTAGAGTTCAGTTTGGACATCTTAAAACGGGACTCTTATGGAAGTTGGGTTAATAAGGTGGGAGCAGAGAGCTGGGCTGGAGACAGAAATGTGGGATGGGGTGAGATCGCCTTGGAGGGAGAGAGAGGGGCCTGGGACTCAATGCCCATAACTGAACAGTAGATGTTGGGCTGAGGAGGGTGAGCCAGGGTGTGTGTGAGGCTGTGTGTGTGTGTGAACATGTGGCCTGTTCACCCTCGTGTGTGTGTGTCTATGTGTGAGGACAGGAGAAACTGTGCTGTCTGCGTGTGTGGGTTTGTGCATATGTGTGTGTGCACATGTGAAGCTGTGTGTGTATATGACTGTGTGTGTGTGTGCACAAGTGTTTGAGCATGCTATGGGGCAAAGAGACTGAGTACTGTGATCTTGAGAGCTCAGCTTTTGTCCAAAATTGTGAAGTAAAATCATAAATTTCAAACAATGTGAAAAGTGGAGGCGAGCAAGGTCCACCTGAAACCCCTCTCCCAGCGGTTCTTACCTGGTTTCCCCTCCAAGGAGAAAAGCAGGGGGTGCCTCGCTCCTCGGGGCTGCCGCAGGCAGGCTGTGGTCTCGGCCCTGTCCCTGCCGGCCTCCATGGGTCACCGGGCTTCTCCGCAGGGCATGACCTTGGCCAAGGAGATCCGGGACCAGGAGAGGGGCGGGCGGACCTACGTAGCCGTGGTGGACGGGGAGAACGAGAAGGCATCCCCGCAGCTGATGGAGGTCATGAACCACGTGCTGGGCAAGCGCAGGGAGCTGAAGGCGGCAGTGCCTGACACAGTGGTGGAGCCCGCCCTCAAGGCTGCCCTCAAGTTGTACCAGTGAGTGCCCTGCTGGGCTCTTCCCAGATGGTGGGGGACTTCCTGGGGGCAGAGTGCCGGCTGAGGGCGTGAGCCCCCTGGTTTATGCTGTACCTTTGTCCCGCAGTGTGTCCGACACGGAGGGAAAGCTGGTGGTCAGAGAAGTCGCCACACGGCCACTCACACAAGATCTGCTCAATCACGAGGTGAGAGGGCTGGACACCCCTCCCTAACCCCCTCCCCCCGCCCTGGCTCCCAAGCTTCCTCAAGCCAAGCAGTGTGGGGGGTGGGGTAGGTTGGGGGGCGGGGGGTGGGGGTAGGGGACCCAGGCGGGTGTGGGAGGGAGACTTTCTGTGACAGCAGTTCCCCAGCCCGGCACTGCGCACCATCAGGCCCTCATTCTGGGTCTCTGTCTCCCACCTTTAGGACTGTTACATCCTGGACCAGGGGGGCCTGAAGATCTACGTGTGGAAGGGGAAGAAGGCCAATGCCCAGGAGAGGAAGGGAGCCTTAAGCCAGGCCCTGGTGGGCATGGGGTCGGGAAGAGAATGGCAGGGAGAGGGCAGAAGCTCAGACTGGGGTGTAGAGGCCAGGCGTAGACCCACTGGGGTCTGAGGGTCTGCTCTAGAGCCATCTGGAGGGTTCTCTGCACACCAGGGAGCCAAGCACCAGGCAGCATGGGGGCCTCCTGAGGAGGTGGGCTCCTACCTCAAGCTGAGTTCAGAAAAGGGAGGAAGAAACATGGAGGCCACCCTTCCCACAGAGAGGATGGGGTCAGCATGGGGCAGGGCCAAGTCAGAGTTTGGGGTCATTGTTGGGCTGGAATCAGTAACCCTAACTGACTTGGGGGTCAGCGTACGGTTGAGGATTGGGTTCAAGTTGACAATGGGGCTGACAGCCAGGGTTAAAATTGAGGTGGGGTCAAATTTGGTGTCAGAGTTGGCCTTGGGGCGGGGGTCAGAGGTAGATTTGGGTTGGTGTCAAGTTTAGGATCTGGTTTGGACCTGAAGGTGGGGCCAGAGCAGGGTCAGCATTGGGACTAGGGTTGGGTTTCCGGTGTGGGCTTTGGACCAGGGGTAAGAACCAGGCTTTGGCTTGTACCAGGAGTTGGGGGATAGGGGTGGGACACAGCCCCAGCCACCCTATCTCTCCCCAGAACTTCATCAAAGCCAAGAAGTACCCCCCAAGCACGCAGGTGGAGGTGCAGAATGATGGGGCCGAGTCCGCTGTCTTCCAGCAGCTCTTCCAGAAGTGGACAGTGCCCAGCAGGACCTCAGGCCTGGGCAAAACCCACACCGTGGGCTCCGTGGGTAAGGGCCGGGCAAGGCAGGGCAGGGAAGGCTGGGAGCCAGGAGTGGCGCCAGGAGAGCACCCAGATCTGCCTCCTGCCCTCCTTCCCGGCTACCCCTCCTCTGTGTGCACTTTACCCTGGTCTGTGCTCCCCAGCTGGTGGGGGGACATGAGGGCATATGGATAAACTCAAGAGTTGTCACAAACGGGAGCTGAGAATGACCTGCCTCTCATTTGGAATGGGCTTGTGTCTCCCTGGAAACCAAGTAGCTCAGTCTCTCACCAGATAATATTGGCTGAGGGCAGGCTCAGTGCCAGGCACCTGGGGGAGGCTAAAAGGGTTATCCCTCTCCTGGCTCCCCTGGGGTGCGCTGGTGAAGCATGAGTCTTAGGGACAAGGAGGTATGGTTCTGTATTATAACTCTGCCATGTGTAACCTTGGGTAAGCTACTGAATCTCTCTGGTCTTGGTTTCATTATCTCTAAAACGGGTCTAAGGATTATAGCTACCCCTCAGGGCTGTTGTGAGGGCCTGGGGGACCTCATCTGTGATTCCCTTCACTCCAGCCAAGGTGGAGCAGGTGAAGTTCGATGCCATGTCCATGCATGTCCAGCCTCAGGTGGCTGCCCAGCAGAGGATGGTAGATGACGGGAGTGGAGAGGTGCAGGTATGGCGAGGGGAGGGAGGCCTTGCCTGGGTGAGAGGGGTTGGTGGAGCCTGTCCCAGACCTCACACTTGCCTGGTACTGGCCTCAGGTGTGGCGCATTGAGGACCTAGAGCCGGTGCCTGTGGAGTCCAAGTGGCTGGGCCACTTCTATGGGGGCGACTGCTACCTGCTGCTCTACACCTACCTCATCGGAGAGAAGCCGCACTACCTGCTCTACATCTGGCAGGTCAGGCCCCGCCCACTCTTCCAGAACACGGCCAGCTCAGCTCCTACCCCACTATACCCTTGCCAAGTGGCCATCCCCTTTGTGTTGAATATTCCTGGTGATAGGGAGCTCACCTCTTTTCCACTTTGGGACTGCTTTGGCTGTGCGATCCCCTGGCACTGAGAACCCCCATTCACAACAACCCTTTTCTCATTTTGTTTTTTTTCCCCCTTTTGAGTCTCCCTTCTCATTTCCATGACCTCTTGCATTTTCTCTCCACCTGCTTTGTGGGTTTCTGTGTCCAGATGTGAGAGCAGGGAGGTGCTGGGGGTGAGTGATGTGGTAGCCATGATGTTTCCCAGAGAAAGGTACAGCGAGGAGGAGGGGAAGTTTGGGGTTAAGGCTGGGGTTTCAGGTGGGTCAGGCTGGGCGGGGGCAGGGAAAGGGTTGGGTATGGGGCTGGGATCAGAACTGAAATCAGGGTCAGGTTGGGTTGGCTGTGACAGGATGTTAGGTGGGGAAGACAGTTGGGTTTGGGGCCAGAATTGGTGATGGAGTTGTCGCTGAGGTCAGGGGTAGGGTCAGATTCAGGACTTGACCTCACCCCACCCCTTCCCTTCTGCTCATCCCAGGGCAGCCAGGCCAGCCAGGATGAAATCACAGCCTCGGCCTATCAAGCCGTCATCCTGGATCAGAAGTACAACAACGAACCGGTCCAGATCCGAGTCCCGATGGGCAAGGAGCCACCTCATCTCATGTCCATCTTCAAGGGACAAATGGTGGTCTACCAGGTGTGGCTGCTGGACTGAGGCAGGGTGGGCGGCCAGGAGATGGGGGCGGGGATCTGTGATGGGGGCGGGGATCTGTGATGGGGGCGGGGATCTGTGATGGGGGCGGGGATCTGTGATGGGGGCGGGGATCTGTGATGGGGGCGGGGCTGTGGGTGAAGCCTGTTCTCCACAGGAGAGGACTGTTGAGGCTCCACCACTGACGTAGAACTGGTAATAGAAACACCACTCAGTGCTTTAAAAATCCATGCGATGAGCACGTAGCATGTGCACGCACTGTTTCTCTCTGCACCCCAACTCTTCAGATCCTTTATATGAAAAAGGAAGTTATTTTGGCTAGATTTACCTAAACCATGGACTTGTTCAAATGCATGGGTGCCTTCCAACATAATGAAACAGACAGCTTTGCATTCATTTAAGCAACAATCTGTTTACTGAGAACCTACTAAGTACATAGCCCTCTGCAAAGCGCCAGGTGGGGAGAATGCCTGCTTATACTATTTACCATCTTGTTGGGAGAGCAGTGAGCTAGCAGCCTGTGGCACCATGTGGTTAAATGCCCGGAATATACGTTGAATTCAAAGGGGAATGTGAATACAGTCATCTGGGAATAGGCATGGAGTTCCTGGTGGAAAGGGGGTTTGAAAAGAGTCTTGACATGGGGTCAGCTGAAGAGCTCAGCAGAGGTGCGATGAGGGCATGCAGTGCAGGGGGCACAGCAAGGAAGGAGGCCTGGAGGAAGGGATCTGTGGGGGACAGTGAGGAGCCTGGCCAGGGTAAACTGGAAGGTTTGGAGAGAGCAGAGTGAAGGCAGTTTGCACCCTATTCAGGCAGGGCCTTCAAAGGCCCCTCTGAAGGGCTAGGTTCTAGTCTATAAGCAGTGCGGAGCCACTGCAGGTTTTTGAGCAGGGACGTGCCATGACCACATGTTTCAGAGGATTAATTTGATGTTATCAGCGGACCCGGAGGGGCAGGCAGGCCCTACCCCAATATCTCTTCCTTCCTGGTTTTCTGTGTCCCTCTAACGCCCCCTCATCTTTACTAAGTGACTTCTGCTTTCTCCTCACACCCTACAGGGAGGCACCTCCCGGGCTAAGAACCCGGAGCCGGAGCCCGCCACACGGCTGTTCCAGGTCCGAGGAACCAGCACCAATAACACTAAGGCTTTTGAGGTCCAAGCCCGGGCCACCTCCCTCAACTCCAATGATGTCTTCATCCTCAAGACCCAGTCCTGCTGCTACCTGTGGTGTGGGAAGGTGTGTGCAGGCCCCGCCTCAGAGCAGACCTGGCACAGGGTGGGAGCCTCTGGCTGAACAGGCCCAGCTGCCCCTAGCCCTGGCCCCTCCTCCGCAGCTCTGGGTCTGGCCTGCTCAGAGTCTCTGCCTCCGTCTGAGTCAGTCATTGTGTGTCTCTGGCCACCCCTGTCTCTCCCAGTACTGGTCTGTCTTTATGTCTTAGGCTCTCTCTCACTATCCCTGTGCCAGTCACTCCTTCTCCATCTATCTCTGTAATGAGGACTCTCAGCCTCTTACAGTCCTTCTCCTGCCTTGTAAGGTGAGTGAAGCTTCTATTGCCTCCCCTGTCATTCTTTGGAGTGTCGAGGACAGAGGGTGGGAGAACTGTCCCTGCATCGGCCATGTGCTCAGGGTCCTGACCCAAGAGAGCCCTCACAGCTCTGGAGCTCAGTGAATGTGGTGCAAGGGTGGGGGTCAGCATGGCACCAGAGATGGTCTCCCCAGTACATCCAGCCCCCCTTTCCCCAGGGCTGCAGCGGAGATGAGCGGGAGATGGCCAAGATGGTGGCTGACACCATCTCCAGGACAGAGAAGCAAGTGGTGGTGGAAGGGCAGGAGCCGGCCAACTTCTGGGTGGCCCTGGGTGGGAAGGCACCCTACGCCAACACCAAGAGGTAAGTAACTATGGGGTTCCTCTGCCTCCAGCAGGCATGGATTGAGGACCCCGTGTGCCAGGCCCCCAGGGCCACAAGATGAGTCAGGAGCAGTCAACACTCTCAGAACCTCTTAGACACAGGGTCTATAGCTGTGCTCGCACCATGGTCTGCCTGGGGCCTGGTGGGGTGTTCCCCTGGTAAAGAGAGGTCACAGCCAGAGGAGGCAGCCCAAAGGGCTATAGGTTTGCCCTTTGGGAAGATGTCAGAGCCCACCCAGTTCCTGCCCTTGGGGTTGACACGGGAGGGACCCGGATGCTGAGGAGTACCAGCTGTAAACCCTCTTTCAAACAGTTTTTCTTAAGAAGATCCATGACACCCAGTTCAAAAGCATAAGGTCATGTACTGGAGTAGCAGCAGGAAGGCTAGAAGGAAGGTATCAGAAAGAACTTCCTAACAGGACTAGAGAAGAGCCACTGGAATGCATGTCCAGGAAAATCAGTGGGAATTTCTCCCGTGGAGCCGTCTCAGACTCTTGGGAAGAGGGGGGACCTTTTGTGTGACCAGAGGAGAGAGCATTTTCCTAGGAGATGGGCTTTCCCTGTCGGAGTCCCTTCCCCAGAGTGCTGTGTCCTTGATTCTCCTCTCCCACGCCTTCCTCTTGCCGACACAATCTCTCTCCATCCGGCAGACTGCAGGAGCAAAGCATGGCCTTCACCCCCCGGCTCTTTGAATGTTCCAACCAGACTGGGCGCTTTCTGGCCACAGAAATCCCCGACTTCACTCAGGATGACTTGGAAGAGGATGATGTGTTTCTGCTCGATGTCTGGGACCAGGTAGGACTGAGGCCTGGCCAAGAAACAGTGGCTTTAGGTTTGGGAAGGTCTGGCGTTTCCTTGGCTCCCATATATGTTCTTCCTGGGAGCAGTGTTAGGAACACAGGAGCCTGAGAAAGAAGAAGGCGGCCTGGAGGGGCTCCTGGGTGGGATGTCTTTTCCCAAATCCAATTTATTTCACGTGGCAGAGCAGTGTTTTTGAGGGCTTAGGCTCTGAAGTCACATATTTGCAGAATATCCAAGGAGAGAGCATCTGTCCAACCTCCTCAACTGCCCAGATGCAAAGTTAAGGCCAGATGTGCCTGTTCAAGGTCAGGCTCCTCGGTTGGACAGCGGAGCCTGGGTGAACCGAAGCAGAACCTGCGGGCCAGGGGGACAGGGCAGACTGACAGAGCTCCGGGTTCTCACAGGTCTTCTTCTGGATCGGGAAGCATGCCAACGAGGATGAGAAGAAAGCCGCTGCCACCACAGTGCAGGAATACCTCAAGACCCACCCCAGTGGCCGGGACCCTGATACCCCCATCATTGTGGTGAAGCAGGGACACGAGCCCCCGACCTTCACGGGCTGGTTCCTGGCATGGGATCCCTTCAAATGGAGTGTGAGTGGCCCAGCCCACCCTGGTCCTTACAGCCCAGCACACCCTTCTCCGGGTGGCTCTTCATGGTGCATCCTGAGAGCAGAGTGATAGATGACATGTGATATATTCGTGAAGAGTTTAGAACGAAAAGTAAGGCTGCAGTGAGCTTATGAAGCCCCCTGGTGAGGGTGAGGGTGAGGGCGAGGGCGAGGGTGAGGGAAGGAAACTCAGGCTGATGAGAGTCCATTGCTTTTACACTAGTTTTAGTTCAAAGCTGTTATACATTATTGGTAAGAGCTGTACTGGCTACTTAAATTAACTAAAATGAAACAAAATTAAAGATTCAGTTTCTCACTGGCCACACTCTCAGTGGCTTAGTGGCTACTACCCTGGACAGCACAGGAAGAGGAACATTTCCTTCGTCACAGAATGTGCTATGGGACAGCGCTGGTGGGTCCTCGTGCCAGTGAAAGGAAATGTCAGCTCTAACGTTCGGACAGCTGTCCTCGTGGCACTAAATTCTAAGCAAAATGGGTCACACATGGGTCCTTCCTGAGAGGCAGTGACTCAGACTTCCACCGGATTTTCCTAAACTGGCCCCAGGGAGAAGCAGAAGGCAGGTCCTCAGATGGAACCCCAGCAAAGGTTTCTGCAGGAAGGAGGAAGGCAGTTAGAATGAGTGCTGGCCTGGTGGCTCTGAGTGTGCTAAGTTGGCACAGCAGACGATCTTCGATTAATTTCCTCAAATACATTTTAAAAAATTCAGTGGGCTGAGTTTAGTTTTGAGGATGGAGTCAGACAAATCTCAAGGTTGCAAATTCAGGTGCCAGAACTTAAATTCACATCATCAGTGTCCCAAGTCAACAACGCTGGCAGTCTCTCCTCGCCTCAAGTCTGTGCTGGCTTCTCTCTCAGACTTCATTCATTCATTCATTCAGCATAACGGAAGCTCATGTGTCACGGTTGGTGCAGGTCCTGGGGATATGGAGATGGGGCTCCTTGGTCCCTTCTATTCTCTACTCCTTTGTGGCACGGTTCCCTCCAGGCTCTCAGAAGAGCCTCCCAGTTTTCCAGGACCTCCGTCCCCAAGTTGGGCCTTTTCTGACCTTCAGGGCCGATCCTCATCACCCCACCTCCTTTTTCAGGGGCCCCTCCAGCCCCCGCCTAGCTCCCTCTTCCCTTTCTCAGCCCCAGGCTGTAGTCCAGCCTTCTTTCAACTCTTGAAGGAAAACGGTCTTCTGTCTCCTCTGCTGAGAGCCAGGCCTAATTTGTTGCTTTCTTTATGTGCAGAACGCCAAATCCTACGAGGACCTGAAGGCGGAGCTTGGCAGCTCTGGGGACTGGGGCTGGATCACTGCTGTGAGTCTGGGGCAGGTGGCTGGGCCCTGAGTGGGCATCTGACCGTGATCAAACCTGTGGGGGCTAAGAAAGCTCCAGAGAAGATGCCAGTGTCCTGTGCTTTCCTTCCCACCGTCTCCTCCCACGCCTTATGGAAGTTCATTGTCTCTAGCTGTTTTGTCTTCTCCATTCCCTAGTGAAATGATTCTCACATTTTGTCATGCACAAGAGGCTGGGTGATGGGGAGCTGGGGGTGAGGGGAGCATGTTAAGCTACAGATTCGAAGGTCTCACTCACTCCCAAAGATTCTGGTTTATAAAATTGGGTTGAGACCCAGGAATATGTGTGTTTTTCATTAGGGGTCCAGGGGTCTAGCTCATAGATGACACTTGGAGAAATGATTTCTCTGTTGTCACCCTTGGGATCCCCTCTCCAGGTAGAATAATTCTACCCCGTCCATCTTAATTCTACAGGTAGAATAATGCAACCCCGTCCATCTTTCAGCTAGTTACAGAAATATATGTAGCCTGGAGGTCTGGGACATGGAAAAGTGAAAGCAAAGCCTTTCCTTTAGGAAGTTCACAGGCTTGTAGGCGAAACAAAGCCAATGAGACTGGCAGAAATGTGTCCGGAACAAGGGAGTGATTTCCCAAGCTCACCAGGATCATCAGCAGATAACGTATATGGCTCCTCAGCCCCACCACAGTCTGATAACCTGGTGGCGTTCATAAACCTTCTTACTAGATTGATGGTACAGGCAGGAAAGTATGGATAGGTCAAGGCTATGTGACTTTACAGATGACAAGTTCACAACAGATAAGAGAGAGGGTCATAAATGCCTAAGATAGACCTCGGACATCTGGGGAGAGCCATGGAGACGCTCATATGTCATAGAATGAAAGAGTCATCTTTAACCACTGGCTTTGGTTGGATACACACCACCAAGCTTTGGCTCACAAGTGTGTATATGTGTATGTGTATGTGGGTGGGCCGGTGGAAGTGGGGTCATGGAAGGCATCTTGGAGGAGGTGCCTTAGGATCAATGTTGACTTCAGAGAGAAAGGCAGCTTAGGAGGCAGCCACAAACCAGCTGAATTAACAGTGTTTTCCTCTTCTCCTCTAGGAGATCACAAACCCTAAACCGGACGTGTTCAATGCGAACAGCAACCTCAATTCTGGGCCTCTCCCTGTCTTTCCCCTGGAGCAGTTGGTGAACAAGCCGGTGGAGGAGCTCCCTAAGGGTGTGGACCCCAGCAGGAAGGAGGTGGGTCAGACTTGAGGAGGAGGAAGAGCTGAGGCCTGTCCATTCGTTGGATAGCACTAATGGACCCCCAGATTGTACCCTGCAGATGACCAGATGCTGGGGACAACCTGGTGAACAAAACACACCTGGTCTCTGCCCTCATGTGAAGTTACATCTCAGTGTGGGGAAAGGAAGGAGCCTGAGTACACTATTATTTAATTTGTGAAGATAAGTGCCATGAAGGGTATTATAAAAGGAACCTGGGTTAGTCAGAGAAGACTTCCTTCTGAAAGGTGAACAGGAATTGTCCAGGCAGAATGGGTTATTTCTGGAGAAGGGAACAGCATGCACGAAGCCCAGAGGCAGGGAATAAGCACAGGGTGGAGCCAAATGCCAGAGTGGTGACAGGGTGCGTGCTGGGGTGGGGCAGCTGGCCGGAGGGTCAGGGGTTGAACTGAGCAGTGCCTTCTATGCCACTTAGCGATGGTGGTGTCATCCTAAAAGTGGAAGGGAGCTGCCCGGCCGGCATGGCTCAGCAACTAAGCATTGACCTATGAACCAAGAGGTCACAGTTAGATTCCTGGTCAGGATACAAGCCCAGATTGCGGGCTTGATCCCCAGTGTGGGGCATGCAGGAGGCAGCTGATCAATGATTCCCTCAGCGTTGATGTTTCTATCTCTCTCTCTTCCTCTATGAAATAAAAAAAATATATAGTGGAAGGGAGACATCATGGTTGAAGCAGGCAGATGCAGTCAGGTTTTTACTTTTAAAAGACTACGATGGCAGCTTAGTGAAGAATGCATTGGGAAATGGCAAAAGCAGCAGCCGGAAGTCAGGCTGAGAGGCAGATGGTAGCTTAGCATAATAGGTGGCGGTGGGGAAGGTGATGATTTACAGCAGTGGTTCTCAACCTTCTGGCCCTTTAAATACAGTTCCTCATGTTGTGACCCAACCATAAAATTAGTTTCGTTGCTACTTCATAACTGTAATGTTGCTACTGTTATGAATCATAATGTAAATATCTGATATGCAGGATGGTCTTAGGCGACCCCTGTGAAAGGGTCGTTTGACCGCCAAAGGGGTCGCAACCCACAGGCTGAGAACCGCTGATTTAGAGAAATTATAGGTGATAAAATAAATGACACTTGGTAAGTACCGGATAAAGGCTGTGAGAGAGAGGGGGGAAATTGTATTACTCTCTGAGATAAAGAATAAAAACAAAAAAACCTTGAGTCAGAAAGAGCTTGCCTTTGAGGGTGATGTGAGTTCAGGGAAGCCATGTGGTTTGAGACACCTGGGAGACATCCGGGTGTCGGTGGGCAGGCAATTCAGAGGCGGTGCCCGGGGGCAGACCCAGCTGGTAGGTGCAGCTGCATGGATCCCCCGGGGCAGTGGTCGGCAAACTCATTAGTCAACAGAGCCAAATATCAACAGTACAACGATTGAAATTTCTTTTGAGAGCCAAATTTTTTAAACTTAAACTATATAGGTAGGTGCATTGTTATTAACTTAATTAGGGTCCTCCTAAGGCTTAGGAAGAGCCACACTCAAGGGGCCAAAGAGCCGAATGTGGCTCGTGAGCCACAGTTTGTCAACCATAGCCCTGGGGGAAGAGTTTGGCAAGAACTTGTTAAAAACATATTTCTAATATTCATTCCCACTTCATGAAGATCCAAAATGGATTTCAAATCTAGCTTGATGGGGTGCTGAGGTGAAAAAAATTTATTCTATGTGTAGCAAACGATAAAGAAGTCTTACGAATGAATTAGGACATCCACTGAAGAGATACCTGATTTCGCCAAGAATATCCAAGTCTGTTAGGAGCTTGGGCCTGATATATGTGAAAGTGTATTGTTTCCAGAGCATTTACATCCTGCCCCTCACCTTGGAGACCACTTTCATACATTCTCTCTCAGATATGCCCATCTGTGTCTTCACTATAATACTGGGGTGATCCCAATGTATTATTCGTAATAATAGTATTATAAATATTATTTGCCCAGCCTCTAGTGCATAGAAAGTGCCCTATAAATGTAAGCTGTGATTATCATTGCTCTTCTACTCCTGAAAAAACTCAGGTCCAGAGCAGGGAAGTGACTTGCCTAATGTGATGTAGTTACTTAGTAGCAAAGACAGACCAAGAACCAGGCCCTCTGAGTCCCACTGTTACCATCATATCAGGTGGCATAAAGAAAGGATTTCTAAAGGGAAGGGCAGCCAGTGTTACTGAACCAAGTGATTGACAGGAGGCTATATGGATTGCTAATTTTGAATGAAGCACATGGAACCAACACAACCCTAACAGAGTAGAAGCAGTCTAAGAAGTCTTTGAGCCTTTTATCTATCTATCTATCTATCTATCTATCTATCTATCTATCTATCTATCATCTATTTATTTTTTAAAAATATATCTTTATTGATTTCAGAGAGGAAGGGAGAGGGAAAGAGCGATAGAAACATCAATGATGAGAGAGAATCATTGATTGGCTGCCTCCTGCACATCCCCTACAGGGGATCAAGCCCGAAACCTGGGCATGTGCCCTTGACCAGAATAGAACCTGGGACCCTTCAGTCTGCAGGCCGATGCTCTATCCACTGAGCCAAACCAGCTAGGGCCTTTGAGCCTTTTAAAGAAATCAGTTGTCTATTGCTGATTTTTATCATGGGAGTAGCATACATTCTTGTGGGAGAGCTGTGGGTTTAATGCCAAGTGGGGAGGGTGGGAGAGGTCTTCAAACCTCTGGCTGCTCCAAATTCAAAAGTGGAGCCAGTGACAGTGAACAATGGGATGGTGGGTCTGACTGCAGGCAGTAGTAAGAGTGTAATCTAAGTGTTTGAACACCAGTGAGTAAGCCATAGAGAGGCGGATGTGGGCATGGGTGAGGCCGGCAATCAGCTGACAGGACAGCAGGGTTCAAGAACAGGACCAGTGGAAAGATACAAGTCCACTGGGATGGGCAGTCTCTGCTATCTAGCCCGAAGGTCAAAGTCCAAAAGTCTCCACTAAGCTGCAGAGCCGGCCTGGGTGGGCCAGAGAGGGCACCTGAAGCCACTCACAGGCCAAGGATATTGCAGACAGCTGTGAGGGACCTGGCAGGGGAGGGGAAGCTACAAATAGACTTGGGGTAGGCAGCTCTTCCCTATTATTCACTGATGCCCAAACCACTCATATTTACTATCGTCTTCCAAAACAAGGCACTTCACTGCCCTGACTGTGGGGGTGGGGGTGGGGTTGGGGAGCGCTCCAGGAGCCTGGTGGCTGGAGGCAAATCTAATGACAGGCTAGAGAACTGGGGCATCAGAACCACCTGAACTTGAAATCCAGCTGCAGGTGTTTACCAAGCTGTTCAGACGAGGGTTCTCTGCGGGAGTCAGCAGTGTTCCCTGGGAGTCAGCAGTGTTCCCCACGCAACTCGCCATAATGGAAAAGAAACCCATTGCTTTCACTCCACCCTGTTTCCTCCTGGTGCCTGAGGGAGCAGAGATGAAGACTAGAGGGTGCTGTTTTATATTAGCTTTAATTTGGGGTTCTTACTTGAATGTGCCTTGAGGATATTTAGCTGGCCCAAAACAATATCACTATCATACCAGCTGGGAGCAAAGATCATGTCAGGCAATCCCCTCATCTTATGGCTGAAGATACCCAGGGCCTAGAAAAGTGAATCCTAGCTGGAGGGTCACGGTTTGATAAGGAGGTAGATGCCCTTTCACATGTAATATTTTCATCTCCATAAAAGCATTAAAAAGAAGTGAAAATTGGCCTGTAAGAAATTTTCCCCATTAAGAAAATGTTTTTAAGAGGTAGAAACATCTATGAGAGAAACATCAATTGGCTGCCTCCTGTGTGCCCCCCACTGGGAATCCAGCCCCAAATCCCAGCATGTGCCCTCATAGGGATTCAAACCAGTGAACTCTTGGATCATGGGAAGATGCTCAACCAAAGGAGCCACACCAGTCAGCGAGAAATTTCTCACATTTTACAGAGAGGAAAACTAAGACCTGGAAAGAGAAGCAACTCTTTAACCAAGCTAAGAAATGCCCTGCTTATTTCAGGGCTAGTGTGAACTTGAACCCGTCAAAAGAAAAGGAGCTCCATCTATCTCATGTTTGTTAGCGTCCTTTTTATTACGCTCCCAATTCAGGGATCCAATTTCTTGGACTTACCCGCCTCATCCTTTCCCAGTCCTCCTAACATTGCCTGTTTTGCTCTTCATTTGATTTCTATACCACACCTATATGACTCATGGAAGCAAACCCTGGGGAAGAATGTGACCTTTGCCTTCTGGTCCCTGTTCTAGGAGCACCTGTCCGTTGAGGATTTCACCAAAGTCTTGGGGATGACTCCAGCTGCCTTCTCTGCCTTGCCTCGATGGAAGCAACAAAACCTTAAGAAAGCCAATGGACTATTTTAAGAGTAGCTGCGGTTGCAAAGCAGTTTCGTTTTGTTATTACTGGTATTAATCCTTTACTTAATTGAAATTTTACTTGTACCTGTGAGCAGCAGTCTGTGGCAATGCTTCTGTTTACTAACCTACTCCTCCACAAAGATGATGCTCCCAGGAGGCTGTGGTCCCAATTTCAGCTCTCAAGAAGGTGGTTGCCATATGATTTCACTCATACGTGGGAAATAAAACTGAAACTCCTAGACACAGACAACACTATTTGGGTTACCAGAGAGAAAGGGTGGAGGGTACTACGGGGTAAAAAGAACCAAATATATGTGATGGAAGATGCACTTGAAACCTATATAATCTTATTAACCAGTATCACCCCAATAAACTTAATTTAAAAAAATGAAGAAATGAACCCAATTTCAGATTATAAAGGTATCTGTACCTACATGCTAATTGGGGCGTTCACACACAGAGGGCACTAAGAAATCAGCGGCTCTCAGTTCCCCTCCTTGCTTTAAAGAAATTGAATCAAATGTTATAATCATGGGCTCTGGAGTGAGTGCCATCACTCCGTTTTCTAACCATGTAAATGTTTTTTTCAATTAGTTCACATTCAATATTATATTGGTTTTAGGTGTACATCATTGTGGTTAGACATTTATATAATTTACAAAGTGATCCCCTGATAAGTCTAGTACCCACCTGGCACCACCCATAGTCATTACAACCTTTTATTTAAAAGGAAAAAAAAAGGTAGTTGCATTATTTCTGTCCTGAGGTGTTGCACCACTTTAACCATACTGTTCTAGAGCTGCCCCTTCTTAGAAGAGCAGCCAACACTCCCGGGAACACTTGTTCTGGAGTCCTCCGTAGGCGTTTATCAATGGCAGGTGGGCTGAAGCATTTTTGTCTACCTTTCCCAGGATAACGGTTTTTCCTTTTCACATACGTCTTCCTCTGGTGATAAGTTAAAGGGGATCCCTTCTTTGAAGGAGTTCAATGGCCTAGGACAGTGGTCGGGCAAACTCATTAGTCAACAGAACGAAATATCAACAGTACGATTGAAATTTCTTTTGAGAGCCAAATTTTTTAAACTTAAACTATACAGGTAGGTACATTGTTATTAACTTAATTAGGGTACTCCTAAGGCTTAGGAAGAGCCACACTCAAGGGGCCAAAGAGCCGCATGTGGCTCGCGAGCCGCAGTTTGCCGACCAAGGGCTTAGGAGATGCCTTACTAGGAGGTTTCACAAAACTCACTAAACCAGTCCCCAGTGAAAGCCAACATATCCACTGGGTTTAGGCTTGAGTTTGAAGGCAAGTATGAACTGCAAATGCTAGTTCACCCTTCTCTGGGAAAGGTGTAAAAAATGCTAAGGCCAATGCTGGGTTTATAAACTGTTATCCAGAACCTCTGCAAAGCTTCCCTGGCTCCTCAGATGGAAACAACGGGAAATCGGTGCATATGTTGGTTTGCCATCCCATTTTCTTTAGGGTTTAACAGTGCTGCACAGAAGTCCCAAGTCTGAAGGCCAACAGAAGGTGATTTCTACAACTTCAACAACTATTGTTAAGTGTCTGCAAGAATATGTCCTTTTCAGAAATAAGTCAAACCAACACAGGGTTAATAAAGGCTTTAATTTCACACACACAAAAAACCTCTATGCATAATTTAAAAAGGAAACCAAAACAAGGAAAAACTGTAAAGAATACAGAGGAACAGTTCTGCTAAAACACAGATAAAGTGCCGCTCCATACAAAACAAAACATAAAGATTTAGAATCAGAAGTCACTCTGAACACAAAGAAAATCACCTCACAGATAATGTGGCCAAAGCTGCCAGCAAACCTGGTAGTGGCTCAACTAGGCAAAGTGTAGAAGCTTAGTTGTTTTCCTTTTCTTAGCATAAATAAACACTTAACAGGCCAGAGCAGTCAGAGGGAAGGAAACCTGGGGACCCGAGGTGTGTACAACCACATGCAGTCATTCTTCGCTCCCCCTCCCGTTCTTGAAGTAGGCCAGCCCATTCGATTGTTTTGGCCTAATGAACTTGGGTTCTGATCCAGACCCTCAATACACTCTATTTTTACGTCAGTGTACACACCTATTCTTCATCTCTGTACTTTAAGAAAAGTCCAATGTTACCAAAATCAATTGCTTATATTCATACTGGCACACTTTGTATTAAAATATCAAAACCTCAGACACATAGCACACATGGAAAGGAAAACTTACTCACTGTTTATAAATATGATACAACCAAAGAGACTGCCTGAAGCTTAGTAATCAAAGCATGCCATAGGAGTCAATGATTGTGGTGAGACACAGCAAAAGAATTCTGTCACACAACTCTCAAGGCCTAACAAACTATAGTTTCCCAATTAAAAAAAAAATTTTTTTTAGAGGTTAGTAAGACCCATCGATAGAGACAAAATCAGGGTTCTGAAGTAATATAGTAGAAAGTCGTTAAGCGGTCAGAAATCGGTTTTCGTACACATTTAAAAAGAGCATTACTCAGTGTAAAGCAAGATGGGAGGAGGAAAAGGACACATCTGTTTTTGGGGTACATTTTTATGTGACTTGCAACTGGTACTGGGTTGTTGGTGGTTTTTCTGAAGATCTCCACACATATACAAGGTCCACATGTACTTGGAGATCTAGCTGTTTCCCTGACTTCTAACACTACCTAAGAGCGTCAATTAAATCAGACAGGGCAAAAGATGGCTGGACGACTAAGAGCATCCACTGTTTCATTTCAGAGGACAGAGAAGAGTGAGCAAGAAGGGTAATGTTTTTATTAGTTTTAACATAATCTCTTTTCAGATCACAAATGAGTTTATAAACTACCTTCTTTCTGTATGTTTCCACCCCGCCCCCCTATGCTCTCTCTACATGTTCTCTCTACACTCAAAGCACTGACATTGCCAAGAATATATATATATATGAGACATTGCCAAGAATTTCTTTAATTTAGATGTTTTCAAACAACTTTCATTATACAACTATATCAATAGTTGTAGCTATATTTATATAGTTACATAATGGTAACGGCAGTATGGAAGGATAAAGCCAGGAATTCACTTGCTGAGGTTTTAATTCTTAAAGCTTTTCTTTCAGAAGAATTTTACACTAGACAAAGAAAGAATTGTGTAGTCTGTTTGCCTCCCAGAGTTAGCTGATAGTTACTTCTTAAAATGTAAACACATTTACATTTGTTATACTTGCTATTGAACAATTAAATTAGTAAAGTAAATTGGCAAGTAAACAAATAGCGTTTGGAATAAAAAAATATAAATAGAACAAGTCATGGATTTGCTTCTTTTCTAGTTTGCTGAAACAAAACCTATGAGCGCGTGTACACACACACATATTTTGCCCACAGAACAGAGTCTATCTTCTCACAGGCTTAAATTATAGCCATGGCTACTGAAGTGACAAGAGAGAGCATTTGACAACATACAACCTTCCAATTCTCCATTATAATAGCCAATAAGAATTAAGTTTGAATTTGTTTTTCCCTTTCAAAAAAGTTCCAATTAAGATCAGTTGAGTGCAGAACTAAGTGCTGCCAAGCTCCAATTCAATGCCATTTAGAAAAATGTAACCACATGTGGTATTTTCAATAGGAAATTTACTGTGCAGGCTGCCTAGGACTAAAGCACTCTGTCCCTATTTCAGTTGTCCCTTCCTGGCACAATATGCCAAATGCCATCCCAACCCCCTGACTCTGAGCAAACTGATCAGACTGCACAAAAAAAATCTACTTATAATTTTTAAATATATATAGTCAGCTCAAAAACAAAACAATAAACCCCATCAACATGGTCCAGATAAAATCTCCATCTACAGTCATTAATCCTTCACTAAATCAAAACAAGAAAGTAATTTAACTCATCTACCCCAGTAACCTGTATTCATTCAACAAGTAAGTCCTGCCCAAGACATGAAGATCAAATCAAATTAGGTTTCTGAGCCAAGAGTACTTCTAAACCATACACCACAACCAAGCTATGAAAAGCAAGTCAACGAGGGTATTTCATGGGCAATCTAGGCTTATCGCATTATTTCTAATTTTTTTTAATGCCCTAATGTACCCCTCACTTCAAATCATTCCCAATCATTTTTAACAATACCTCTCAAGGCTCTCAAATACAGACACAGGAAAGAGGAATAATAAATAGCTAGAGAATTTGATCACCACTTCATTTGTATAAGAAAACCAGTTATTTTCAAGAAAAAAAAAAAAAAGGAGCTCCCCAGTAGAAATAAAACATAAAAAGCAAGTTTTTAAAACAAATATTTCCCTCTGCTCTATACTACTCTTGCGTATTGTACCACCATACCATTTGGAACGTTTACTGGAGTAATATCTAAGTAAGTGGTAGGAAGCAAAGCTTTTATCAGTAGTTAAGCAAGAGTGTTGGGGCTGTTTACAATCCAAAAATTCAAAATTTTAGAAGAGGTTACTATGTCAGAACACATCCAAGTTTTAAGAGTGGGGCTGGAACTCTCTTATGGCAATTTTCCAGGAAAGGTGTTGCATCTTCTGTGACAATGAACTTTACACTTGAAAACCTGCTAACAGTTTTTTCCCTACCTCAGAAGAGTAATTTCTTTACAATAAAAAAGCAAAAAGAAACAATATTGAAGGTTTCATATTGCTATACTTAACTCTGTATGATCCTAATGATCCCTGGGCTTACAAAATTATTTTTTGGACAGAATTCTACTTTCAAACTCATTCTTTATATAGTTTCACAAGCTGCTGAACCAAGCTGATTATGTCAGCTGAGTGACTAATGCAGCAATTAATGCTGTACCCCCATTTAACCTCAACTTGAAGCACCTAAAAAGTAGAACAAATACATTATGCACCTTTATATATTAGTTCTTGGGATTATTAAACCAATCACACTTTTAATTCCCATTCTGTTTTAAGGGCAAAGCCAGACAGTGGAAGGTTAAATGTTCAAGCTTTATCCTACAGCTCATGCACTTATTTCACACTATAGTAGGGCTTTTAGCTTTAGTGGTCCAGAATTTTAACTTTTAACACAAGAATACTCCTCTTGACCTCTTGGAGAGACAGAGATTCTAGTATTCCTCCTTATCCCTAAGTATCCTTGCTGGGGAGTCCCAATTGGGACAATATTATTTCCCTACCTTTTAAAGTTCTGGTTGAACTCTGTTAGGATAATGCCTGCTCCATAAAATAATTATTCTATCTTCACCACTGTAATATAGATGATATACAATGAATATACTGTGTGAAGGAAATCTCTTTAAAGGAAATACAAAGTGTATAATAAATACCAAATGTGGGACCAAAACACATTCCAAGCACCAACAACAATCCATTTCTTGGGACTACATGTAAACAGCAAAAGCATTACGAATCCATGAATTTTTAAAAAATAGCCCCCCAAGTCAGGTGGCAGAAATGCCCCTCCTTTGCAAGGAGGACAAACTGTCATTAGTGTAACATGGAGAGCTTATTTTCCAGTGACCTTTACTAATAAGAAACACACATGAAAGATTACAGACTTGAGTGAAACTACTCAAGGAACATAAAAGCCAAATGTCAACTGATATGTATATCTGTACACATTTCTCAGGTGAATGGATTCTTTGACAACTTAATTTCTTCTCCAAACTGCTGTGCTATTAATTTTGAGCAGGTATACTCTGGTGGCTCATCCTAACTCTTTAAGGCTCCATTCATTCCACATATATGTTTGTATGTACATATATATATTTACAACAAGTATTTCCAAGACAAAAGGAAGTGCTACTCTTGTAGGAGAAAAAGAAGATAATCAGCTATAGAGGTGAGACCAAAGTTTCCATAAAACAATTAGCATGGAGCATTCCACATAACTGCAATTTTCATCTTTTGGTTTGGCCCTGAGCTGTTTGTTGCTCCCGCATCAAACAGAGTTCTAACTTCTCCTCAGGTGGAGGAAAGTGAGGTGGGTGACAGTAAGGGAGAATATGCAGTGCACACTGCCAACCCAGCAGTTTGTTCTTCACGAGGCCTGACGAGTGGTCTTCCCCACTTCCATGCTGAATGCCTGAGGGTTCTTTTCTGTTTCCAGCAGCTCATCAAAAACCTCCCTTAAAATAAAACAAAAAAATAAGCATTCAATGAGCAAAGCCAAAGAATATACAGAAAATAGATAATGATAAAGCCTGCATAAACCCATTTGGTACCTAAATTTTATTACATAAGCAGCTCATTCATTTGATCACCATCTTAACCCCAAGTGCTGATTTTTGAAAACATTAGGAGGGAGGAGGCTGGCAAGAGCCAGCTTTCATAAAAATGTTATGTAGTTTCCATAGATATAACTCAGATCTTCTAGCTGATACAACTAGAAGACCAAAAAGGTTTATGATAAGACAGCTTCTATCATAAAAAAATCTTAGGTTCCATACCTAGATGCTACTGTGTGATGAGTACTTAATGCTGAATTAAGAGAGAAAATATTCTGGACTTATAAGGAAATAAAACATGAGCCCTAAGCAAAGATAACAAAACAAAAAATTATCAACCAATTAAATAATGGGAACATTTTATTCTTAAGGAAGAAAAAAGAGTTGGGTAATTTTTAGCCCATGTCTTCAGATCTGGGAGTTTCTTACTTGTGCATGTAAAAGAAGATGTAACCACTCCGATCCCGATCACTCTGCACGGAAGCCTCTTGGATTTTAGATACCTCTAGGTCATTATAAGTAAACCATGCTTGCTTCTTAATGTCATACACATCACTAATGTAATGACCTGAAATAAAGAAAATCTTAAAATTGAAGTCTGTAAAATTTTTTTGCATGTCTCTCAGGTATAGGTAGTTTCAGAAAGAAAAACAGCCACCCCCTCTACCTTACTCCTACAGAAGTTTCTAAAAACCACTCAAAATACAAGTAGAAACATTTAAGATAGAAATATACTACACCAGACAACTTTTTGACAAGACTTCAATGTTTTTCTTGATGCATTCAACTTACACCTCACAAAGCAAGGCACAAAACAACCTAATAAGGAGTAAATGTTGGCTGCTTATTTATAAAATGCTAAAATCATTTTGTCCATTTACCTGAAGAAGAAGTGCTACCAATGTGACTGACAACACTGATGAGCCGATAGGAATGAGGAAGATATCCTGTCTGGAAAACAGAAGTGGGCATGACTTTAAACTCCTCATTTGAATAAAAAGCAAAACACTAATTTTAAATTTATTATCAAAGGTGACATGGCTAAGTTTTAGTGTGTGTGTAAAGTCAGATACAATAAAATATCCAGTGGTTGGTATTGTTCATATTCTTTGATCCAAGTATTCTACTCTCAATAAGAATGTATCCTAAAAAATAATTCAAGCCCAGTTGGTGTGGCACAACGGCTGAGCGTTCAACTATGAACCAGGGGGTCACAGTTTGATTCCAGGTCAGGGTATATGCCCAGGTTGTGGGCTCAATCCCCAGTGTCAGGCATACAGGAGGCAAGCTGATCGATGATTCTCTCTCAATATTGATGTTTCTCTCTCTATCTCTGAAATCAATAAAAATGTGTTTTAAAAAATAATTCAAAAGAAGAGTACATGTATAAATTATTTTATTGTAGCATTATCTTTCTTTTTTATATATTTTTTTTATTGATTTCAGAGTAGAAAGGAGAGGGAGAGATTATCTTTAATAAAAAAAGTTGGAACTAACAATAGGCCCAATAATAGCTAAACCATTAGTGGTACAGCAACTCAATGCCATACTATTCAGCTATTTTAAAAAATCACGTGGGTTACCAACATATTCTGTTTTCTAAACCTACAAAAACGCACATAATAACCATAGTTCTATAAAAATAGTATGTCAATAGTTAAGTACTCAATAACAGAATAAAAAAATGAAGAGTTGCCCTAGCTGGTTTGGCTCAATGGATAGAGCATCAGCCTGCAGACTAAAGGATCCCAGGTTCTATTCCGGTCAAGGGCACATGCCTGGGTTGTGGACTCAGTCCAACGTGCCGGAGGCAGCCAATCAATGATTCCCTCTCATCATTGATGTTTCTCTCTCTCTCTCTTCCTCTCCCTTCCTCTCTGAAATCAATTAAAAAATATACACACACACACACACACACACACACACACATATATATATAGAGAGAGAGAGTTGGTGTAGGGGTTATGGGTGAACATTTACATTTTAAATATTTCTAAAAATGCTATTAAAATATTCTTAGTAAAAAAAATAAAACAAAAACTGAAAAGATATTTCTGCACCGAGGCAGCACTATTAGGTATAATTTTGGGAACAAATACAGCTATATGGAAACCAGAAATCATTAAAATAGTCATAAACTTTGATGTAGTAATTTACTTCTAGGGATTTAGAGAAAAAATCCTAAATATAGAAAATGTTAGAATAATACAGTTCCTTAATGTATTATTTTTTACAGTGAAAAAACAGAAACAACATAAATGCTCAATGTTAAAAATACAGTAAAAAAAAATGAAAGATTCCAATGCGTTCTAGTAACATTATTATTTTTAACCATTTTTATAGTTTCAGTAGAACTAAAAGAAATTTAATATACATGTGACTTTGAGAGCCATGTCACTTGGTTTTACCTAACTGCACGTAAGGTAGTCAGGAAATATTTCTGTTTTTGTTCCATTTTGTTTTGAATCTTGTAAGAAATGAGAAGCAAAGGATAAGAGAAAGTGAAGACAACTTGACGGCTACCAAAGGGGCAGAAATGCACCTCAATGGAAACTGACAGTGGGGCCTATGAAGATGAAGAGCAGGAGCAATACTGACCGACTGACCAGTGCTACTCAGGGAACGGAAAGTCACCTACCTCAGCATTTCTCTTCAGTTCCTCAGCTTCAGCTTCTGTGTACTCCATATCTAAAACATCCTCATTCCCAGAGTCTTCATCAGAACCCAATGAATCCAGAAAAGAGTTGTTAAACTCTGAAGAACACAAAGACAGAGTCTTGTAAAATTTCTTGGAATAGACACAAATAGATGATTAGGAAGAAAAGAACAGCTTGGGTACACATGTTATCATCCAATTCACCCAGCCAATTCTGGGGACCAACAACTCAGGTAGCTGATATCTGTAAAAGAAATGCTCCGTTTCCTTTTAAATATATCTATATGAAAGGTATATAACTCACACAAAGAATAAAACTGAAGAGGAGAATTTAATTTTAAAGATAGTCCAAGTGTATTAAATCCTATATTATAGAAACAATTTTTAAGTACATGGTGCATATTGTAGGCAACACCAGCAAATATAAATTACCTCACAGAAAAGAGACCATAAAAAGGTCACTATCCTTTCATTCTCTTTAATATTAAATCATTTTCTTGAAATTTAACAAAAATAAAGGAAATTTAACCTTTAACTCTTAAATTTCAACTTAAATACATTACACAAACAAATCCAAGACCCATTTTTTTTTCTTTAAATAATAAGTCTATCTTTAAATAATCACAGGAGCATTTGTGCATAAATGGCTCTTTGCTCTGATATTTAATTCCACTAAAATCACAGAATAGAGCTGTTTAAAGCAGCGGTCGCCAACCTTTTGGACCTCACGGACCACCGGTTGGTGACTGATGGTTTAAAGGACATGAACACCTAAGAATGGGAAGAATAGGAAGAAAGACTATGGCCTCAAAATCCTGGAATTTGAAAGGAGATGGGTGACAGACCTGAGAAAGCCAAAGTCAAATCCTAAGCCATAATGGAAAAATTGAGAACCATCCAATTTATATCACCAAAATTTCAAAAGACATACAACTTGGAAATACCAGGTACCTCTGAAACTAGAGGCTAAGTAGGGGATAAAAATAATGATTAGATGAAAGCTATTTGAGAAACAGACTCCTAGGATCCACTTTACCCCACTTGATGCTGCTAGAATAACTAAAGTCTGGAACTTTATTCTGTGAAGAGGGTAAAATAGTTTCTGGATAGAGTGTGCCAGGCAAAGGGGAGGCTATGAGTACCACACTGAAAATAGGAGTAGGTAACAGCCTGCATACTGAAGGATGTGCATATCCTCCTCCTCAGTCCTATTCTTATACTTGCCTTTCAGAACTCTGGCAGCCATATCTTTTATCTCTAGGCAAAGGAAAGAGTTTAGAAAACCCTTTAGGAATCTGACCAGCCAAAAGAGAGGATAAAATATTAACATCATCCCCATACAGTCCCATCCTGTAAAATTCAAAAGTTGACTAGCCCAGTGATTCATGTGTTCAGAGTGTCCAATCATTTATTTAGTCCCCTATTCTTAACCATAAGCTGATAATCAAGTATTACTAGATATCCGAGGAAAGCCTCTACTAAGAAATATAAAAACCATAATAAACATAGTACAGAGCAATCTGGAAGAGATGGAATCTATTCAGCTATAGTAAACTTGAAATAAACAAACAAATGAACTACATTTAATATTCTCAGAGAATTGAGATGGTATTGTTTCCAAACCAAAACAAACAAAAAATTACAAAAAAGGAACATTCACAAAACAAATCAGTTTTTAAAAAAATAAATATAGAAATAAAACACTCAAAAGAAGTTTTGGAGTTGGAGATAAGGTTGGAAAAACTTTCTAGAGGTAGAGTAAAATGACAAGATCAAAACAAGAGATAAGAAAATTAAAAGGACTATACTAGAAAGTCTGGATAATATGAGTTTCAAAAGAGAAGAGAAAGAGTGGAAGGGAGGAAATCAGTGAAAATTTCTTAGAATTCAAGGATACATTTCTAGATTAAAATGATTCATCAAGTGCCTTGCAAAACGGATGAAACAGACCCACATCAAGGCACATCACTGTGAAACTTCATTACAGCAAAAACAAAGAGAATATACTACTAGCTTTCAGAGAAAAAGAGGTCACATCAGGATAAAGAAAGAACAGCTTTAGATTTTTCACACAGCGACCTGCAAACAAGACTTCTCCCATTGCCCAGCAGCATGAAGTTGGCGGGAAACAATGTTTTCACAATGACTGCAGACCTGGAATTCTATATTTAGCCAGACTACTAATAAAATACTACAGTAGAATAAAACTTGCAAGGTTTCAAAAAAAAACCTAAGTCATATCCCCTCTATTTCAAGAAAACTACTTGGGGGTGCTCTCTATCAAAGTACAAATAAGTCAAGAAAGAGGAAGAGTGAGACACAGGCAATGGGAGATTCAAAGAGAGGAAAGAATCAGACAGAACTCCGAGGAGAATGATTAGGGTGATCTTAGGATGGTTGTGCATGGATGTAGAGGGAAACCAGTCCAGACTGGAGCAATAGGATTCGACACGGACATCACCATCACCATAATACCATCTTTTTAATTTGAGAGTAGAATGCCTGGGTGAGCTTAGCTTGAATTCTTATTTTAATAGTCTCAACCATGTCCCAAATTCTTGCTCTTTCCTGCATGTCATGGTGTCTAGACCAGTCTTTCTCATTTTATACTATCAAAATGTTTTGCTTTGATCTATTTCTGAGAGTTGGAGGAAGACCTCAATAATCTTAGAAACAGAAAATACAGACTTAGCTCACTTCCTGTGGTTACATGTCCCTGTGGCCTTGCAGCACGTGGTTCATATATTAGTTCTGCCAAATGTCATAACTATGGTGAACCTTACTCTTCTGAATACTTGCTCATAACTGCCCAATGATTTTCACAGAGTGAGCTCTTGTAAATTCATGGGGAAACTGAAGCCACCTTATTTTCTCCCAGGAGTCTTAACAGTGGGAGTACTGCTCTTCATATAAATGGATTACAACTCAACAAAATACCAATCCAAGTCAAACTTTGCACATATTTATATTTATATTTGAAAAGAAACATTTCAGTAATTTATAATAAAGAGCACTATTTTTTAATGAAAAAAAAAATAAATGGATTACAGATAGACTGTCCCTGCTATTTAATTTTTTCAAAATTAAAAAATGTATATTGTTTAGGAATATGGATATAGTAAATACTGTTTTTTGTTTGTTTTTTTTTAAAAAAGCAAACTACTAATGAATACAAATGTTAGAATCGTGGTTTCTTTTAGAGGGAGGAGGAAAGAAGGGGAATCCAGGTATCTTCTAAGATTCTATTTCTTTACCTGGGAGGTGTTCAAGTTTGTTATTGTTATTAAAAATAAATTTTACATGCTTTTCTCTGTGTGATTCATTTCACCATTAAAAAAAAGTAATTAAAATAATCTCCATACCTTGAAGACTTAACTCTGTGGCTCTTTTGAGGTCATCATCTTCTTTCTGTTCCCAAGCCTCCTAAAAAGACAAGAATAAAACTAAGGCACTTAAAGAGGTACTGATTAAACTTATTTAGTGATGATAAAAATCAGTTGCTCTAGAAATATTGTTAATAATATATTACATGATTTCATAGATGTTTGGAACATGACCTATTGAAGGATGTGGAAAAGTTCTTTACTTTTTCCTACACTATCCTCCTAAAACAAAACCTGGGGGATTAAAAAAGCTTAAATGCTATCTCTTCTAGTCAGTGAAATTTGGTTTGCTAACCAAAAGCCATTCAATGTGACATTTTGATATAATCCCCTTTCTTCTTACATGTACGAGATACCTGGCGTACAGCAGATACTTAGCAAATTGCTCTCTTTACTCTCCCCTGATTTACAGTGTTTATTCATTTCCTGGTATAAGTGCTCCCACAATGGCCAATTTTAAGCTACCAACATGAGACTGAATGCAGTGTTGGAAAGAGGTGTGTACAAGTTGGCTTTCCTGAGCTAAGAGTGAGTTGGCTATAGCACACCCCTGACCAGAAATCTATGACAGCAGGATAAACAATATTTCCACATGATATTATTCATAGATTTCTATTTTTGTTCTTGCTGAAGAAACCAAGACACATAATAGACGCTTGGTAAGTACTAAATGAATACTGTTGACTGTTACTTTTCTAATAAATCTAAGGTTCTCTTAGAGAACAATTAGTACCTCTGAAAATGTCTCAATTAGGGGACTAATTATAAAAAGAAATAGTGAAATGCTGACTATAAAAAAATTTCCCTCTCATCTTTAGAGAAAAGATAATTTATAAACAATGAATGAATAAAAAATATAATTTAAACAGAATTATTTTATACTTTCCTCAAATCTGAACTTGTTTTTAAAGTTACTAAAGTATGAGAAGCTCAGAATGAACTATTCTACATTATAGTACTTGTAGCAATAAATACTGTATTCAAGAAAGCAATAAATATTTCCTAAGAGAAAATAAGATTACTTAAAATTATCCAAATACATAAAGTCTATGCTGAAACCAGAAAGAGAATCTTTTAGTTCTTAATAGAATAATGCAAGTAGACTAAACTAAAGAAACTTCATCTTATAATCCTACCCTCACACCTGAAAAAAACACAGGGTGGGGCAAAAGTAGGTTTACAGTTGTGAGTACGTGAAATAGAGTTATTCTTGTACTAGTATTTATTAGTTACTGTATTATTTTTCATATGAACAACCATAAACTTCTTTTGCCCCGTCCTGTAAGTCAGTTTTAATGAGCTCAGCTGATAAGAAATACTACAAGGTACTACTATTAAGAAATCAGACCTTGCCCTGGCTGGGAGGCTCAGTCAGCTGGAGTATTGTACCATTGGGGTGTGTATGGGAGGCAACCAATCTATGTTTGTCTCTCTCTAAAAAATCCATAAACATATCCTTAGATGAAGATAAAGAAAAGAAAGAAAGAAATCAGGCCTTGGTCTTGTACATTAAAAATAAGTTTTCTAAAACAAATGATCTATATTATTTGTAAAATAGTTTGACATGTATACATCTTGATGACAAGGTAGCTAGTGAGGAACTATTTATAAATAAAAGAATACAGAACAGCTGGTTTTGAAAGGGTTTTAAAATAGCAGTCCTCAACCTTGGCTGCACAGTAGAATCAAGGGATGCAGCTGAAAGAAAAAAATTCTTATTCTTTTTTTAAAAAAAGAAAACTAAGAAATCTAGATGCCCAGACCACAGCCCAGATCAATTACTTCAGAATTTGAAAGGCAGAATAAGCTAGGCATCAGTATTTTTTAAAACTCCCAGGTTAATATTACCTGTGCAGTTAAGCTTAAGATCCACTGTTTTAGAGAAATTAGATTTCTTATTTAATAATTTCTTAAAATATGTTTTTGATTTTAGAGAGAGAGGAAAAGAGAGGGATAGATAGAAACATCAATAAGAAAAAAACATGTATTGACTGCCTCCTGTATGCCCTATATCGGAGATCGAGTCCACAACCTGGGCACGTGCCCTGACCAGAATCGAACCGGTGACCTCTTGGTTTATGGATTGACAATCAACCACTGAGTCACACCAGCCAGGCGAAATTAGATTTCTTAATCTTACTGTTTGTAAACACTAAAACTGTTCACTCATTCTAGGGAGTCTTGGTAAATTTTTATTAATCACCTGACTTGGATTGCATAGGGTTACAAAAGCATGAAAACAACACTTTTTAGTCAGATACCTTGATTACTGCCACAGTGCAAATCAGACAGCTTTGGCAAATATAAAGAACTAAAAATTAAAGAACAGAATCTATAATAATAAAAGCATAATATGCTAATTAGACCAGATGACCTTCTAGACGAAGCTGGGGCTGTGAGGGAAGCCCGGGTCCCGGGTGCCAGAGGGAAGCTGGTGCTGGCAGCCAGGGGAAGGCCTACTCTTGCACAAATTTTGTGTATCGGGCCTCTACTATATATAAAGAGCAGATAAATGTTAGTCTATGACTAAAATCTAAATTTCAGATAATATTCCTAAGAATTTTATGTCAAACAATTTATAGGAAAGGACTCATATTGTGAGAAAATGGCCAAAACAAATACTTTGCCTTAAAATATTAATGATAAAATCATAGTGTTATACTGGCTGTTTCCACATCTTGCAAAATAAGGTTGCATTGGGATAATCTCTAGTAACCCATCTTGCTTTAGCATGCAATGAATTATTGTAATGGAAGGTAACCAACAATATATTTTGTTGCATTTGGATTTTCAAAAACAGAAAAATTACCAAAGTTTCTGTTTCAAAACCAATGCAAAGCCCCAAAGTTTTTATTTTGTTTTGGTGGATCAATGACATTGTATTCAAATCACCTGGAACAATGCCTGACACATCATAAATGCTTAAAACATGTTGGTTATTATTATTATTACTAGTAGCCTGGTGCACAAAATTTTGTGCACTTGGGGGTGGGGGGGGTGAGGGGTGGGGTCAGACCCCTCAGCCCGACCTGCATCCTCTGTCATGTTCTGGGACCCCAGCCGCTCCTGGCCTAGGCACAGGCCTACAGACTTGGGGTGGCCTGGCTCCCAAGGCCCCAATTTATCAAGAGAACAAAGTCGGCGTTAGTTACAGCCCTCACCGAACCCAGTACACTGCATCTGTGCGTACAACTGCCTCGTTCATGTGCCTGCTTCGCCCTACTGAATTACTAACATCTTGAGGACATAGCTCTGTCTTATCCTGCTTCAACTTCAGTGCCTGGCCTGGTGCCAGTGACCTGAGAGGGTTTGCTGAGTGAGTGAGTGAATAATGAGTGAGTGAATGAGTGAATGAATGAGCAAATAAGTGAATGAGCAAGCAGCTACGGGGCGGGAACTTCTGCCCCACTCCCAGCTGCCTGAACCCCCACCCCGGGAAGTTCTCGCCCTGCTCCCAGCGGTCTGACGCCCCTCTCCCAGCTGCATAGTTCGTGCCAGGCAAAGGCGGCCCGGATTCTCCACTTTTGCCCTGACACCTGGCTCTTGCCTGCTGCCTGGGTTTCAGATCACCGTCAGTGGCAGGTGGCTTCTTCTGTCCTTCCCCTTTCGCCTCCCAGCATTGCGCCTATGTATGCAAATTAACCACCATCTTTGTTGGCAGTTAATGTGCATATCGCCTTGATTAGCCAATGGGAAGCGTGGTGAAAGTACGGTCAATTACCATGTTTGTCTATTATTTGATTAGATTACTAGTGCCCCAGTGCACAGATTCGTGCACATTGAAAGGAAATTAATTAGAAGGTGGCCTGAGGGGCAGGACTGGGTGAGACTCACCCTGAAGCCAACCTCCTGCGGTCCCTCCCTTCCCCTCCCTGGCAGGCCGCACCTGGGGCAGTGCCGTGGCAAGAAGGGCATCTGTGGAGTGAGTGGGGTACCTCCAGCAGGTGGGGTCCCTTGGCCTGGCCTGCAGGGATTGGGCTGCAACCAGCTCTCTGACATCCCCTGAGGGGTCCTGGATTGTGAAAGGGCGGTTCTTGGCTAATACACCCTGGAATCGGGGTGTGTCACCTGAGAACTGCAGCTGCCAAAGTCACCGCAGCTTGGCAGTTCCTATGTTGAGCATCTTCCCCCTGGAGGTCATTGCACATCATAGCTACTGGTTAGACAGTCGCTTAGCCTTTTATATATGTAGATTACTACTACTACTACTACTACTACTACTATTCCATTTCTTGGGGAAGATAAAGGATGGAGAAAGTAGCAATATAAATCTTACTTGCTCCTGGAGGCTCTGAGCCAAGGCCTGCTGAAGCTCTTGCTCTTCCCTTTCGCGGTCCACATCATACTGCTGAAGCCAATCAACCTCTCCTTGAGGTCCTTCTGGGGTTTTGTTTTCTTTATTCTCATCACAGTCTTTAGTTATCTCAGTAAAACTGGCTGGATCTGAGGAAGCAGAACAAAACATAACTGGGAAATCCTCTCTAATAAACTGAAATCTCTGGACCAGAGTGACATCTACTGTTCAGAGAGTAATTTACCTCAACCTCACACATAGCTTGCTTGGGATATACAATTTCATCTTACTACATGTACACTAGCGTTTCTCTATCTCAAAACTATTGACATTTTGGGTGGGACAATTTTGTTGTTGTTGGGGGGGGGTGGCTGTCCTGTGCATACATCCCTGGTATCCACTTACTAGATGCCAGTAACACCCCTCTCTCTAGTTGTGACAACCAAAAATAGCTAATAATGAGCTTTCCCCATTTATTATAATGTATGTTAAATGAGTGTTTTAGAATTAATAATCAAATAAGCCTTATACATATTCTGAATCAAGAGTTCCATAGTACTGGCGGTGTGGCTCAGTTGGTTGAGCATTATCCCATGCACTGAGAAGTCGCCAGTATGATTCCGTCATGGCACATGCTTAGGTTGTAAGCTCGATCCCTTGTAGGGAGCGTGCAGGAGGCACAGCTGATGGATGTTTCTCTCTCTCTCCTCTTCTCCCTTCAAAAATCAATAAAATCACATTAAAAAAAGAGTGCCATAAAATATGTAATAAACATCTCATGTATTGCACAAGTATATGACAACATATATGTTTAGAACATTGACCAGGGAGATAAAAAATTAACCATCAATTTCTTTCTGTTCATGTAGACCAGGGGTGGGGAAATTCTGGCCTGCGGGCCACATAACTCTTACACATTTTACAGATCCATCTCACACTTCCCATTATTTAGAAGCCATTTGTCACTATAATGATTTTGAACACAGTTGTGCCTTAACAGCTATCTTCATTAAACCTACCTGGTTCTGTGACTGTTTTAGGTTTCTCAATTTCCATAGAGTCTGGATTTTCAGGTATTTCTTGAATATCATCCTCTGCAAATCCAGTATCTGGGCTGCTGGTTGGTTTATCATCATCTTCATGACTCAGAGGTGGTGAAGCTTCTCTCTTACTTATCTCTAAAACAGCTGCTAGAAGCTCTTCTTCGCTCATTCCATCAAATCCTGAGTTTTCTAATTCAGACTTATCAGGTTCTATTCTGCATGATTTTGAATCCTGAAGTAGAGAGTTACTTTTAGAGAAAACCTGAATGACTACAAATATAGCAATCTTAGAGTTTAAAGTGAGAAGTTAATTTTATTTCTAAAAAGCTTCCTTTCTTTGATACTTTGGGTTCAGTTCTTATTCTTTGAATAAACGAATAAAATAAAAATACAAGTATATTAAAAAATAAATACACACACATATATAAAATTAAACAGTTGCATGAGATGATGCAAACTCCTAGAAAAGCTTGTATCTTCAAAGTATTAACTATCATTATGTATCAAGATAGGAAATAATGTAGTTATGCTTTCACACACATTATTTAAACTTTTAGTTTTTGTGGTTAGTCTGTTGTAAAACATTTACTCTGGTTTCATCATATTAGCGATTAGTATCAAAATAAAGCAAGTAATTATTTGAGGACCAATATGTAAAAGCTTTGAAGGAAGCCCTGCCCGGGTAGTTCAGTTAGAGCATTGTCCCAATATGCGAAAGTTGCGGGGTCAATCTCTGGTCAGGGCACATACAGGAATCAACCAGTGAATGCACAAATAAGTGGAACAACAAATCGATGTTTTTTCTCTCCCTTCCTCTCTCTCTCTCTAAAAAAAAAAAAAAAAAATCAATAAATAAAAATTTAAAAATAAAATAAAAGTAGCTTTGAAGGTTTACAGGAGAAAGTATTTTATCTAAAACTTCATTTCTTAAAAGTCTCAGTCCTGTAAACAACCAAAGTGCCTATCAATGGATGAATGAGTAAAGAAGATGTAATATACATATATCTTATTTAGCCATGGAAAAGAAGAAAATCTTGACATTTTCAACAACATGGATGGACCCTGAAGGCATTATGCTAAGTGAAACAAGTCAGACAGAGAAAGACAAATACCACAGGGTCTCACTTACTAATATATGTGGAATCTAAAAAAATAAACAAAAAAACCCAAGCTCATAGATATAGAGAAGATTGGTGATTGCTAGATGAGGGTGGTGTATGTGTGTGTGTGATATATATAAAATGGGTGAAGGGGGTCAAAAGGTACAAACTTCCAGTTATAAAATAAATATGTCCTGGGATGTAATGTACAGCATGGTGACTACAGTTAATAATCTTGTATTGCATATTTAAAAAAATATATATTTTTATTGATTTCAGAGAGGTAGGGAGAGGGAAAGAGATATAGAAACATCAATGATGAGACAGAATCATTGATCAGCTGCCTCCTTCATGCCCACTGCTGGGGATTGAGCTTGCAACCTGGGCATGTGTCCTGACCAGGAATCAAACCCATGACCTCCTGGTTCATTGTTCGACGATCAACCACTGAGCCATACCAGACGGGCTGTATTGAATATTTGAAAGTTGTGAAGACAGTCAATGTTAAAAGTTCTCATCACAAGAAAAAAATTCGTTTGAGCCTTAGCTGGTTTGGCTTGGTGGATAGAGCGTCAGCCTGAGGACTGAAGGGTCCCGGGTTCAATTCCGGTTAAGGACACACGCCCGGGTGGCAGGCTCTCTCCCCAGAGGGGGCATGCAGGAGGCAGCCAATCGGTGATTCTTTCTCATCATTGATGTTTCTATCTTTCACTCCCTCTCCCCTCTTCTGTGAAATCAATAAAAAATATATAAAAAAATTATTTTGGTAATTATGTATAGTGATGAATGTTAGCTAGACTTATTGTGGTAATCATTTCACAATATGTACAAATATCAAGTCCTTATATTGTACACCTGAAATGTAATACAATATTATTTGTAACTAGAGGCCCGGTGCACAAAAATTTGTGCACTGGGGGGGGGGGGGTGTCCCTCAGCCCAGCCTGTGCCCTCTCGCAGCCTGGGACCCCTCGGGAGATAACGACCTGCTGGCTTAGGCCTGCTCCTGGGTGGCAGAGGGCAGGCCCAATACCTAGGTGCAGCCCCTGGTTGGGCTCAGAGCAGGGCTGATTGGGGAGTTGGGGCGCCGCCCCCTGTCATGCACAGAGCAGGGCGGATCGGGAGGTTGCGATGCCACCCTCAGTCATACTCAGAGTAGGGCCGATTGGGGGGTTGGGGCACCGCCCCCTGTCACACACAGAGCAGGGTGGATCAGGGGGTTGGGGCGCCGCACCCTGTCACACTCAGGGCAGGGCCGATGGGGAGGTTATGGCTCTACCCCGTCACAGAGCAGGGCCTGTGGGGGGGAAGGGGGTTTGGGGTGCCGCTCCCTGTCACACACAGAGCCGCAGGGCGATCAGGGGGTTGGGGAGCTCCCCCCTATCAGGCACAGAGCAGGGCTGATCAGGGGATTGGGGTGCCTTCCCCTGTCACGAACAGAGCAGGGTGGATAGGGAGGTTGTGGCCCCGCCCCCTGTCACACACAGAGCCGCAGGGCGACCAGGGGGTTTGGGCGCTGCCCCGTCATGCTGATCCCGGTGCTGGGAGGCATATTACCCTTTTACTATATAGGATAGAGGCCTGGTGCACGGGTGGGGCCGGCTGGTTTGCCCTGAAGGGTGTCCTGGATCAGGGTGGGGGTCCCCACTGGGGTGCCTGGCTGAGGGGATGATGGCTGTTTGCAGCTGGTCACACACCCTTCAGGGTGGGGGTCCCCACTGGGGTGCCTGGCCAGTCTGGGTGAGGGGCTGAGGGCTGTTTTCAGGCTGGCGTGTGACCCAACCACTCCTTTTTTTCTTTTTTTATTCTGGGCCAGCTTTAGCTCTGAGGCTTGGCTCCAGCTCTTAGGCTTCGGCTGCTGAAAGCAGGTATCTGGTTTGTTTGGGTTCTATAATCGAAACACTGTTTCAACTCTAGCTCTGAGATCCCAGCTGGCTGAAAGCAGGTTTCTGGGGTTTTGTTTAGCTTCTATATTTGTAACAATGTTTCAAACTGCAAGCTCAGAGGCTGGCAGCGGCAGGCGGGGAATGTTGGAGTCCTCTGTCACTGAAGCAAGCAAGCCTCATGTTCGCTTCAAGTTGCCTGGCTGTCGGCCGCCATCTTGGCTGGCAGTTAATTTGCATATCACCCTGATTAGCCAATGGGAAGGGTAGCGGAGGTACGGCTAATTACCATGTTTCTCTTTTATTAGATAGGAGGATTACATCTCAATTAAAAAAGTCTCAATCCAACTTTAAACAGACTGGTTCTGTAGCTATAGAAAGCACATTCTAAAATTAGTGTTGGAGACTTTCAGTCAAGATGGCAGTGTAAGTAAACTCTGTATTTGCATTCTTCCACAACCACACTGAAGTAACAACTAAACTACAGAACAACCATCAGAACCACGTGAAATCTGGCTGAATGGAAGTGCTACAACTAGGGAATTAAAGAACAAGTCACATAGACTGATAGGATTGGAGATGTGGCATGGGCTGGTCCCACACCCACATATGACAGATAAAAATCGGGAGGGATATCTCAGCTGCAGAGGTGCCCCCTGAGGAGTGAGGGGTCCTAGCCCCACACCAGGCCCCCCAACTCAGTGGTTCCAGTGCCAGGAAGAGAAGTTGCCATGACTTCTGGCTATAAAAATCAGCTGGGATTGAGGCTGAAGGAGAGGGAGGGCTGCTGGAGTCCCAGGCAGTTTCTCTTAAAGGGCCCACATGTAGACTTACTCAGATTCACTCCCACTTGGTAGCAGCCTGAAAAACACCAGAGACATACAGGGAGGAACTGAATTGTCTAGCATCAAGGTGAAAGCTGGAGGGGATGGGGGGAAGGAAAGGGAAGCTTTCTCCCAGACAGAAATGCTGGCAGCGTCCATTGTTCCTTTAATGAGCCCTCCCCACACAGAGCAGGCAGGCAGGCAGCATAACTGAGACTCCATCAACCTGGCTTACACAGTTTGCCCTGCCCTGGTTATTCCCTGAGACCCTGCTCCACCAACTTGCAGGCCCACCCAACCTGTTTCCAGTGGCTTTTCTATATGAGTGGCATGTCTTGGCTCATGCTTCAGATTTTCCTAAAATCTCTCAAATATACAACATCTGGTCTCAGCGTGCCCTATATCTCTCACTAAGTGGATCTAGGACCAGCACTATGAATATATATCTGTAGATATAAATACATATCTATCAGTAATTGAGTCTAAAATAAAAATAAACAAGCAGAACAGAAACAGATTCATACATACACAGAACATTTTGATGATTACCAGAAGGGAGGAGGGTTAAGAGGATGGGTGAAAAAGGTAAAGGGATTAAGAAATACAAATTGGTTGTTACAGAACAGTCATGGGGATATAAACTACAGCATAGAGAATATAGTCAATAATACTCTAATAACTATGTATGGGGTCAGGTGGGTGCGAGATTTATTGGGATGATCGCTTACTAGTAGTAAGTTATGTAATGTCTAATCACTGGGGTGTACACCTGAAACTAATATAATAATGCACATCAACTGTAACTGAAAAATAAAGAAAATGATTAAAAACCATAACAACTGGTGTTTGAACAGACCCATTAAGTTTATGATCTATCTTGTGTATTAAGTTTGCTGATGCTGGTTATAAAAGGCATTATTTGTTTGGCTATTAAGAGCTATACAAATCTTTGTCATATATTCTGATAAGAAATTACTTACCTTTTCCACATCTTCCTGCTGTTGTTCACAACCTGTTATTTCACAGAATCTCTGGCTAAGGGCCACAGAGCGTTTTAGTTCATCCTCACTGTCTGAATCAAGGCTCAAAGCCAATGAGCTCTTGGATTTGAAGGGGAAATTCCTGTAATTCAAGGGAAAATAAAAAAACCTATATAAGACTGATAAACACTGTCATTATTTGTTTGAAACACAAGTCCAAAATAAAACAAAAGCTTTTCCTATATGGAAAATAATGTAACAGAAATAAAGATATATCAAAAAGTATACTTAAACATTATTACCTTTGCCCCACTTCAAAAGAGTCATGCTTTGAAAATTAGACAGCTTTTATATTACTATATGTCAATAAACCAATCACTTTGTGCCTTTTTTCTTTTAATGATCAGCCCCAAAGAAGTTTGTTATTGTCTTTATAAAGCAAGTACAGTACTGAATGCATGCAAAGATAGCAATGAATAAATGTTTTGGACAATAGAGTATGAGAACTAATTTTTGAACTTTTAATTTATGATCCATGTACTTTAAAATTAACAGTAACATTCCACTTATCCACTTATATGTAGGTCAGACATCTGGCAACCTCTACCTTCCAGAATACAGGGATTCAAAAGTAAGAAAAAAGGCTTCTGAGGAAGGCAGCATTTCAAAGCCCATGTACTTTACTCTTTAGACAGGGACCCTTCTTTCCCAGGAAATGATATATAAAATAATGTAGCAAGTTCATCAAGAAATGAGAGCTAAGAAATGAGAGAGAATAACCACAAATAGGGCAATAAAGACCTGTAAGTCATTTAATGTAAAGGTAAACCGTCTTGTAGAATAATGCCATCTGAGGGCATTATTATATTAAAACACAGTGCAATAACTGATACTCATAATGTTGATTCTAAGTCATTACAATATATTTAAATTATCTTCAATATATTTTACTTAAGAATATAAAGAATTCTGTAAAGTTACAGACTATATAACCACCTAAAATGGTTAAAATTTTTTTTAAGATTAATGCTCAAAAAGACAAACTTTAGTTATATAAAAATTCATTTATGTGGAATATCAAATATTCTTCAATGATACTAGATAAGTAAGGTGTTACTGTGTTGGCTTCCAAGTGAGCTGAAAATGAATTAAAGGAAAAAGTGGTAAAGGTCAAAGAGCACAAACTTTCTTTGATGGAGGTTAACATAAATTCATATGCTATACTATGTAAAATATGTAAAATGGAAATTGGAAAAAAGGCATTTAATTTAAAGTGAAAACTGTACATAAACATATAGAATGATGGTACCAAGAAATAAGAGGCCACAGTGGAAACCAGGAGAACTGTTTAGCAATGTAGATCAAAGAAAAGAGGCAAGTGGTCAGTGATAATCCCAAACATAGTCTTTGGCTGAGAGCAGCCAGGATATCCCTGCATTTCAGCCGGAACACTTGAATAGTCTCCCATTATGTTTTCAAAAGAGTTTTTAAAAATAACTGAGAAATAGCCAATTAACCATCTTTACTTCTCATTTCTGATTTAATGCTCACCAAGCAAAACTGAACATGTTAAATTTGTTTATCCACATGAATACTTGGCTGAATGAGGCTGACACCTGGCTATCAATATACCAGGGTCAAATGTGATGACAAAGGACACTGTAGACAATCCAATGGTGTTCTGCTTCATTACTCAGCCTCTTTTAAGTTTGATCGGCATGACAGGTCTTCTAGGGCCTAATCATCCTTTATTGACCAATTCTCAAATTCTCATACCAATAGACCCTGGAGAACAGATGACCATGCCAAGTATAATGATGCTCAATGAAACCATCTCTTTCTTGAAACTACAGTGATCTGGTACATAAAGAGTGCATTCCATTAATAGTTACTATATTCACAGAAGGCAGCTTGCCTGTAGTAATGAAAAATATTCATCCTGTAAATGCATCACTTGCTCACTTTCTAAGCAGCCAAGTGGTATTGCTCATTTGTATCTTGAGAACGGGCAAGAGTATTCATATCGGTACCATTTCTAGTCATGTTAGTCATCTGGTTTTAATTGCACTGAAAAATAATTAACAGGAGGAAAAGAAGATAGCAATTCCCAAATGTCATTTTATGGTTATATAAGCCCCCCCAAAGCCCGTAAACAACAAAAATGTCTCTTTTCTAAAAGTATGTTGGGACATCAAATTTTTAGAAAAACTCATTTTAAAGACCAATGACAAAGCATTTAGACATTTAGAATTGTCTAATCAAGAAACTGTGGTTCTAGTTTAATCACAGAGGAGGTATATTTAAAAAAAGTATTTGTGTCTCATCTTGGACAAACTTTTGGACTTAAGCAAAAAATAAAAAAATGAAACATTTGTAAAGCAGGTACATTCCAATGTGTGTTTGTTTTCTGTCTCCTTTCAGAATAGCTTCAGTTCAGTGTCTAAGACAAGAAGTCCCAGATTGGCTAGCAACAAGTAAAAAGATATTTTTGATATCTCCCATGTTATCCTTGAGGGATGGTGCTTTACACCAACATGGGTTATTTCAGCCCTTCAATCCTCAACATTCCTCATCATCAGTCAATTTCTAGAGAAGTAGGATGAAAATATTACATATTAACAGATGATTTTAAATGTTTTAGAACAAAATCCTGAGACGATCATCTCAAATTGCTTCACTGTTAAAAACTTGTTTTACCCCAGATTACAGTTTAAAGCAGAATCAAGAAAATTCCAAAGTATAGTAATACAGAGCAGTTATCATGCAAAAAGAGAAACAATAAAGAAAAGGGGAGGGAATAATTTTGGAAATTAGGGTAAGCCAAATCCTTAAAAATACAAATTTTGGGTATACAAGACATATAACTCACTTTGAAGGTGTAGAAGGGCTGGTGATGCAGGAATTCACCATTTGAGAGGCTTTCAATGGTCTAGAACTATCAGAAAATTAGAAAATATATAATGTATACAATTATATTATTAAAAATATATATTTAATTTACAAAATGAATTATTCTGAACTATAGACCCATATCTATCCTCTTGAAAAGCAAATAATTATACTACTTTTACTAGCAATAGAGGCCAAAGGAGAAAACAAAATACTATATCTGGCCCAGCTGGTGTGGCTCAGGGTTTGAGCATCAACCTATGAATCAGGAGATCATTGTTTGATTCCTAGTCAGGGTACATGCCCAGGTTTTAGGCTCGATCCACAGTAGGGGGTGTGCAGGAGGCAGCTGATCAATGATTCTCATTATTGATGTTTCTCTCTCTCCCTCTCCCTTCCTCTGGGGGAGGGGGGGGGAGGGGAGATTATATATACACACACACACACACACACACATATGTATTAGAGGCCCGGTGCATGACATTCATGCACTTGTGGGGTGGGGCGTCTCTCAGCCAGGCCTGCACCCTCTCGTAGTTGGACATCCTCTGAGGGGTCCTTAGCACTGCTAGGGAAGCAGGAGCCTTGCGGAGGCGGGACAGGCTCCTGCCGCAGCCACTGTGCTCACCAGCCATGAGCCCGCTGGCGAGCCCAGCTTCTGGCTGAGTGATGCTTCCCCTGTGGGAGCACACTGACCACCAAGGGGCAGCTCCTGCATTGAGCATCTGGTCAGTGCGCGTCATAGTGACTGGTCTTTCCGCCATTCAGTCGATTTGCATGTTAGCCTTTTATTATATAGGAGATATATATATATATATATATATATATATATATATATATATATATATATATATATATATATAATACTATCTCTGGCCTTTCCTTGATCTAATGACCTAAATAAACAGCATTGGAAACAAAGTCAAATGTAAATGAAGTCGAATGTAACGCATATGAACAACTTGGGAAAAATTATCTTGTCCCAGTTCTTTACTTTTAAGCAATAAAATAGTAATAGCTCTCATTTTTTGAGGACTTACTAGATGTCAGCCACTGGAGTAAGAATGCGTGCGTTTCACAGCATTTAACGTTCACAACCACCCGATTATTTTCCCTACAGCTAAGTCAAGGAATTTGTCCAAAGTCTTAAAGCTATTAAATTACAGAGTCAGATAGCCTGTTTTCAGGCCTGGTATGATTCATAAAGAGCCTACATTGATAGGTTGATATAGTACTACTGCCAGCCAGAAAGAGTAACAACTCTACCAGCAGAAGGCAGTTGTACCAAGTAAAAAAAACGAACAAAAACAAACAAAAAACACACCCACAAAACCCACATCTACTCCAAAGAAAGGCCATAAGACAAAATCCAGAAACATTAAGAATCTCTGGAACAGGTTTTATTAGTATATCCGTTAAGGTCTTTAATATATACTTATAAGATGTAGTATACATTTCAATTATTAAACCAAGGAGAAAGACATTTTTACGAAACAGTATCAATTCACGTTAGCAAATGTTCATCCACTCTCTGAAATGTCTTTTATTCCACTTTAGCCAAGAAATCTGGCTTTTCCGGCGTACTAACCATATGACTTTAAGAAAATTACTTAATCTCCTTGGGTCTCCTCTGTAAAATTAAGAGTTTAGACAAAATCTCTAAAGTCCTTTTCAACTCTAAAGTCCTAAACTTTATGACTCTCTCAAACTAGAGTCCAAGTATAAAAAGGAACTACATTATATGGTTCCAAAGTAATACAAGTATGCAGAAGAAAGAGCAGTATTCAGAAAGTCCTAAGGTTTTTCTTGCATTTTATGATGAAGCAAAATTAAAGGTTACTTCTCTTCTCATGTAAAAATTTCTAGGAGCCACTGAAGTTCTTTACTCCCACTGGTAATAATACATTTATGAAGACAAAATCTATTTTTGGGGCCCCAGCATAACATTCAATATAGTGTTTCCCAAATTTCCATATCCCAAAGAGCCAGAAAGGCTTTGGTAAAAATATTGATTCCCAAGTCCTATCTTAGAACTAATGAAACAGAACTTCTAAGGAACACAGGAGTCAGTATTTATGTTCAGATAATGCATATGAGCATGCAAATTAAGTTTATATTCCTAACATATATCACACTGTGTTCTAGTGATCTAAAATCGTTAAGAGTTATTACCTAAAGAGGTAACTTTTTATGAAAGGCAACTAATGTACTTGGAAAATTTTTGAATAAGCACTTTATTACTTCAATTGATTACAATTACTTCAATCAGGCAGTAATTTAACACAAAATCTCCAAATAAAGCAAAATTAAAATTTCCTTCTTCGTCTGATTTTACCTGGCAGCTGTGTTATCTAGCTTAGTCATTCTTTTGATCAGACACTACAGGCTTTCCACATTATTATTATTATTATTAAGCCTTTCTACTTTAAAAGCAAAGGCAAAGAAATTCTCTCTTAAGGACTTACATTGCCATATGCGCACTCCAACCGAGAGTGAAGGGTGGTTTTGTACTTTCAGTGCAATGAGATGACAGGGTCAGGTATCTTGGAATGATGACTTGCTGCCCAATCTTGTTGTTAAGTGAGAGAGTAATATTGAAGCTATATCGCTTCAAATGAAGAATGAGGATCCTAAAAACAGGAGACGATGACGTCACTAGTTTGTACATAATAAAGGTAGCTCTGTCATGCGTGAAAAAAGATCACAGCAACTAGCCATGTTAAATAGCTCTTGATTTAAAGAATACATTTGATCAAACTAAAGATTTGGCCAAAGAACATTTACTGCATATCTGCTATGTGCTAGGCACTGTGTTAAGTAGTAAGAATAGAAATAAAAATAAAACAGTGGCATTGGGTGGATTTAGGTAAAATACTTACAATGTTCCTAGAAAAACAAAATACACACAAAAAAACCCCACATCAGGCAAGAACGCTATATTTTTAAATGCTAATATTGATAACTGGGTTAAATTCTTAAATTCAATGTCATATAGTTTTAAAAAATAGGTGTTATATAACCACTGATAATTTTAATTAAAGCATTAAACAGCCCTATGTTGGATGGTAAACACTGGTTTTTGACAAGCTGATTTTTTTTCCTTGTTCATCCTTACCTGAGGATATTTTTTCCATTGATTTTTAGAAAGAGTGGAAAGGAAGATGAGAGACAGAGAAAGAGAGAAACACTGATGTGAGAGAGACACACTGACTGGTTGCCTCCCACACACACCCTGACAGGGGCGGGGGATCGAGCCTGCAACTAAGATATGTGCCCTTGACCAGAATCGAGTCCAGGACCCTCAGTCCACAGGCTTATGCTCTAACCATTGTGCAACCGGCTAGGGTAACAAGATAATTTTTGACAAGAAGTAGGCTTATTTCATTAGAACTTTCTGTGAAAAAAGCTAAGGCAAACAGAAAAAATTTTCTCTACTTAAAAGTTCTACAAAATTTCATGGCACATCTGGTTTGTGGGTCTGAAAAGGCTTTTAGATCTGTAAAAACACTTCTTCTTAATTGCTACTGTGGCAACCTTTCATCTCTAATACAGAACATAATCTTTGCTTGATGGACTAGATATAGTTCATAGTGCACAAGAACACTTTAACAAGTGAATTTTTCAGAACTTTATGGGAATAAACCTCAATTCTGCAAAAATAATGTCTGATTTATGGAAAACAGTTTCATTTCTTACCATATACATATACCTTCATCACAGAAGCCACGAACTGAAAAATCTGTAAATTAAAGTTATCAACTGTATTTTTCTCTTAAAAGTATGCTAGAATTCCTAACCTTCACATTCACAACTTGAGAAAACACAAGGATACAACTGATGTGAAGAAATTGTCTAATTTGCTGACAATTAGAAATGTAAGCATTCAGAAGTCTAACTGCAATACAAAACTATTATGAGATGTCAAATATTTTGACTAACTCTTCAAATAATCATACCAAAATAAAAGGCAATATGAAAGACAGATGATACAGTTAAAAATCACTGATTTACAAAGATGAGGTAGACTAGAAATGAACAGATTTTTAAAAAAATTTTTAAGTACATTAGAAAGATATTTTTATTGATTTCAGAGAGGAAGGGAGGGAGAGATAGAAACATCAATGATGAGAGAGAACCACTGATCAGCTGCCTCCTGCATGCCACCCACCAAGGATTGAGCCTACAACCCGGGCATGTGCCCTGACTGGGGATCGAACTGTGACCTCCTGGTTCATAGGTTAATGCTCAACTACTGAACCACACCAGCCAGGTAGATTTGATAAAGACACCAGACCCTTCAAAAATAGTAGTTGATTGGCTTTAATAGTAAAATGAACAAAAACAAAAAAAGTACAATATTAAGACTTATGATACAAAGGCTTCTATTTCATGTAAGTTTGGAATAAATTAACCTTTAACATATGTGACCTACCAGAAAGAAAAAAAACTAAGACGATAAATTCCCCTCAGTATTTTTTTCTACCAATTGAAAGACCATATAGCTAGACAGCTAGAAAGGGAATACATTCAGCTTGCCAGGTCAAACAAGTATTTTTAATTGTACACCGGTTTCATTCACTAATGACAGCTGGTAATAATCTTTTGCCTTAATATTTGTCCCCTCCCACCCTCCTGACTTAAGACACTCACAAATAGCAAAGAACAAATTCTTTGTTATGATTTAGAAAGTCATTTCTTGAAAAAATATTTCATTTTCTAGAAAGGAACAAAAGAACTAGGCTCTAGAGCAGTGATGGAGAACCTATGGCATGCATGTCAGAGATGACACGCGAACTCATTATTTTGGTTGATTTTTCTTTGTTAAATGGCATTTAAATATATAAATAAATACCAAAAATATAAGTCTTTGTTTTACTATGGTTGCAAATATCAAAAAATTTCTATATGTGACACGGCACCAGAGTTAAGTTAGGGTTTTTCAAAATGCTGATATGCCGAGCTCAAAAGGTTCGCCATCACTGCTCTAGGGGCTAGGTTCCAGAAACTCCATACTTAATTCTTTTTTTTTTTTTTTTTTAATATATTTTATTGATTTTTTTACAGAGAGGAAGGGAGAGGGACAGAGAGTTAGAAACATCGATGAGAGAGAAACATCAATCAGCTGCCTCCTGCACACACCCCACTGGGGATGTGCCCGCAACTAAGGTGCATGCCCTTGATCGGAATCGAACCCGGAACCCTTGAGTCCGCAGGCCGACGCTCTATTCACTGAATCAAACCGGTTAGGGCACTTAGTTAATTCTTATTGTTACAGAAAACTTACCAACTTATAAGAGCCTTTGAATAAAGAAATACACAAATTGCAGAAAAGTACTCTTCCTATTTTATTTTCACACACAGATATATGTGTCTGTAGCAGATTTTTACTGAAAGTTTGGGATAAGAGAGGGAGGGGCTACAGCACAACACAAGAAAAAAAATTATAATTGAATGTTATACATTATTTAATTAAAAAACTACTAGTATTCACTATCATTATTCCCAAGTTTCACCAGCCAAGTCCTCTTGTTGCCATCACTTGGGACTCTGAAGTTCCTTCAACATTCCAAACCCTCCTCCTGTCTTCTCCATTCTAGCTTTCTATCCTCTGCCCTCTTCATATCTCAGCTCTACTGACCTTATTTACCAATCCACTCTGGTAAACCTTACTTATTCAGTAATATTTGTAAGTACTTTAAAAAAGAAAAATGAAAGAGCAATTAATTTTACCTGGGTAGCCTGTTAAATTTGTGCCTGACAAGAGCACACTTCCCACTACACTTCTCACAGGAATACTCAATTTCTTCTGCCTGTAAAAAGACAAGAAGGAAAAATAAAGAAGCATAAAGTTGAATTAGTATTATCCCATTAAATGCTACTAATTTTCTTTAGTCATACTACTTCAGTGGCTTGACAGCTCCGACCAGTTTGTATCCACAAACCTAACTAAATTAAGACCTAATGCTCAAAATATAGTTATAATAACATGCCCTATTTCAGAATTCCTAATTTCCTTTTTTACAAAGGAAACATCTCAATTTATGATAGTAACTCAATTTATGATAGATTCTACGGTAGCAGATTCTCAACCTTTTCCCCATGAATACATACACAAGAACCACTGCCAAGAGTATATCTAACATTTGGCCATAGCAGAGATAAGATCACCTTCAGGTTAGGCGGAGTTCCTGGTCTGTTAGGTGTAACTCTACCCCTTTCTTATAATGGAACTCAATCTTCTGGTAACAGCCCACTAAGAACAACTGCTCTAAAGGACCAAAGTTTGGGGTGGATAGCATTACCTAGAGAAAACTGAAACAAGAAATCCTTAAAAAATGGGGGTAAAGATACACAGGAAAAGCTTCAAATTCTATGATAATAGTAGGAATAGCAAGGAATGATTAAAGCAAAAAGAAAAGCAGAGTATTTATCATTGGGTGGAGCTAAATGTTACTCATTTAAAGAAAAGAAGTTTTTTAACCTTAGGAAGACAATTCTGCCCATTTGCTACAACAAAACAAGAAACACTATTTTAAAGACAAAGGGTAATCCTGGCAAATTTCCTTCAGTTATAAGGACTGCTACACAACAGGTCCAATTATGCCTCAGATTATCTGTAACAGTATTTCACAGACACAAATATTTATTTACAGCATTAGGTAAACATGACTTCTGTGTTGTTTCTAATAGAGTACATACAACCTAAGAAAAGCAAAGAGCATTTTTTATTCCTCAGATCTTAGTATACTCACTTATATAGTGTCTCCAATTTTAATCCACATTACCAAATTTTAGCATGTGTCACTTCCTAGGCTTCAAATTAATATTTGTTTACAAATAACTGCTTCTAAGGTTTAAAACACTTCCTGTTGAGTCAAATGTATAATCTATTTAAGCAATCAATCTTCTTCAATGAGTTAACAATTAGATTTATCAAGCTTTTAAAAATATTTATAAATATTTCTCATTTGTTTTCCCTCAAGTAATTTTGTCCAAATTCTGCCTTAAAGAAACCAACTTCAAATATAATTATATATGATATATAAAATTTAGTTATGGAAAAATACCAAAATATATTACTTACCCTAAAGAAAAGATCAAGAGAATCTTGAACTGAACGCAGAGGGAGTGGCTTTTTCCTTCGAGGAAGGTCGATGGAGAGGTCATTAAACTGTTCTCTTTTGGGAATAATCTCTCCACATCTGTAAAAGAAGACAAATCTAAGCATTCAGAAACCTAACTGCAATACAAAATAAATACAAATATACTTCAGGAACACTGCTCCCCCACAGTGTATGAACAGGCTATGATTAAGCATAAGAAATATACACATTTAAGACACGTTACTTTAACCCTTATTAAATCACAGGTATCCGACCGGTGTTGGTCAGTGGCTGAGCGTTGACCCATGCACTAAGAGGTCACTTGGTTTGATGCCTGGTCAGGGCACATGCCCAGGGCTGTGGGCTCAAAACCCAGTAAGGGGCATGCAGGAGGCAGCCGATCGATGTTGATGTTTCTCGCTCTCTCCCTTTCCCTCTATTTCTAAATTCAAAAAAATATATATATCCAAAAAAATCAACACAAAGGGTAATCCTGGCAAGTATTTAAGTACTTTCTTGAAATGTGAAAAGGCCCTGAGGTACCAAGATTCTGGCATTTTTTTAAAAAAGGTTAGAACAGAATGAACAAGGGGAAGAGTAATAGGAGATGAAGCTAGAGAGTAAACTGGGGGAGAGGGGTTAATCAAAGACAAATCCTAAGAAGTTTTGTAGATCATAGTAAGGATTTCAGCTTTTATTTTAAGGGTTACAAGCAGAGGGTTGACATGAACTAATTTCCATTAAAAATTTATCACTTTGACTAATGTGTTTAAAATAGACCACAGAGAGACAAGAGCAGAAAGACACCAGTTTAGAAGGAACTGCAACAATCCAGGCAAGAGATGATAGCAGCTTAGTCCAAAGTAGTGGCAATAGAGGTGGTAAGAAGGGGTCAGATTCTGGATGTACTGTGAAGAATTGAAAGGATGTGCTGACAATTAGATGTAGGGGTGCAAGAGAAAGAAAAGAATTAAGATATACACCACATTTCTGGAACTGTCATTACTGAGATAGACTGCAGAAGGAAGTTTTATGAGGAATATTAAGTACTTAATTTTAGATATTTTAAGTTCTTCAAATGAAAAATTCATAATTCTTTTTAAAAAAAATATATTTTATTGATTTTTTACAGAGAGGAAGGGAGAGGGATAGAGAGCCAGAAACATCGATGAGAGAGAAACATAGATCAGCTGCCTCCTGCACACTCCCTACTGGGGATGTGCCCGCAACCAAGGTACATGCCCTTGACGGGAATTGAACCTGGGACCCTTGAGTCTGCAGGCTGACGCTCTATCCACTAAGCCAAACCGGTTTGGGCAAGAATTCATAATTCTTCATATTCAAGAATACATGAACATATTGAAATGCCATGTAATAATTGAAAACCGGTAGATTTAAACTATAATACTTTAAAAAATAGGTATATTTGGCAAACTGGCCAAACTAACTTATAGTCAGAAGAGACAGAAGCTAAAAATAAAAAATTACAATATGAGGAATAAGGTATATAATATCTTCCTTCAGCCAGAAACTACTTTGTGGTTAAAGAACTGTCTTTTTTTTCTTTTTTAAAAAATATATTTTTATTGATTCAGAGAAGGGAGGAGAAACATCAATGATGAGAGAGATTCAGTGACTGGCTCTCTCCTGCACGCCCTCTACTGGGGATCTGCCCACAACCCGGGCATGTGCCCTTGACTGGAATCGAACCCAGGACCCTTCAGTTCACAATCTGACACTCTATCCCAGCTGTGGGCAAACTACGGCCCGCAGGCCGGATCCCGCCCGTTTGAAATGAATAAAACTAAAAAAAAAAAGACCGTACCTTTTTATGTAATGATGTTTACTTTGAATTTATATTAGTTCACACAAACACTCCATCCATGCTTTTGTTCCGGCCCTCCGGTCCAGTTTAAGAACCCATTGTGGCCCTCGAGTCAGAAAGTTTGCCCACCCCTGCTCTATCCACTGAACTAAACAGGCTAGGGCTAAAGAACTGTCTTAAAGAAAATTATTAATAAAGCAACTAAGTCATGGTCTTTGAGGAGATAGTTGTACCACAGTGGCTGTGGCCCCACAGAAACTTGTTGCCTACAGACTTGGCAAACTCCTGGGCCACTGTTCAGCCTGGTGTGCCTACATTCTGTAAGTCACGTAGTTTCATGCACCGATGCACACACCTCAACTAAACACCTGACATTTGGGCGCTGCGCCTGACAGATGCTGTTGGCACAGCGCTGGAGCCACCTCTTTGATATCATCTTCTTTCTTCCTGTGCTGCCTGTGGCCATTTCTATCAGAGGCAACTGAAATTTTTCTATAAAAATAAATTTGGTTGCCCTAGCCCAGGGATGGGCAAACTTTTTGACTCGAGGGCCACAATGGGTTCTTAAACTGGACCGGAGGGCCGGAACAAAAGCATGGATGGAGTGTTTGTGTGAACTAATATAAATTCAAAGTAAACATCATTACATAAAAGGGTACGGTCTTTTTTTTCAATAGTTTTATTCATTTCAAACGGGCCGGATCCGGCCCGCGGGCCGTAGTTTGCCCACGGCTGCCCTAGCCAGTATGGCTCAGTTGGCTGAGCATTATCCTGTGCACCAAAAGGTCACTGGTTTGATCCCCGGTCAGGGCACATACCCAGTTGTGGATACAATGCTCAGTTGGGCACATATGGGAGGAAACAGATTGATGTTCCTCTCTTCCCCCTCTCCCTTCCTCTCTTTCAAACCAATAAAGACATGCACCAAGAGGTTGCTGGTTCGATTCTCAGTCATGGCACATGCCCAGATTGTGGGCTCGATCCCAGTGAGGGGCGTGCAGAAGGCAGCTGATCAATGTTCCTCTCCCACATCCATGGTTCTTTTTCTTTCTTCCTCTCTCTAAAAAAATCAATAAAAAAATATTTTTTAAACCCTTGTTTCTCTTTTTGACTTGAACAAATTTTGTTTGGAAAGTGCACTGGGTCCTGGCTGGATGGCTCAGTTGGTTAAGTGTCATTCTGTACACCAAAAAGTGGCAGGTTCGATTCCTGGCCAAGGCACATACCCGGGTTGCGGGTTTGACCCCTGGTTGGGGCACATATGGGAGGCAACTAGTTGCTGTTTCTCTCTCACATCGATGTTTCTCAGATCAATGTTTCTCCTCCCTAACCATCGCTCTCTAAAATAAATATCTTCAGGTGAGGATTAATAAAAAAAGTGCATTAGAAGGGAAGGATGGCAGTTTATCATATTATTAACTGCTGATGGGTTTTCCAGCTTTTACAAGAAGATAAGCTGAATTTGTAAGACCTGGACTTTTTCTTTTAAAAAATAATTTATCCACTGGAGGAAAAAATGCTAAAGAAAGCATGAAGGCAACAAATGTCACAGACTGGTGACATAGCGCAATTTACAATAGCTAAGAACTGGAAACAGCCCAGGTGCCCATCAGCAGATGAATGGATAAAAAAGCTGTGGTACATTTACACCATAGAATACTGTGCAGCAGTAAAAAAAAAAAAAAAAAAAAAAAAGAACCTCTTACCCTTTGAGGCCGCATAAAGAGATCTGGAGAGTGTTATGCTAAGCAAAATAAGCCAGTCAAAGAAAGACAAATATCACATGATCTCACTCATATGTGGAATCTAATGAACAAAACAGACTGATGAACAGAATAGATCCAGAGATATAGAAGCATAAAACAGACTGATGGATCTCAGAGGGAAGGCGGGGTAGGGAAGTTGATGGGGAGAGATTAACCAAAGAACTTATATGCATAATCAATGGACACAGACAATAGTGTGGTAAAGGCCTAGGGTGTGGGGTGTGGGGTGGAGGGCGTTAATGGGGGAAAAAAAGGGGACATCTGTAATATTTTCAACAATAAATTTTTAAAAGTTAAAAAAAGTCACAGACTAGTAATACAAAACTACCATCTTTAGTGTCCACGTTTCACATGGTTATTCAAAATTCTAGTAAAAAATACTAGAATGTTCTAGCTGAGAGACCTCAGTGAACACTACATTTTGAGCAAACCAAGAAAAACAGACAAATATGGAAGCCAAAGAATGGAGAGCCAATATATGGGTATTGAGTATTTCTAAAAAAAAATTCCAGAATAAAAGAAAAGTAGTATTTAGAGACTAGTTTCCTTGAACTGAAGAAAACTCCAAATCTTCAGATGAAAAAGCTCCATCATGTTAAAAGCAAAATTAACAAAAAGTGTCTAGATCTAGATGTAAACTAGTGAAAAATGCTAATTTCCAATAAATAAGGAAGATTTTCAGGAAGAAAAAGATTATCCAGAAAATCAGGTTTCTCCCAAGTTACATCTAGTAACAAGATACAATGAAACAGCCCAGTCTACATGGCTCAGTGGTTGAGCATCGACCTATGAACCAGGAGGTCACAGTTCAATTTCCAGTCAGGGCATATGCCTAATTTTCTGGCTCGATCCCAAGTAGGGGATGTGTGCAGGAGGCAACCAATCAATGACTCGCTCCCATCATTGACGTTTTTATCTCACCCTCTCCCTTCTTCTCTGAAATCAATTAAAAAAATTTAAAAAGATACACTGAAACAGTTTGCATAATATGTTGAAGGATAAGGCTATATGTGACTGAATAATCCTGTATTAAGTCATGTATTAAAGTCACAAAATTAATTCTCACTAATACAGGGGCTGTGAAGAATTCTACTCTCTCTGAAAAATTGTATTCAGATATGTGCTACCAATAACTGGAAAATTAATCAAAACAGAACCTTTTGATGTGATACAATGAACATGGAAATTAAATTTAGAAAGTAAATTTGAGTAACTAATGTAAATATGGTTAAAAAGCATTGCAGAAGTTAAAAATAATTCAAATTTTGATCTATTTTATAAAAACCCATTTTTAATAAAATCAATTTGGTTCAATAAAATAAGCAATAGCAAGTTTTTTCAGGATAAAAAGAACAAGTATTCCCAGATAACTTGATATTCCACACAGCCCTAGCCGGTTGGCTCAGTGGATAGAGTGTCAGCCTGCAGAGTGAAAGGCCCCAGATTCAATTCTAGTCAAGGGCATATGCCCTGGTTGTGGGCTCGATCCCCAGCAGGGGACTTGCAGGAGGCAGCCAATCAATGATTTTTCTCTCATCACTGATGTTTCTATCTCTCTTTCCCTCTCCCTTCCTCTCTGAAATCAATAAAAATATATGAAAAACAGCCAAAACCGGTTTGGCTCAGTGGATGGAGTGTCGGCCTGCGGACTGGAGGGTCCCAGGTTCGATTCCGGTCAAGGGCATGTACCTGGGTTGCGGGCATATCCCCCGTGGGAGATGTGCAGGAGGCAGCTGATCGATGTTTCTCTCTCATCGATGTTTCTAACTCTCTGTCTCTCTCCCTTCCTCTCTGTAAAAAAATCAATAAAATATATTTAAAAAAAATATATATATATGAAAAACAAACAAAAAAAGCACACACACAGTAGATCAAAATGAACTGTTATCACTAAAGTATATGGCAAAATATTTAAGTACTTTTTAGTTCTCACCCCAACAAGCATTTTTACAGAAAATAGTAACACTAAAAAAAGATGTCTGTATTTCTGTTTTTCCCATGACATGGGAAGGAAAATGTGGTAAGAATTAAAACCTTCAGAAGAGTTTCAATCACTTGCCATTAAAATTAAAAGGAGCCCTAACCAGTTTTGCTCAATGGATAGAACATTGGCTTGAGGACTAAAGGATTCCAGGTTTGATTCTGGTCAAGGGCACATGCCCGGGTTTTGCAGGCTCGATCCTTAGTAGGGGACATGCAGGAGGCAGCTGATCAATGATTCTCTCCCATCATTGATGTTTCTATCTCTCTCTCCCTCTCCCTTCTTCTCTGAAATCAATAAAAACATATTTTAAAAAAAAGAATTAAAAGGAAAAACAGATTTCTTGGAGACTACTTACGCTTTACAGATAATGGAGTGTTGAACCTCAAACTCCAAATTAGTAATAACAGGGCAAGTGTATACTCTAGTGGCTGAAATATCTGGTGAATTTTCTTCTCCAGGAACAGGTTCAGTCTTCCAAGTTTTATTTAATTTTTCCATATCCTCTTTTAGCTGGTCTAAGCACTGACTTAGAAATTCATGAGCATCCTAAGAAGGTATAACATCTTTAATCAGATCAAAACATTTTTTATCACAATAATAGCTTATCAACATTATGATTTATAAAACTAAGCACTTGGGAGTCAATAACACTATATTAAAAAGTAACATAGAGATTTACTCTAATGATTTACTCTACATATTTTCTGAATAAGAACAAATGATGAATTATATATTCTTTACTATCAGTGAGATTAGCAAGAATAATGGAATCACTTCTTACTTCATTTTTTATAAAAAAAGGTAATTTAAAAAAAAAGCCTTTGTAGGTAAAATACCCCAAGTTCCTTCACGGACAGAACACATCTGTATTATTAAAATATAATAAACCACAAAAGAGTCACATTGAACCTTACCAGAAGTTCTTAGGTTCTCCAACCTGTGATGAACACAACATATATGTATAAATCTCACTTTAAAGTAAAAATCAGGTAACACACTAAGATCATTTCAATTTCCACTACCTTTAAAGTGGCTAAAAACAACTGGTACTCACATTCTGCATATAACCAGAGAATCTCTCTGCTGTAGCAGAAATGGCATTTTTAACCTTCTTGAGTAAATCCTTTTTGGTCTCTGAATTACAGGTATCTTTTTTTACAAGCAAGTGTGCAAAGCGTCTGGTAAAACAAAAGAGAATAGTTTAGCATGTTTTACAAAACACTGAATGGTATGATATTTTAAAGACTATTAACATAGCACATAGAATTTTAAGTGTCTAAAACTTCATTATTCTATAATCAATAAGGTAAAAGTTTACTCAGTAAGTACGTAACAGTTACCTGATAAGTGCATTGTGTGGAATTTTCTTCCATGGGATACCTTGCTTAAGCAGGTCATTTGCAAATGACTGGAGTGAAAATAGGGACTGTAAAATAGCATTCATATAGCAAGTATTTCCCAAGTTGGAGAAGCTGAAAAGTAAAGAAAAAATACTTTTGAAGACATTGGTAGTTCCTGAAGTATGTTCATTAGAGCATGGGTTCTCCAGAAAAGCATGCATCAGAATCACCTAGAGGGCTTATTAAAATACATATTGCTGGGCCCCATCTCCATAGTTTCTGATTCTGGAAAAAGAAGGTGCAAAAATATGCATCTCTAATAGGATCAACTGATGTAATGCTGCTGGTCTGGGACCACACTATGAGAACCACTGCATTATAACATTACTAGAGGCCCAGCGCACGAAATCGTGCACAGGTAGGGTCCCTACGCCTGGCCCGCGATCAGGGCTGATCTTTCCTCGCTGCTGGCAGCTGGCCGCATCCCCACTGCCACCGGTTGCCCTCTGTGTGTGGGGCGACCGATGGGGCGATTGGGGCCCTGGCACTGCCCACATCCGCCACCACTCACCCCCGGTTCCCAGTTCGCCATTGGGCGATTGGGGCCTGCGGGCTGGGGGCAGCTTCTGCGTTGAGCATCTGCTGTCTGCCCACTGGTCGTCAGTTTGCATCATAGCCGACCGGTCGTTCTGCCATCGGTCAATTTGCACATTACACTTTATAAGACTAGAGGCCCGGTGCACAAAAACTTGTGCACTGGGGGGGGGGGGGGGTCCCTCAGCCCAGCCTGTGCCCTCTCACAGTCTGGGACCCCTCAGGGGATGTCCACCTGCTGGCTTAGGCCTCCTCCCCAAGGGATTGGGCCTAAGATGGCAATCAGACATCCCTCTGGCAGTCCGGAAGCCCTCGGGGGATGTCCACTTGCCAGCAGGGAGCAGACCTAAGCTGCAGTCAGACATTCTTAGCGCTGCTGAGGAGACAGGAGAGGCTCCCACCACCACCGCTGGCAGCCATCAGCCTGACTTGTGGCTGAGCAGAGCTCACCCATGTGGGAGTGCACTGACCACCAGAGGGCAGCTCCTGCATTGAGCGTCTGCCCCCTGGTGGTCAGTGCGTATCATAGTGAGCAGTCATTCCCAGTCTTTCTGCTGTTAGGGTTAGTTTGCATATTACCCTTTTACTATATAGGATAGAGGCCTGGTGCATGGGTGGGGGCTGGCTGGTTTGCCCTGAAGGGTGTCCCGGATCAGGATGGGGGTCCCGCTTGGGTGCCTGGCCAGCCTGGGTGAGGGGATGATGGCTGTTTGCAGCCGGTCACACCCCCTTCAGGGTGGGGGTCCCCAATGGGGTGCCTGGCCAGCTTGGGTGAGGGGCCAATGGCTGTTTTCAGGCTGGCCACACCCCCTTCAGGGTGGGGGTCCCAACTGGGGTGCCTGGCCAGCCTGAGTGAGGGGCTGAGGGCCGTTTTCAGGCTGGCCGGCGACTGAAGTTCCCAGCCTCTCCTTTTTCTCATTTTTTTTTTTTAATTCTGGGATTTATTTACCTTCTATAATTGAAACTTCGTTGCTGTCACTGGAGCTGAGAGCCAGCTCCAGCTCTGAGGCCATGGCCTGCTGAAAGCAGGTATCTGGGGTTTGTTTAGCTTCTATAATTGAAACTTTGTTGCTGTCACTGGAGCTGAGAGCCGGCTCCAGCTCCGTGGCCACCACCAGCTGAAAGCAGGTATCTGGAGTTTGTTTAGCTTCTATAATTGAAACTCTGTTGCTTTCGAAGCTTAGAGCTGGGCTGTGGCAGGTGGAGAACCTTGGCTTCCTCCATCACTGGAGCAAGCAAGCCTCCTGCTCACTTCAGCTGCGTGGCTGCCAGCTGCCATCCTGGTTGGCGGTTAATTTGCATATCACCCTGATTAGACTATGGGAAGCGTAGCAAAGGTACGGTCAATTACCCTTTTTGTCTTTTAGTAAATAGGATAACAACATATACTTTCAAATAAAAGCTAACAGAGGCTGGGGACTTATGCAAATTGCTATTTGTTCTTAGTAGGACCACTGGGTCATAGAATACAAAAGTAGGGCAAAAGTAGGTTTACAGTTGTGAGTAAACAAAAGCTTATCATTGTATTATTAATCACTGCATTATTTTCCATATGAACTGTAAACCTACTTTTGCCCCACTCTGTATATGTTGTGTTTAGCTTCAATGATTACTACCAAACCCTTTCCCAAAGTACCTATTTTTAAAAAACCTTTATTTAGAAATATTCTCAAACTTTTAGGGAAGTTGCACAAGAATATTCTTTATCTAGATTCACCAATTGTTAATCTTTTGCACTATATGCTCTATCATTTCATACCTCTGTGAGTTTTATTTTCCTGAACCATTTGAAAGTTGCAGAAATCATACCCCTTTAGCTCTAAATACTTCAAGATGCATTTCCTAAGAACAAAAACATACTTCAGTTGAATCACTTTATAGAAAGAAAGCAAAATGAAAGAATTTACCTACCCCTGCAGTTGCTGTTGGTGAGAGGAAAGGGGCACTCTTGGTTTATTCCAACCAGTATAATCTTGATTACACCTCAATTTTTTAACAGATAGAGGAGCTGGCTGAGGAAGAAATCCCAAACTTCTTTTGGCAGAGGGAGTTTGGCTTGAGATGTTAGTCCTATAAAAAAGAATAAAAATATAAAGAAGCAAAACAGTTTTTAAAATACTCCCCTCTCACCCCCATAAGTAGATTCAGAGAAGTCATATCTGAGAGAAAAAAAATCTAAATTTGGGGAAATACCAGTAATAATGATCACTTGAGGAAAAAATCCACAAATTCCAAGTCTGATAGAGAGCTGAAGAAGCATATAATACTTAACCTACAATCAAAATAATCTAAGTCAATGGCTTAAGAAACAGTATAAATATAGTTTTACATTTTTATTCACTTTTACCACTTAATGGATATCATACATTAGTTTGCCTAGTTTGAAAACATTTGGACAGTTAACTTTTTCCACTATTAAATGACACAACCAATATTCTTACCCAACCTACTTGAGAACAACTTTCAGTTTATATGCTGAGAAGGGAAAATATTAGTATCTTTTAATTTTCCTAGATAGTGTGATTTTTTCCAAAAAGACTGTACCAATTTACAGATTCCAACAGTAGTGATTTCCATTTCTTCATATGGTCTCCATTACAGTATTACTAATTTAATGAGTGACACATGATCCCTCATTGTTATTTTATTTTCCTGATTACTACTGAAGTCGAATATATTCTTATAATTGTTTACTCTTCTCTAAATTTCTTTTTGTGCACCCTTAGGTTTTATATCGGATTCTTAAAGATTTGTAGTTTTTTACACATTCTATATTCTAGTCCTTTGTCTATTAGATATCCTAAGTTTCAGGTTTTTGCATAGTCAAATTTATCATTTTTCTTTTATAGTTTCAAATTATGTGTCTTGTTTAAGACTCATTCTGTAGCATAAGGTCATAGAAATGTCTTCCTTAAAAGTTTTAACACCTGTTTTCCCTCCTATTTAGGTCTTTAATCTGCTTGAATGTTTATTTGCTTGTATGTTGTGAAGTAGGAATATGATTTGCTTTTTTTATAAGGAAAAACTGTCTCCAAATGACTTATTGTCTGGCTAGGCCATCTATTAGCCACTGTTTGGTTTTATTGTAAAAAAAAAAAAAAAAAAAATGTGTGCCTTAGTCGGTTTGGCTCAGTGGATAGAGCCTGAGGACCGAAAGGTTCTGGGCTAGATTCCCATCAAAGTCATGTACCTCAGTTGCAGGCTGCTGACCCCTGCCCAGGGCCCTGGTCAGGGCATGTGCAGGAGGCAACCAATCGATGTGTTTCTCTCACATCGATATTTCTCTGTCGTTCCCTCCTTCTTCCACTCTTTCTAAAAAGCAAAGGAAAAATATCCTTGGGTGAGGATTAAAAAACAAAATGTGAAGTAGAATACTTTACAAAAAAGTATGTAAAAATGAAATGTGTACCACTGTGTCAATTGCGAGGGAAGCTGCATGTGTGTGGGGACAGGAGGTTCATAAGAACTCTCTGCACTTTTTGCTCAATTTTATTATGAATCTAAAACTACTCTAAAAAAATAAGGTTTATTAATTTTTAAAAAAGTGAAATGTAGAGCTCAACAACTTTTAAAATTTTACTGATTTCAGAGAGGAAAGGAAAGGGGGAAGAAGATGGGAACATCAATGATGAGAGAGAATCATTGACAGGCTGCCTCATGCACACTCCACACTGGGATACACCCCACAACGCTGCAGCCCTCCTCACAGGGAATCGAACCATGACCTTCTAGTTCATAGGTAAACGTTCAACCACTGAGCCACGCCCCTGGGCAACTTAGCAATCTTTATAAAGTAAATACCTATGTAACAATCATTCATGTCAAAAAACTCTAAATGCCTCCTCCCAAACACAACCCTATTCCTCTACCCTAAAAGTTATCACTAACTATTTCAGGTTTATCCTTTCAATGCACTGCTAAATACTGTAGTTTGGACAATGCAAGGTATATCTGTTTCCATTCTTTCTCTCTCAACCTTTCTGCATCTTTCATTGCAGTTGTTTCTTTTTAAAATAGCAAATAGATTATTCCTCCTTAAAAATCCAGTTTAGCCCTCGCTGGTTTGGCTCAGTGGAATGAGTGTCAGCCTGCAGACTGAAGGGTCCCGGGTTCGATTCCAGTCAAGGGCATATGCCCCCAGTTGCAGGCTTGATCCCCAGTGGGGGCGTGCAGGAGGCAGTCAACAGTGATTCTCTCTCATCATTGATGTATCTATCTCTCTCCCCTTCTCTCTTTTTTTCTGAAATCAATAAAGATACATTAAAAAAAAAATACAATTTATTGCCCTGGCTGGTGTTTAGTGGTTAGCACAATGGCCCGTGGACCAGTGTCTTGGGTTTGATTCCCAGTTGATGCTTCTTCTCCCCCTCCCTCCCCCTCCTTCCCCCGTCTCTAGAAGTCAATGAAAAAAGTATCCTTAGGTGAGGATTTAAAAAAAAAATCCAGTTTATCTTTCTCTTTAATTGAAGCATTTAGTATATTTATATATAATATACTTAATGATTTGGGTTAATAACTGTTTTAATATCCTTGCCTACTAATTCTATCATCTGTATAATCTGAGTCAGTACTTATTAATTTTTCTCTTCCTTATGAGTTGTGTTTTCCTGCTTATTAGTATGACTAGTAATGTTTTCTCAGGTGGCAGACATTGTGAACTTTACCTTGGTGGGTGCTGGATATTTTAGACTTCTATAAACATTCTTTTTGTTGGTGTTGTTAATCTTTATCAAAGGATATTTTTTCCATTGATTTTTAGGAAGACGGAGAGGGAGGGGGAGGGAGAGTGGGAGGGAGAGGGGAAGAAAAACATCAATGTGATACAGACATTGGTTGCCTCCTGCACGCACCCCAACCAGTGCAGGGGATTGAACCTGCAACCCAGGTATGTGTCCTTCACCAGAAATTGAACCAGCAACACTTCAGTGTCCAGGACTATAAACATTCTTGAATTTCGTTCTGGAATGTGGTTAGGTTACCTGGAAACAGTTTGATCTTTTGGGGCCTTGCTTTTAAGGTTTGTTATGAGGGACCAAAGCAGCAATTAGTCTAGGGATAGTTTTCATCACTAATAAGGTAAGACCTTTCTTAGTATTCAAACTGCTATTCAGAATAGGAACTATGCCTGGGTTTATGTGAACTCCCTAGTATTATTCCCTTAGATCCTCTTGAGTAGTTCTTTCTCTAGCCTTGCCTAGATTTCTCACCTACATAAGATGATTGGCAGCCAACTGAATACTCAAGGTGGACCCTCTGCAGATCTCTGCAATTCTTTCTCTGTACAGCTCTGCCCTCTGGTGCCCTGTGAATTCTAGGTGCTTTGGCCTCTCTAGATTCTTAGCTCCATTTCCTGAACTCAGGAAGAGCACAGGGCTCTGCCTAATTCCCCCTCTGTGTGGCAGCCTGAGAACTTTCTCTAGAAAGCAAGCTGGAGCAGTCATAAGGCTAATTTTATTTGTTTCCCATCTCTCTAGGATCAATATACTTCACTGCCTCATTTCCAATGTCTTAAGATCCATTGTTTCATATGATTTGCTCTGGTTCATAATTGTTTCATGAAGGAGGACAGTCTGGTCCCTGTTACTCCACCTTGGCCAGAAAAGGAAATCATCTTTAACTGTTTAATATGTCTAACTTAACTGTGGCCTCCTCTTAAATAAGAAAAGGAACTTAAACTTGTCCTCTGGAAAGAGGACATGTACAACTAGAAGTTAAGAAACAAAGGGAGATTTACTATTTACTTTTCACTGTATCCACTCTGTAACTTTTGAAGTTTCTACTATATGTATTTATTAGTTATACAAAAGAATAAATTTTAAAAGTATTTTGATGTTAAAATTCACCTTTAAAATTATTTTGCTCAACAGTATTTCTTACTTTCACTCCTGTTCAGTTTTCTTTTTGAATACTTTCTTGTATTATCTAAAAATAGCATTGTCTGCATTCTTCAATTAGAATTTAGCTGGGTATACTGGTAGAATTATTTGATGCTATTACTTCAGTGTCTTCTGTTCCTATGTTGCTAATGTCAGTCTGTTTTACCTTCATAGATGACATTTTCTTCTGGTAGCTTTTAAAATTTCTTTATCCATCATATTCTACAATGTGAATTTTTATTTTTTTAATATTTGCTGTTAGCACTTGTTGAGGTAATTTTTCCATGTGTGGACTTTCATCATTTTCATCTATCATGTCTTTGACAAATTCCTTACTTTTATTCTTCTTAGTCTTTCCCCCCAGAATGCTATTAAGACATGGAAGATAGACCATGGAGACCAACATAAGTCTCTCAATTTCATTTACATTCATCATCTCTTCTCTGGTGCATTCCATGATCATGCCTGACGTACTTAGTAGTTGCCTCAGTCTGGACCTCTAATCTGCATAGGACTTTATGTTAGGGGTTCAGAATTCTTGCCCTATGAAGGTAACACTAAAGCAGATACCAAATCACCGCAATTCCCATTTCTTTGTATTTTTTCTTGCTCAACGAGCATCAGGCAAGCAGCACATTTATGGTTTTGTTTTAGCTTATTAGCATAGAGAGAGCAGTTGTAGATACCCACCTTCATGTAGCTTCATATAAGAAACCAGGTTCTGGTCTGGGGTCTTGTTCAGTTTCCAACCTCATGTTAATTTTGAAGACCCAACCGTAAATACTTGACTCCTGTCTATGTTTTCCATGTGTCTTATGGACTCAGCCTTTACTCAATATTAGTTTTCTCACTTATCTGAAAATTTTTACCTTATTTTTTGAATGTAGCTTTGCATTTTGAAAAATCACTCCCCTCAATCACTGCTTTGTGCAATGAAATGATTATTCTATTACTTTGAGAAAAAATCTGTATTGTACTAATAAATCATTTATAAACCAAATGCGTTTTTTTAAAACTTAAGATTTCTTTATGATCCCTCTAATAAACAGAAATAAGCCAAGCTTCCTCTCTCTTAAATTCAAATGACCTGCCGAGACCGGTTTGGCTCAGTGGATAGAGCGTCGGCCAGCGGACTGAAGGGTCCCAGGTTCGATTCCGGTCAAGGGCATGTGCCTGGGTTGCGGGCATATCCCCAGTAGGAGATGTGCAGGAGGCAGCTGATTGATGTTTCTCTCTCATCGATGTTTCTGGCTCTCTATCTCTCTACCTTCCTCTCTGTAAAAAATCAATAAAATATATTTAAAAAAAAAAAAAATTCAAATGACCTATAGTTACCACTGCACTCATAAAGTGCTTGACAGATACCACCCAAAGTCTTATATACTTAAATATACATTATCAAATTCTTTACTTCACCTTAATCATTTTCTATAAATAATCAAGATGTTTTTTACCACTCTGAATTTCCAGTAAAAACCAAAATATGACTTAATAGGTCATTCATTATATACCATATTTATTATACAACATCATTACCATTACTTTTTACATTTACCATTGCTCCTCTGTGCTACAATCTGTAATCACACCTTCCTGACAAGTGTTTAGCAGTTGTCTTATATACTTATATCCAATAAATCTCAAAAAATGGCTGAAACCGGTTTGGCTCAGTGGATAGAGCGTCGGCTTGCGGACTGGGGGGTCCCGGGTTCGATTCCGGTCGGGGGCATGTACCTGGGTTGCAGGCACCTCCCCAGTGGGAGGTGTGCAGGAGGCAGCTGATCGATGTTTCTCTCTCATCGATGTTTCTAGCTCTCTATCTCTCTCCATTCCTCTCTGTAAAAAATCAATAAAAAAAAATAAAAAAATTTAAAAAATCTCAAAAAATGTAATCTACAGCTATAGACCACAATTAAATTTTTGACTAGCCTTTTCCAATAATGTGAAACTTGTTTTTTAAAAAGAAAATGCCCTTATAGATCAATGGAATAGAATAGAGAACCCAGAAATCGGCCCGAACCAATATGCTCAATTAATATTTGACAAAGGAGGCAAGAACATACAATGGAGCCAAGATAGTCTCTTCAATAAATGGTGCTGGGAAAATTGGACAGATATATGCAAGAAAATGAAACTAGACCACCAACTTACACCATACACAAAAATAAACTCAAAATGGATAAAGGACTTAAATGTACGACAGGAAACCATAAAAATTCTAGAAGAATCCAAAGGCAACAAAATCTCAGACATATGCCGAAGCAATTTCTTCATTGATACAGCTCCTAGGGCACTTGAAACGAAAGAGAAAATGAACAAATGGGACTACATCAAAATAAAAAGCTTCTGCACAGCAAAAGAAACCATCAACAAAACAACGAGAAAACCCACTGTGTGGGAAAACATATTTGCCAATGTCATATCTGATAAGGGCCTAATCTCCAAAATTTATAGGGAACTCATACAACTTAACAAAAGGAAGATAAACAATCCAATCAAAAAATGGGCAAAGGACCTAAATAGACACCTTTCAAAAGAGGACATTCAGAAAGCCAAGAGACATATGAAAACATGCTCAAAGTCACTAATCATCCGAGAGATGCAAATCAAAACAACAATGAGGTACCATCTCACACCTGTCAGACTGGCTATCATCAACAAATCAACAAACGACAAGTGCTGGAGAGGATGTGGAGAAAAAGGAACACTTGTGCACTGCTGGTGGGAATGCAGACTGGTGCAGCCACTATGGAAGACAGTATGGAGTTTCCTTAAAAAACTGAAAATGGAACTCCCATTTGACCCTGTGATCCCACTTCTAGGAATATATCCCAAGAAACCAGAAACACCAATCAGAAAGGATATATGCACCCCTATGTTCATAGCAGCACAATTCACCATAGCTAAGATCTGGAAACAGCCTAAGTGCCCATCAGTAGATGAATGGATCAGAAAACTGTGGTACATCTACACGATGGAATACTATGCTGCTCTAAAAAGGAAGGAACTCTTACCATTTGCAACGTCATGGATGGAACTGGAGAGCATTATGCTAAGTGAAATAAGCCAGTCAATGAAGGAAAAATACCACATGATCTCACTCATTCATGGATAATAGAGACCATTATAAACTTTTGAACAATAATAGATACAGAGGCAGAGCTGCCTCAAACAGATTGTCAAACTGCAGCAGGAAGGCCGGGATGGGTTGCGGGGCAGGTGGTCGGGGGGTAAGAGATCAACTAAAGGACTTGTATGCATGCATATAAGCATAACCAGTGGACATAAGACATTGGGGGATAGGGGAGGCTAGGGACTGTCTAGGGCGGGGGGATAAAATGGACACATATGTAATACCCTTTGTAATACTTTAAGCAATTAAAAAAAAAAAAAAGAGGATAATGTGGAAAAAAAATAAAAATAAATTAAAAAAAAAAAAAAAAAAAAAAGAAAATGCCTTAACTTTTGATAGGTACCTTAAAAAATACACAGGCAACAAAGGCAATCTGTTGAGATCTTAATATTTTCATAATTTGGGATGATGGAGAATTCACTGATCCAGAATCTGATCATATTGCCAGTCACAACCTGTGGCCTCAGTACAAATTTTCCTAGAATTTAGTTTATTCATTTACTAAAAAATATAAAAAAGAAGAGTTTTAATGAAAATATTTGTAGGTACTTTTTAACTAAAATGTCAGGATTCTATGATTTTCATCAATTTTGTTATTTTAAATTAGTGTATTCACTTAGAATATACTTAAAGATGTAATAAACCTTAATGTTGAAATTAAGGTACATCTTACAAAGTTGATGTGAAAGAGAGGGGGTAAAGGGTATTCATGCATAATCTATCCCTTCATTCAATATCTGAAGAAGCCCTAGCTGGTTTGACTCAGTGGATAGAGGATCAGCCTACGGACTGGAGCAGCAGTTGCCAAATGGTGGCCCGCAGACCACTGGTGGTCCGTGAGGTCCGAAAGGTTGGCGACCACTGGACTGGAGAGTACCAGGTTCGATTTTGGTCAAGAGCACATGTCCGGGTTGTGGGTTTGATCCCCAGCAGGGGGTGTGCAGGAGGCAGCCAATCAATGATTTTTCTCTCTCATCACTGATGTTTCTCTCTCTCCCTTCCTCTCTAAAATGAATAAAAATATATTTTTTAAAAATATTCTGAAGAAGAGAGCTCTTTAAGTTCTTTACAGAGCATATAACCAATGCATACCTGTCTAGATTAGTATTGCCAGAAGAGTAGTCCTTGGATCCAGATCTGCTACCATAAAAGGATGATGACTGCAAAGGTAAAAGTCCTATAAAACGAAGAAACACAGGAACAATTTTATTCCTAAATCAACCATTGAAGTCCAATTAATAATAAAATTATGCATTGGGCCTATTTATATTTAACTCTTTTCCCCCTTTCTTTTCATCAAAGTTGGATAAATGTTAAAAGATCTATACTGTGTAAAAGGTTATAATAGCTAAGAATACTCTCCTGCCCTAAAGCTCCAAAAACTTTTTAATTTATTCATTTTGAACAGTATCAACTGACTCCCTATTAGGAGAAACTTGAAATTTCTCATTTACATCACCCCTACTCTTATGTACTTCCTTCCGACCAATTATTAGTTGTGTTATTTTAGTTCAACTGATTAACTTTGTAACTTTAACACACTTAAAACTTCTACATTTTGTTCCACGAACCTTCTTATCTTCCTTCTCTCTCCTCTTCCACCTTAACTTTTGTAATGTGTATCTTAACTTCAACATTGTTAAGGCTTATTACACCTTCAAGTATTTTCTAACTATAGGTTGATTATAAAAGCTTAAAACTAGTAAATGGAGATTATATAATGTATTATTATTTCAGAGATAAGAAGTATATTCAAGATACTTCTTTCTGTAGGAGTCTAAAATCACAACTCGGAAAGGCTAAAAGGAGATGATTTCTAGAGTCTTAATCGAATTAATTCCCTTAAACTCTCAATTTATCAAAATTATGCCATATTTTAGTTTGCTTCAATTTAATTTCAAGTTGACATAATATTCAAATCTACATAGTTCAGAGGATCATAGAGATTGGTTAAGTGTAGGAAATATTAACGAAACTTAATAGACAATTTAACTTTTAGATTTTGTAAAAACAGGGTACAAGGTGAGATTAAGCAATTGCTTTAGGCAATAACTTCAAGATCTTATAGAACTTATAGTAAATGGCAACACTGATGAACTTTAATTTCAATCACTTTAACTCCTTGAATTCACTTTAAGGTACCTTGATAATGAGAGTTTAATTCTAGGCAGTTAAATAGGGAAGAAGGTAAAGTCTAGACTCTTTATAAATAGAATAAAAGGTCCCTTATATTTCTATACTTTAAAAGTATTTTAGCAGAGTACTGGATACAAATTGGTGCCCAATAACTAGTACTGAATTATGGAGTATTCCTGAATAACAGAGAGGTATGTCCCAATTTAGGGTTTTATTTCTAGTCTATACAGTATATCCTATATAATAAAAGGCTAACATGCAAATTGACCAAATGGCAGAACAACCAGTCACTATGACACACACTGACCACCAGAGGGCAGACGCTCAACACAGGAGCTGCCCCCTGGAGGTCAGTGTGCTCCCCTGTGGGAAGCCGGGCTCACAGCTGGTGAGTGCAGCGGTGGTGACAGGAGTCTCTCCTGCCTCCGCAGCAGCACTAAGGACCCCTTAGATAAGCCGGCAGTTGGACATCCCCCAAGAGGTCCCGGACTGCGAGAGGGCGCAGGCCAGGCTGAGGGACTCCACCCCTGCAGTGCATGAATGTTGTGCACCGGGCCTCTAGTTATATAATAAATGACTATCTTATATAAAGACCAAATACTTACCTGAAGTCCTATTCTCTTCCGACTGTTTCAAACTCAGCTGCTTCTCTCTACTGCTGGTTAAATACTTTCTTGAGGGATCTGTCATAGCTTTGTTGTTCCTATAATCAATAATTTAATTCAATATATATGTGTGTAAAGTGTAATTCTTAATTTTAAATAGCTGTCATTAAAAATTTACATTTCAAGTGCTAAATTCATGGATTTGCATGGAAGTTATGCTATAAAGTGTTAAAGCCTCAAAAGGTCAGAGACTTAAGCAAATGAGAATCATGAAAATAAGGTTTCATTACCAAGTCAAAAACCAACCAATCCATAACCCTATTGATTAAGCAAAAATGAAGGAGCATTTTATTTTTTACAAAACTCAAACCAGAGACAGCAAGATTACACAGGTTTTCTTAGTCAAAAGCAAGGGCAGATGAAATGATTTAGCTACTAAAATACCAAAAGAATCAAGAAGTAAACTATTCGAGCTTGATACTAAATAGGTTTAAAAAGTAAACATAACGGTTTGTTGAAGGAATGAATGAGTGAGGATGTGTCAAATATTCAAAGACCTGTGTACAGAAGAGGAATTGGATTGATTAATAATCTTATCTTAGTGTGATTCTATTTCAGAGTAAGGCACAGTTTTTCGGCAGTTTGTTTATCACTGAATAACCCCAAGCACATAACTGGTACTCAACAGGTATCAGTTAATATAATTGCTCACTGATGCTTTTTTTTTTTTTTTACTTTTGACATGTTTAATATAAGAATATTCACATTCTTAAAATAAAATCAGAAAATGTTGTCATATAGCTAATATATTGTAGACATTTTTAGACCATATGGGAATATTAACCTTGTCCTCAAATTGCTTATAGTTTACTTATGGAGGAAAAAAAAAATCCAGCCCTGGCCAGGTGGCTCAATTGGTTGGAACCTCATCCCATACACCAAAAAAGTTGTGGGTTCAATTACCCATCAGGGCACATATTTAGGTTCTAAGTTCAATCCCCAATTGGAGAGCATACAGGAGGCAACCAATGTTTCTCTCTCACATAGATGTTTCTCTCTCTTTCCCATTTTCTCTAAAAAAATTAAAAAAATAAAAATCAATAAACATATCCTTAGGTGAGGATTTAAAAAAAAAACCTCACAAGAAATAGAACACATTATTAGCAAGAGGAAGATGTACAACAATGTAAGCAATATCACATGGTGGCAATATTGTTTGGCCAAAATATATACATATATTTATGAATATGAAAAATGGATTTTTAAAACAAATGTTTGCCAAATAAACTTGTGAAGTTTATTTGTAAAGCAAAGAAAAAAAGTAAAGCAAAGAAAAAAGTAAAGCAAAGAAAAAAAACCCTAAAATGTTCTTATAGTCTATAGATTTGAAATACTATTTACTGTGTCAACATCACTTACGAGTAACATTTATAGTAAATTATTTTTTTATCTTTAAATTCTTTATGAGTTAAGGTATTACAACTGTGTCTTCATCCCCCCATTAACCCCCATCCTAAATTATTTTAATTTCATGAACACAAAGGTAAAGTTTCTTAAGCCCCATTTCCCCCACTATCATTCCTAAACTGATATTCAGATAATGCTCATGCTTTAATTAAAAGTGTTTACTTTAGGAGGACCATTATGAATAAAGCCTGTATTAAACAAATTAGATGCTCCACCCAAATTCCCTCTGACCCCATTTTTGTATCCTCTCTTCCACATCAATTTAGGTATGTTTTCCATAGCAGTACTTAGGACTATCCCTAATAATATTCTATTATTGTTATTTTGGTTTTCTTAAGGGATTTGTTTTCTGTACTTCACTGTCTTGCCCACCCGATTCCCTTCCTGGTAACCCCTGGGAATACTTCCTTAATAAATTACTTGCACACTTAATCTCCATTTCAGGGTTTGCTTTCTGGGAAACTTGATCTGTAACAGCTGGAACTAAGAAGCACACTCTAAGGACAGGATTCTGGAATTGGATCACTTGTTTGGCAATGGGAAGAGAAATCCCATTGCTGATAATACCTCTGTGATCCACAGTGTATCTGTACTGAATTGGAATGGGATAAAGTGAAAGAAATATGGCTCATGCAGTATCTCTAGCATTCATGGAAATGTGGTAGAGTGCACAATGAATCTTGGTGGAGTTATAGAAATGTTCAAAAACTGAATTTGGTAATGATTGCACAACTCAATAAATTTACCAAAAAATTATTGAATTGCAGATTCAAAACAGGTGAATTTTATGGACTATAAAATGTACCTCAATAAAGTTGTTTAAAAATGTCCCAAATTGCCCTAACTGGTTTGGTTCAATTCTCGGTCAAGGGCATGTACCTCCTTTGCAAGTTCAATCCCGACCCCTGGAGTGGCGCTTGTACGGGGAGGCAGTCAGTCTATGTGTCTCTCTTACATTAATATTTTCTCTCTCCTTCCCTTTCACTCTCTCTAAAAATTAATGGAAAAAATATCCTCAGAAAAGGATTAAAAAAGAAAGTCCCAAATTATTCCCCTTCTAATATTCAACACCTCCACCCCAAGAAATGCAATTGCTTCTAACTCTCAAACTGAGGCAATGATAAGAGGTAAATGGAAAAGTAGTTTGTGAAAACTTGGATATTAGCATTAGGGGAAACTGGGTGAGGGATATATAGGAACATTCCATTTCATCTCTGTAACTTTTCTGTAAATCTAAAATTATTCCAAAATTTAATTCTTTCTGGACCCTATAAAAGCCTACTTGTTGTGCCTTTAAAGGAACTTCTAGATTTCTATAGACGCTTCTTCCAAAACAGCACCAGCATGAAACAGGCTACAAAGAACAGTTTTCAAAACCTTCAGCTATAGCCTTGAAAGATAACAAAGGAAACCCACCAAAGGACAAAGCCAGGAGTCATATGGAATACAATGAACAAGGATTTCTCTCAGAGGAAAGAACAGAGATTGCTACATGTACTAATCAAGAATTTACTCCCCTGCCCTGGCTGGTTTTGCTCAGTGGATAGAGCGTGTCCTACAGACTGAAGGGTCCCCAGTTTGATTCCAGGTTGTAGGTTCAATCCCCAATGGGGGGGCATGCAGGAGGCAGCCGATCAATGATTCTCTCCCATCACTGATGTTTTCTCTCTCTCCTTCCCTCTCTCTCAAATCAATAAAAAATAAAAAAAGAACTTACTCCCCTGCCTTCACAATTTCTGCTTAGCAAGATTTTATTGCTGCCACAGACCAGTGACTCTTCCAGTTTCCTATTCTGTCTATTCTAAACGTAAATTTTTATTTTTTATTTTATTGATTTTTTACAGAGAGGAAGGGAGAGAGATAGAGAGTTAGAAACATCGATGAGAGAGAAACATCGATCAGCTGCCTCCCGCACATCTCCCACTGGGGATGTGCCCGCAACCCAGGCACATGCCCTTGACTGGAATCGAACCTGGGACCCTTCAGTCCTCAGGCCGACGCTCTATCCACTGAGCCAAACTGGTTTCGGCCTAAACGTAAATTTTTATTGTGAATCTTCTGTGCCTACTCCAGCAATGTACAGGCATACCTCATTTTATTGCACTTCACACAGCAGTTTATTACAAATTGAAGGCAAGATCCTCTACCAGCAAAAAGATTATGACCACTAAAAGTTCAGATAATGGTTAGCAATTTTTTTTAGCAATAATGTATTTAAAATTAAGGTATACACTGTTTTTTTGTTTGTTTGTTTGTTTTTTAAAAATATATTTTATTGATTTTCTACAGAGAAGGGAGAGGGATAGAGAGTTAGAAACATCGATGAGAGAGAAACATCGACCAGCTGCCTCCTGCACGCCCCCCAGTGGGGATGTGCTCACAACCAAGGTATATGCCCTTGACCAGAATCGAACCTGGGACCCTTGAGTCCGACGCTCTATCCACTGAGCCAAACTGGTTCGGCTGTTTTGTTTTTTTTTTTAATATATTTTTTATTGATTAAGATATTACATATGTGTCCTTGTCCCCACGTTACCCTCTACCCCCCACCCCCCCCACCCCCGCTCATGCCCTCACCCCTCCGTTGTCCATGTCCATTGGTTAGGCCTATATGCTTGCATATAAGTCCTTTGGTTGATCTTTCCCCCTTACCCCCACCCTCCCCTACCTTCCCTCCAAGTCCCGACAGTCCAATCAATGCCTCTCCGTCTCTGGATCAGTCCTTGTTCATCAGCTTATGTTGTTCATTATATTCCACAAATGAGTGAGATCCTGTGGTATTTATCCGCTCTCAAGTTCCATCCATGCTGTGGCAAATGGTAAGAGTTCCTTTTTCTTCTTCCTCTTCTTAAAGAATACCTTTCAGCATTTCATATAATGCTGGTTTGGTGGTGATGAACTCCTTTAGCTTTTTCTTATCCGTGAAGCTCTTTATCTGACCTTCTATTCTGAATGATAGCTTTGCTGGATAAAGTAATCTTGGTTGCAGGTTCTTGCTATTCATCACTTTGAATATTTCTTGCCAGTCTCTTCTGGCCTGCATGGTTTCTGTTGAGAAATCAGCTGACAGTCGTATGGGTACTCCCTTGTAGGTAACTGACTGTCTTTCTCTTGCTGCTTTTAAGATTCTCTCTTTATCTTTTGCTCTTGGCATTTTAATTATGATGTGTCTTGGTGTGGTCCTCCTTGGATTCCTTTTGTTTGGGGTTCTCTGCGCTTCCTGGACTTGTAAGTCCATTTCTTTCACCAGGTAGGGGAAGTTTTCTGTCATTATTTCTTCAAAAAGGTTTTCAATATCTTGCCCTCTCTCTCCTTCTGGTACCCCTATAATTCTGATGTTGGTACGCTTGAAGTTGTCCCAGAGGTTCCTTACACTATCTTCATATTTTTGGAATCTCTTTTCTTTTTTCTTTTTCGGTTGGGTATTTTTTGTTTCTTTGTATTTCAAATCTTTGACTTGATTCTTGGGATCCTCTTTTCTGCTGCTGGATCTCTGTAAATTATTCTTTATTTCAGTCAGTGTATGCTTAATTTCTAGTTGGTCCTTTTTCATGTCCTCCATGGTCTCCCTATACTTATTGAGGGATTCATTAAATTTATCGGCGGTTTCCATAAAATTCTTGAAAAACCTTATAACCGTGGCCTTAAACTCTATATCCAATCGTTTGCTTTCCTCCATTTCTGCCATTTGTGACCTGTTTCTTTGTCTCCGCATTTTGGCAGCTTCCCTGTGTTGATAGAGTGGCCCTGCGCGCCAGGTGTCCTGTAGGGCCCAGTAGCTCAGCCTCCCCAGTTACCTGGGGTGGACACTCTTGGTGCACTCTTGGTGCCTTGGTTGTTGTAGAATCACTGGGAGGAATTGACCTCCAGGCCAATTGGCTGTGAGAATCAGCTGTGTCTAAAGTGGGAGAACTTCTGTGCTGAAGACACCCTTCTGGGGCAAGACTTGCTTCAGTGGGGCTTTGGTGCTCACTGAGTCTGCTCCCTGAGTGCGTCCCTTATGGATCTGAGGAGTTGCAGTCTGGATGGACCCCCTCTGACCACTGGGTACAGTGGCTCCTGGATCTAAGGAGGTGCTAATTCAGCCTCTGCCTGAGGCCACACAGCAGGAGCCACGAAGAGGCTCAGCTGTGAAGCAATGCAAGCCGCTGCGGGGCCTTGGGCCTTCTCTTGGAAGTTCCAGGTCTGCCTGGTTCGGCTGCAGTTAGGTACATTCACATGCAAAAGCCTCTGCGGCAGCCTGGGTGGGGCGGGGTCTCAGGGAGTCAGAGGGCGGAGAAAGCGGCCATGGCCGATTCTCCGCCCGGAGTCGCGCGTCTCAGTGTTCCGGTAACGGCTGCAAGCACCTCTGAGGGAAAGCCGCCCTCAAGTTCGCTCGCTGCCGGACAGACCAGCTTCTCCCCGTGTGAGACCTGGGTCCCCAGAGACTTCCCGGAACCGGAGTTCAGAGCCGTCGGGAGTTTGTGATTCAAAAAGACAGCCGCGTCCTCAGGCGCCACCCCCTTTCCTCGCGCGCGCGCGCGTGCGCGCGCCGCCGTACCTCTGCACTTCACCTCCGCAGCGCCTCTGGCTCTCAGCGTGCTTTTCTTTCCTTCTAGTTGTGGAATTTACACTCAGCCAGCCTTCCTGTTGTTCTGGATGATGTTTGCTCAGTCCTTTGGGGTAATTTTCAATTGTTGTGTGAGGCAATAATTTCCCGGTGTTTACCTATGCCGCCATCTTAGTTGCTCTCCTGCTCTATTCTGTTTGTTTTTTTTAAAAGACATAATGCTATTGTATACTTACCAGGCTGCAGTGGGAAACCAAAAAACTTGTGTAATTTTATTGCAATATTTCCTTCACTGCAGTGATCTGAAACCAAACTCACAATATCTCTGAGATATGCCTGTATAATGATATGTGTATGGAGATGGGCATAGGGAATGCAGACTAACTTGCCTTTTAGTTTTTAGGAACCAGATCATAAGGCACCTGGTCCAAAAGAGCACACTTGGACCTTATGGAGAGGACTGCACATCACTAAGCAATCCTGGACTTGGAGCTGGATACAAGGACTAAATGAGAGTTGGAGGCTGTCTCTATTAGGCTGAGGGAAAGAGTGTTAGTAAACAGGGCTATTTCTGTGGATATAGGGGTAAACTACAACAGCCTGTTAGTAAACAGGGCTATTTCTGTGGATACAGGGGTAAACTATAACAGCCTGTTAGTTGTCCCCAAATAACCATTGTACCCTTCTGCCATTATAAAATTTGGGCTAGGCATATTTACTGGTCTTCCTTATAACTTGATATAACCATATGACTAAGTTCTGGTCAATGTGACATACATAAAAGTTGTGTGTACAATTTCCAACCTAAAGGAAAGCAGTATGCCCTCCCTTTGCTCCTCTTTCTTTCTTCCCTCTGATAGGAATGCAGACATGAGAGCGAAGACTGAAGCAAAATGGAAGCTTATTAAGGACAGTGAACAAACAAGATAAAAGGAGTCTGAGACCTTGGTGATTGTGGTTTCAGATACCACACTATTACCTACCCAGATTTTTACATTTATTACAGCAGCAGAACCAAGATCTTAATCTATACTAATGAAAGGGTAATATGCTAATTAGACCAGGTAGATCGGACGTCCTTCTGGACATCATTCCAGACAATGCCATGGTGGCAGGGCCGAGGCAGAGGTGGTTAGGGGCAATCAGGCAGGCAGGCAGAGCAGTTAGGAGTGATCAGGCCAGCAGGGGAGAGCAGTTAGGGGAGATAAGGCTGGAAGAGGAGAGTGGTTGGGGGTGATCAGGCTGGCAGGAGAGAGTGCTTAGGGGTGATCAGGCCAGCAGGGGAGAGTGGTTAGGGGCATCAGGCAGGCAGGCAGAGGTGGTTAGGGGTGATCAGGCAGGCAGGCGAGCAGTTAGGAGCCAGCGGTCCCAGATTGTGAATCGGACATCCCCCAAGGGGTCCCCGATTGGAGAGGGTGCAGGCTGGGCTGAGGGACACCCCTCCCCCGCCCTGCAGCAGTGCACAAATTTCATGCACTGGGCTTCTAGTTAAAGTTCCTTCACCTTTTTCCCAGTTCTTTTATGGTGATCTCTTAACCTCAAATACCAGTTAACTATCAATTTTTGTTAAGGTGTTAACTGAGGTATTAACTAAGAACTGTGTCAAATAAGTTTTCTCCCCCTAGAAGACAAAAAAGACCCTCCCATGAAGAAAAAGAGGATGTGAGTTGGTGACTGTCTTGTTATAGGTGGATACCTTTTTGTTCAACCCAGAAAATAACTCTAAAAGGTTGACACTCAATGCCTAGAACCTATGTATGGTTTACATTTTTTTTACCCCTAAGCTAACTTTTCACATGAATAAGGTAAAAAGAAATTTTTGTAGGTAAAGGGAAAAGGGAAAGAAGGAGTCCACTCTAAAAGAGCAGACAGCAAGAAACATTTATTAGAGTTCTTCAACTCTACTCTTCCTCTAAGTCAGTGATGGCGAACCTATGACACACGTGTCAGAGGTGACACGCGAACTCATTTTTTTGGTTGATTTTTCTTTGTTAAATGGCATTTAAATATATAAAATAAATATCAAAAATATAAATCTTTGTTTTACTACGGTTGCAAAGATCAAAAAATTTCTATATGTGACACGGCACCAGAGTTAAGTTAGGGTTTTTCAAAATGCTGACATGCCGAGCTCAAAAAGTTCGCCATCACTGCTCTAAGTACTGCAGATTTTTTAAAAAAATCTATAATGGAAGAAGTGCAATCAAATGATCAAAACAATAGTAATGGTCAATCTATCACTAAAATACTTTAAATTCTGCTTTTCTATCTTTGAAATTCCCATAAATTGAATAATCTTCCCTCACAGTTGTAATTACCACTATAACAAATACTGATCTAGGGCCTTAAAAGCTCTTAAAGCAACTTACGATGATGAATCATTTTCCTTAGGGTAATCTTCATTCAACTCTGAGCCAGACAGCATTCTTTTCCTCTTTTCAGTTCTATAGAGAACAGAGAAAAGGACCTTATTTGAAAAAGTCAGAATTCATACCATTAAAAAGTATTAAACAACACACTCAAGGACAGATACTGTGACTACTGCTATCTAATTCTCTATACCACATGTAAAATAACATACCATATATCTGCACACTCGATATGTGTCACTGACATAAACCACATAAAACAAATACTAATTATCTACCAAAGATGCACTCTATACTTTCTTCTAACACATTTGACTAAATGGAAAATCTCACTCTTTTTCTCAAACTACAGGTCTTTCTATAAAGCTTAAAAGACATTTCTAAACAGGCACAGCTAATGACTAAGAAAGAAAAAATGTCTTTCATACCTATTTTCTAATAAACCTGATCTAAGAGGTGTTGATGTAGATGTCAAAGACGGAATCGTTCGGGTGACAGTTATTCCATTTCCTACTGCAGTCTTAATCGATCCTCTACCTGGATTACCAAGAACTTTTCGAAATGGAGTATCATCTTTAGTTTCCAAACTTCCTCTTTTTGAAGAGGCCTGTAAGAATAAAGTTTGAAATAGTAAATTGTCAATTTGCAAACTTTTAGACCAGTGATTCTCAAGTGAGAAGTATGAAAAAATACATACAACTAGAGACCCATCACCAGAGAGTCTAACCTAATTGGTGTGGGAATGAGGCTCATTCATCAGTATATTTTTTAAGCACCCTAGGTGATTCTAATTATGATCAGTGTCATAAATTGAGCAACATTTTTTCCCCCTGTAGTATTCTTTTTTTTTTCTTCTCTCGAATTAAAGAATCACATTTATTGCAATCTGGGACTATGAGGGGCCATTCCCTAAATCTCATAGTGATAAGATGGTGGCAAAACCAGACTTATATAGGCAAAGATCACAAAGGTATTGATTACATCTCAAGGTTTGGAATGAGGAACCTGGTTTGCAAAAAAGCAGTTTACAGAAGCAGAAGCAGCCTGTTAATTATAGTTTTGGGTCTCTGGATCACAGAGTTGCCAGGAACACATACATTATCTAGAGCCCTCGGGTCTTGAGACCACTGAGTTGTCAGGAACACATTATCTAGAGCCCTCGGGTCTGGAATGAGGAACCTGGTCAGACTTAAGCATGTGATCTAAATTACAGTTTTGGGTCTCCGGAACACTGAGTCAACAGGGACACGTTAACTGGAGCCCTCTGACCTTGGGATAACTGTACTGTCCTTCCCAGGTAAAGGAAAATGTGCTTTCTAAGACCAGTATGACCACTACAAATGGGATTTCACATTACAATCAATAGGGTATTAATCGAATGGGGTGATTTATATAATTCAGAAAATCAAAATAACTTTTCTATTGTTAAACAAAGCAAATAAGTACAGAAGTCAAACAGCATGGTTAAAGTTAAACTACAGTTTCTACCTGAGATGACTGCTACCATACTTCATTCCCCACTGGTTTTATGTACATGAGCCAAATCATGGACTCATCTTCATTAGTTAGGGGATTGTACTGCCCCCTAACTACAAGTAGTTTGACAGAATTAATTTTTCTGAACTGCCTGCTCTCCTGTTCCCTTGACATCTAGCCCCTGTAATATTCTTATAAACTTAAAAATTCCAAAACATACCTAGAGGCAGAAGAAAAATACTGTGAATTATTTATTTTAAAAAAAGGTGGGGGAGGGTTCACATATAAAGACATGGTTCTAGTAACCAGGATGAAAATAAATCTTTAGAGAAAAATCCAATTATAATTATGATAAATTAAAGTGATGTGTGTGTGATGTGCCGATGAGTAGTATCCAACTCCTGGCAACCCTAGGAATAAGTGATGTCCACAATGTCCTGTCCTCAACTGCCCTGCTCAGCTTCTGAGGAAACATGCTTGTGGCTTCTTTTATGGTGTCAATCCATCTTAGTTTTTGTCTTCCTCTTTTTTTGCTGCCTTCTATTTTTCCCAGTATGACTGTCTTAAAATGACTTAGATGTGACAAAAAGGAGCAATAATGACATTTGGTTGCCACAACTCAAATGCCAAGTCACATGTACATCATTATGACTTTTGAAGGGGTTCCAGTTTGGAAAAATGAAACAAATATATGTAATGATGGAGAAAATGATAGTGACATAGAGCTCATTGCAGAAGCTAAGTCAAATACTCTACTACTCCCAAGACACAGCAAAAAAATTTGGAGAGAAAACAGTAATAAAAAAATACAGGGTGGGGCAAAAGTACACTTACAGCTGTTTGTATAGAAAATAATACAATAATTAATAAATAATAATATAAGAATAAACTGTTTCCTGTACTGACAACTTTTGCCACACCTTGGGAAACAGTGCTTTCTACTAGCATTCTGCCAGATTGAAATTTTATAACTATATTAAGAGCTATGTGAATTACAATCTTAGGATAGGGAAGAAAAAAATGTGAGGCTCTCTGCATGAACAATTTAAAAAGTTACACTTATTTTCAAATGGGTGATACATACTCAAGATTCAATAATTGCCAAAACCGGTTTGGCTCAGTGGATAGAGCGTCGGCCTGCGGACTGAAAGGTCCCAGGTTCGATTCCGGTCAAGGGCATGTACCTGGGTTGCGGGCACATCCCCAGTGGGAGATGTACAGGAGGCAGCTGATCGATGTTTCTCTCTCATCGATGTTTCTAACTCTCTATCTCTCTCCTTTCCTCTCTGTAAAAAATCAATAAAATATATTTAAAAAAAAAAAAAAAAAAAGATTCAATAATCAAAATACAGGGGGAGCAAAGGGATACTGGAAGAGATTAATGGGGGGAAAAGAAGGACCTACGTAATACTTTCAACAATAAAAATTTTTTCAAAAGTCCAGAATAAAAAAAATAAAAACAAAAAAACCCATGCAAAAATCAAAATACTATTATAAAAACCACATGCTGAAAAATTTCATTATCACCCCAATGCCATTCACCCATTCTTCCACTCCTCATTTTCCTACTCCTTATAAGTATTCTTTTATTGTTCCTTTATGCAGAGGCAAATCAATATTTTATTCTTTTTGTTATATACATGGTAGCATACTATATGCAAACTGTTTTGCATTATCTTCAACCTTATTTGGCCCCATAGTAAGACACTTTACATTGCAACCTATTACACATACATGTAAAGTAGAAATGAAACAAAAGTTTCAGAAACCAATACTTATCCTTACTATGTATAATACCTATTCTATTCTATTCTATTCTATTCTATTCTATTCTATTCTATTCTATTCTATTCTATTCTATTCTATTCTTTCCTTTTTTATTTAATGCTAGTCACAGCCCACAAATTAATTTTATAATCTTAGAAATAGGAATTACTTATGGAGTATAAATATTTGCTTCTGCTATACATGATAACACTTACACATTTAAATATTTCAACAGCTTACATTTCTACCTATACTAGTAAATGGGTGGATCTCAAAGTAGTTATGGTGAGTTAAAAAGCCAGACCAAAAGAAAAAAAATTACACACTGATCCCATTCATATACACTTATGCAAATTAATCTATAGTGACAGAAAGCAAATCGTCTGTGGCTTAGGTGTAGGAACCAGAGAGGGAGAGGGAAGGAAGGACAACAAGGGGAGAATGGGGAAACTTTTAAGGGTTATGGCTATGTACACTTGGTTGACTGTGGTGATGATTTTACAGATATGTATATGTAAGTCAAAACGTTTCAAACTGTACTTTAAATTATGTGCAATTTATTGAATGTCAATTATACCTCAACTAAAATGTAAAAAAAATCCCACCCATCCTATACAACAACAAACTAACAAAAATGAAATTTTGTTCACTGCTTATCCCAGTAAATGGACTAAGTAATCACCTCGATGCACAGCCAAATAAAAGTAATCAGTTCCAAAGTTTCTCTTTGTGCCCAGTTTCACTTTGTAAAAAAAATGAAGAGATATAGGGCTGTTTAATTGCAACAGTGCATAGCAAATCTCATGGCTGGCTGAATATTTATGAAAGAAAAACTATTTAAAAAGCAAACAGAAGACTTTAACAAAAGAGTCTGGTATCATATAGTGTGGGGGCAAAGTTCATAATGTAGAACAGACACAAATGGCATCATAAAAATAGTAGCAGCAGACTCTGATCAGGTTGTTAGTATATGGTATTCACATGCATTATCTCACAGCAACCCTTAAAATATCATTGCTGTCTCAATTTTACGGATGGGTGCTAAGGCTTAGGATACTTAAAGAATCCCTCTGATGACTCACAGCTAGTAAGTGTCAGCACCAAATCTCAAGTTCACATACAACTCCAAAGCTATGCTTTTAAAAACCATACTGTACTTTACTGCAGTTCATAAGACATGAGACACTGAGCAAAGATTAAATTGTATTCTGTAAAACTGTATGTAAGAAGGGAAGTGATAAGTTTTAGAAAGACGTTCATAAAAAATAGTTGGAGACTGAAATAGCCAAAATGGTAAATTTCAGGTATGTTGAAAAGACCCTTAGGACAAAGCCAGAATTATTAGGTATTACAGTCTAAATTCTAATTCTTGCAATTACCTTATAGCAGGGGTCCTCAAACTTTTTAAACAGGGGGCCAGTTCACTGTCCCTCAGACCGTTGGAGAGCGGGACTATAGTTTTAAAAAAAACTATGAACAAATTCCTATGCACACTGCACATATCTTATTTTGAAGTAAAAAAACAAAACGGGAACAATATTTGTATTTGCATGTGGCCCGCGGGCCGTAGTTTGAGGACCCCTGCCTTATATAGAATGTCTATCGTTTTTTTAAAAAGCTTTTAGATTCAAAAGTACATACCTGATTGTCTGAGTAAGAAAGCTGCCTGTTGGTTTCCTTCTGTGAGGTTCTACTGCCCAGAATAGCTCCAAAACTACCAGACCCCTGAGAAGGTTTCATGGCTAGTGCAAAAGAAAAAAAAAATCCCAAATCACTCATTTTAATATCGAGATTTTCCATTATTAGTATATAACATTGCAGAAGTAGAAGCAGAAATAAATTAAAGTGCTTATTAATCAATTCTTTCTGAATAGAAAGCACATCTGATATAAATTGTAATTAAAATTTAGAGCTAGTCTCAAGCAAAAAATGAAATAACAGGCAAAAATTTGGAAACATATAATAGGACAAGATTTTATTTTTTAAAGTATCTCATAGGGTTGTTATAAGCCTTATAATATAAGGATTAAATATTTTTTAAAAATGTATTTTTATTTATTATAGAGAGGAAGAGAGAGGGAAAGAGAGATAGAAACATCAATGATGAGAGAGAATCATTGATTGGCTGCCTCCTGCACGCCCCCTACTGGGGATCGAGCTTGCAACCTGGGCATCTGCCCTTGACCGGAATCGAATCTGGGACCCTTCAGTCTGCAGTCCGACGCTCTATCCACTAAGCCAAACTGGCTAGGGCTAGGACAAAATTTTAAATGCTAGAAATTCTCCTATATCGATATTTGGTAATTAACACTATAGAAAAGTTAGTCGCCATGTGTCTATGGCATGAACACTGACATTGGATGAATGCCAAGAAGACATGTCAGAACCAGTGGCAGATATATTTCTAATAATGTATACTTCAAAATATTCTCTGTAAGTTCAGCAAGTGAAATGGCTTGTATTCCAAAGAAATCAACAATAAAGAACACGCAAAGTACTGTATATACTTTAAAAAATATTTTATACTTAGTCAATTCCCACTGATGATCATTTGGAATGTTTTAATTTTTAAAAATTGAAAACAATGCTGAACATCCTTTCAGATCCCTTGCACTAATGGTACGATTTTTAAAGGATAAACTCAAAATACTAACTGCTGGGGTAAAATAAAGGATGCTCTGACTAGGACTTCCAGTACTATGCTGAATAGAAGTGGTGAAAGAGGGGCCGTAGCTGGTTTGACTCAGTGGGTAGAAGCGTTGGCCTGCGGACCCGAAGGGTCCCGGGTTCAATTCCCGTCAAGGACATGTACCTTCAGTTGCAGGCTCTTCCGCAGCCTAGGCCCTGGTCAGGGTGCATGCAGGAGGCAACCAATCGATGCATTTCTCTCACATCAATATTTCTCTCTTCCACTCTCTCTAAAAACCAATGGAAAAATATCCTTGAGTGAGGATAAAAAAAAAAAAAAAAAGAAGTGGTGAGAGGGCATCCTTGGCTTGCTCCTCATCCTAGAGGAAAATCTTTTAGTCTTCATCATTGTGATTTTAGTTGTGGGCTTTCACATATAGCCTTTATTATGCTGAGGTAGTTTCCTTTTACTCCTATTGAGTATTTTATTGAGTTTATTGAGTATTTTTTATCATGAAAGGGTGCTGAATTTTATCAAATATTTTTTTTGCATTGAGATGATCACGTTGGTTTTTGTCCTTTATTCTATTAATTTGGTGTATTACATTGATTGATTTTTTTCATATCTTAAACCATCCTTGCATTACAGAAATAAAACTCACTTGGTCATAGTGTAATCCTTTTAATGTGCTGTTGAATTTGGTCTGCTAATATTTTGTTGAGGATTTTTGCATAAATGTTTACCAGGGATACTGGTCTACAGCCTAGTAATATTCTTTTATAACTACTAATGTCAGACCTTGGGATAATTAGTGCTCACCTGCATTGAGTCTGTTTTGATGGACTGCATCTAGAAACAATCTCATTTCCTCTGCATCCTTACTTGGTACTTTGTCAATAGATAAGAAGCTGTTATCCTGTAGCGTTAACATTAGGCGGCTTTGTTTTGCTCCACTGGGTCGAAGCACCACATTTTTAATGTTATGACTTAGCTGATTAACACAAAAGGGAAATGATCTTATCATTAAAAACATGATAATGAAGTATATAAGTTGTATAATGAATACTAAACTTTATACTTTCTAAGTTACATTTCTTACTCTTCCCCACATTAGGTTTTTTTCCCCAACCAAAAATAGTTCCCACTTCTTGACACATTCAAATCAAAGATTTCACTTTTAGAAGAGGCAAACACATAGTATTAAATTTTATTTTACATTGTAATCCTAGCAGTCTTGTTTTTATGGCAGGAACTTGCATATTTTCAGGTACAGTTACAAAGTTATAAAAACTAGTGAGTTAGAAGGGGATCTTAATATAAAGTGACAGAAGATATTTGACTTTGGGAGGTGGGCAAACAGTGCAATAAACAGATCTTGTAACATAGAAACCCACACATAAAACCTGTATGTTCATGTTGACCAATGTGACCCTAATCAATTTAATAAAACTTTAAAAATAAATTAATTTTTTACAAAACAGCACAACAAAAAAACTGAGGGAGTTAATTTTCAGAGTTTGGATGGTTTTTATACCATCATCGGTTTAGAAAACCCCATAGTGCAGCAGTCGCCAACCTTCGGACCTCGCAGAGCACTGGTTGGTGACCACTGCTCCAAAGGTCTCCTTAAACCAGCGGCTGCCAACCTTTCGGACCTCACGGACCAGGACCACCAGCTGACGACTGCTGCCATAGTGGATTAGAGGCTTTCTTTTTCTTTTCAACAAAAGCTTATAAAATACCTGGCAAATGGTGTAAATAGCTGTAATGTAAATAGGACATATTAATTCAAATTATAATCCTCAAAAGAATTCCACTCTCACACATTGAAACAAAACATTACCAGTATAAGAACATCTTTTTTTTCTTTTTTAATTGTTTAAGCAGGCTCATTTAACATTTATTCAATCACAAAGAACATGAGCACCCTAGAACTACCTTAGCTTACTTTTCCCACTCCCTAGAACTGGTTCAGTAACTTGTCTTATACTCTTCCAGACTCTGGACATGTGCTTTCAAGTGATAACTTTTCTATTCTCTTGGCTGAAATTTTTCCTAGAATTAATATATTTTGTAGTTTATTACCTAAATAATTCCTGCCAATCGGGCAAACTTGTTCTTTAACATTCTCCCCCAGCAGGCGTATACAAAAGTTTCTAAAGCTAGCTTTTCATGAAGACATACTCTCTTAACAGCATAAAAAAGGAAGTAATCAAATTTCATTTCTTGATTAGGAAAAATTGACCTTTACCAATATTCAGATAAGAATGAAAAAAATAATTTTACCAGTCAGACTTAATTTATATTTAAATTTTAAGTGATAGGTCTTAAGTTCCATGTCCTTGAGTAGAAATTTTTTCACAAAACACAGTAACTAGTTTTAGATGCTTTAACTCCGAAGTATAAATGAACACTTTAATATCAATAGAAAAGTAGATAACATCAATCAATATACCTCTTTTAAAAAATGAAAGTTAAGCCTTGGCCGGGTAGCTCAGTTAGTTAGTATCGTCCAGATACATCAAGGTTGCGGGTTTGATCCACAAACAAGGCACATACAAGAACCAACCAATAAATGCATAAATAAATGGAACAGCACACAGATGTTTCTCTCTCTCTCTCCCCCTCCTCTCTCTCTTTAAAATCAATAAAACAATAAAAATTGTCTTTCTCTGTTTAACTTATTTTACTTAGCACAATACCCTTTAGGTCCCATCCATATAGTTGCAAATAGGAAGATTTCATTCTTTTTAATGGCTGAGTAATATTCCATTGTATATATATACACACCACATATCTTTTTTTTTTTAATACCACATATCTTTGAAATATTTTTAAAGCTGCGAATGCATTTGATTCTAAGTTCGAGAGGAATAGTGTATTATTCAGCTCTATATTCTAAGCCCTTACTACAGTACCTACCACAGCAATTTCTAGGTGGTTAATGAATGCTGAATGCAACCTGATGTAAAACTGAGATGAGGGTGGAAACACATATAGAATCATATGCTCCTGAAGATCTATGTTAGCTTTAAATATTTAGTGCTAATTTGGGCTGAGGACTGAAAAATCAAATCTCTATTTGGAAAACAATCTTTCATTGAAATGGGCACTTTGGTATACATATATGGCAGAAATTACTATTGTTTCTATTACCCATGTCACCATGTCTTTCTTCTAATCTATTTAAGAATATCTTTCCAGCTAAAAGTTCTTCTTAAATTTATCTAGGTCTTCCAATGCTCACCAGTAGATCCCCACAAAAACTATGTATATCTTTGATACACAAAATCATAAGCAATTTATTTTCATAGTTGAAAAGCAAAGATAAGTGGCAATTTTACCTCAGCTCAGGTTCTCAAGCATAAAGTTTTATAAATTGTTCTTCTATAGGGTACTTTACATTTAGAATAAATATATTTTGTATAATTTAATTAACAAATAGAACTTTAAAGTACAGGAAAATATAAGTAAAACATTTTTTTCTTAATTTCAACTCATTTCAAAATGAGCAGTTCTTCGCTGCACAAGATAAATAGCATAGAAGTGAAAACAAAGTTAATTATTTTTTGCAGTGATAAAATAATGAGACCCTTTAAGTGTGCAAATAGCCCTGGCTGGTGTGGCTCAGTTGGTTGAGTGTCATCTCATGCACCAAAGATCACCAGTTTGATTCTCAGTAATTAGGGTACATGCCTAGGTTGCAGGCTTGATCCCCCCAGGTAGGAGGCAGGAAGGAGGCAGCTGATAGATGATCCATGTTTCTCTCTCACCTCAATGTTTCTCTCTCTCTTTCTTCCCCTCCCTCTCTCTCTAAAATTAATAAAAACATAGTATTTTTTTTTAAAGTTTGCTATTAGAAGAAAATAGCTGTAAGGACGGATGACCTTGAATTATCATCCTTGAACAGTGCATACACCATTCTGGCAGGATTATTTTGAAAGTAAACATTAAGATAACACTAATCAATCCCATTAAAAGCTAACACTAAATAATGACTCTATCATATACATTAAGAAAAAAAAAAAGAATAAAGTTATTCTAATGTGGTTTTTAAAATAGCTTCAATAGTTTCATCTTCCACTAGCTTTCTTTTCAATAATAGTGACTACTTCCTGCTCTTTATTATATACTAGAGGCCCATTGCACAAAAATTTGTGCACTCGGAGGGGAGGGGGGGTCCCTCAGCTTGGCCAGTGCCCTCTCGAAGTCTGGGACCCCTCGGGAGATAACGACCTGCTGGCTCAGGCCTGCTCCCGGGTGGTAGAGGGCAGGCCCAATACCTAGGTGCAGCCCCTGGTCGGGCTCAGAGCAGGGCCGATTGGGGAGTTGGGGCGCCTTCCCCTGTCATGCACAGAGCAGGGCGGATTGGGAGGTTGCGATGCCACACTCAGTCACGCTCAGGGTAGGGCCGATTGGGGGGTTGGGGCACCGCTCCCTGTCACACTCAAGGCAGGGTTGATAGGGAGATTGCGGCGCCACCCCGTCACGCACAGAGCAGGGCCAATCAGGGGGTTGGGGCGCTGCCCCCCGTCACGCACAGAGCAGGGCCCATCAGGGGGGTTGGGGCTCCGTACCCTGTCATGCACAGAACAGGGCCCATCAGGGAGGTTGGGGCTCCATACCCTGTCACGAACAGAGCAGGGCGGATAGGGAGGTTGTGGCCCCGCCCCCTGTCACACACAGAGCCACAGGGCGATCAGGGGTTTGGGTGCTGCCCCCTGTCATGCTGATCCCGGTGCAGGGAGGCCTCTCGGCTCCGCTGATCCCGGTGCTGGGAGGCATATTACCCTTTTACTATATAGGGTAGAGGCCTGGTGCATGGGTGGGGGCTGGCTGGTTTGCCCTGAAGGGTGTCCTGGATCAGGGTGGGGGTCCTCACTGGGGTACCTGGCCAGTCTGGGTGAGGGGCTGAGGGCTGTTTTCAGGCTGGGACTGAAGCTCCCAACCGCTCCTTTTTTCTTTTTTTCTTTTTTATTCTGGGCCAGCTTTAGCTCTGAGGCTTGGCTCCAGCTCTGAGGCCTCAGCTGCTGAAAGTAGGTATCTGGTTTGTTTAGGTTCTATAATCGAAACTCTGTATCAACTCCAGCTCTGAGATCCTAGCTCGCTGAAAGCAAGTTTCTGGGGTTTTGTTTAGCTTTTATATTTGTTACAATGTTCAAACTGCAGGCTCAGAGGCCAGCAAGGCAGGCGGGGAATGTTGGAGTCCTCCGTCACTGAAGCAAGCAAGCCTCATGTTCAGTTTATGCTGCCTGGCTGTCGGCCGCCATCTTGGCTGGCAGTTAATTTGCATATCGCCCTGATTAGCCAATGGGAAGGGTAGCGGTTGTACGCCAATTACCATGTTTCTCTTTTATTAGATAGGATTATCTATAATGCTGCTGAATAATACTATACAATAAAGGATATAATATAATATGCAAATTAACCCTCATGCCCTCACAAGATGGCTGCCTACAACCAGGCCGGCAGGGGGGGTTAGTGAGGGACAACCAAACGACTGAACAGCAGGCTGCATGGGGCAACCAGGCCAGCAGGGGGATTAGTGAGGGACGACCAAACGACTGAACAGCAGGCTGCATGGGGCAACCAGGCCAGCAGGGGGATTAGTGAGGGACGACCAAACGACTGAACAGCAGGCTGCATGGGGCAACCAGGCCGGCGGGAGGGCTGTGAGGGGTGACCAGGCCGGCAGCGGGGGCAGTAAGAGGTGACCAGGCCAGTGGGGGTGGCGGGAGGATTGTGAGAGGGATGTCCCCCGAGGGGTCCCTGATTGGAGAGGGTGCAGGCTGGGCTGAGGGGACCCTCCCCATGCACGAATTTCGTGCACCGGGCCTCTAGTTTATAAAATAAGAACATAACAGTATCAGTGTCCTGGAAATAAAAAACAAGAAATATTAATCTAGTAGAAGGGCTACCATGATTCTCAATATGGCACAGAACAGCTATTCACTAAAGGATGTGATGGAAGATCTATTCCAAATCAAAAGTTGGTAATACCTGAAATATCCTTGGAATTCCTCCAGTATTGTAGTGAACCACTAGGCTGACTTTATTATCCTTTTCCACAATTTCAAAGGATCCTTCTTTCCATTTTGTAATCCCAGTTTGCATACTTCGAATTCTGATAGGACCATGTATCTTCAGAGGAGACATACTTTCTTTAAAAATAAATTGCTTCTAGCAAAATTATAAAACAAAAATATAACTTCACCCAACAGATTCTAAGAAAGAAAAATAAAATTAAAAGTTACAATTTACTAGTGATTAAAATAAGTGTATGAAAGAGAACAGTTAGTGAACCATCTTATATGTCTTTTTCTCCATTTCCATAAACCACATTTTATTAAGCATCCTTAAAGGCCTTGATTAGCTGGATGGCACAGATAAGAAAAACAACTAAAGCAGTCACTCATGTTAAGCGTCTGAATCTAACCAACATTTAGTTCTTCTATACACATTCTTTTCTTTGTCATGTGTCTTGCACCTGTGTCTATTAGTGCCTAAATTTTGCATTTTGCACCATTAACAAGTCAAAGTGCTGCCTCTAAAGGCGTGCCAATCGATAATACTAAAAATTCCATTCTCAATGTGACCAATTTTTACATTCCTTCATGAATAATAATGCATCTTGAACTTCAAATATACGTAAAAAAATGTTTTCAGTCAACTGACTTCATTTCTTAGAATAGAGCTCCTTCCAAAATATCAAATCATATCACCAAGTAGTCTAAGCATATCCACGTTTAGAAGACATTAAATGAATACAAACTATAAGAAAAATCAAATTAGTTTAACCTCCAGAATTATTTGAGAAAACCATTTATTTTCTAGGGAAAACAAACTAACAATATAATCTCTCTTCCTAAGAACCACCTATCATTTATATTTAATATTATCATCCCAGAAAGACTATCAATTTTATCCATGACAAATATTCAAATTTCCCAAATAAACTTCTAATAACTTAAAAATGGCTTACAATAGAATTTCTAAAACTCTTCAAATTAGTTTACCAAATGTCAATACATGAATACAATTCTAGTAATAGCACAGAATGCTATCAAATAGCGTGTGTATTATACAATTCTACGTCCATATACCTTCCAGGTATCTTTACAATGAATTTCAGATCAAATTACATCACACACAATGTTAAAACAAATTTTATTTATACACTTCAAATCTTTAGAAACACTGCTCTAATACAGATTCTTGCTTACAATTTAATAAATTTTAAAAAATTCATTAAATTTTGCATCTGCAAAAACAGCTAACCTAGAAAAGCTTTAATAAAGTAGTCATCAAAACAGACTAGGTCTAGATATCAGGAACCAGCTCTGATATAATTTATAACTTATCTTTTCTAACCATTTGTTTTCTCAAGTGTAAAATAGGTAGAGCAAATGTTATAGTGTTGCAGTTAAACAACACACATTAGGCATTAAATAGACCCCAGCTCTTAATATGAAATTAGTGTCCACTTTCTGAATTTATTCCTGGTCTATAATACCCTTCCAAAGATACCAGATAAATAAGTTAACAGGGATTACCAATCCAACTGCCTATAAGGCCTGGCAAATCACATAGATAACTTAGGCAGGCAAAATATGAAAACCGTTAATCACCCCACCCAGAGTGGTTGAGTTGGTTGAGCACTGTTCAGTGTCCTGAAAGTGCAGGTGAGGTTCTTGGTCAGGGAGCACACCTGAGTTTCAGGTTTGACCCTCGGGGAGCGTAAGGAAGACAATCAATTGATATTTCTCACTCACATTGATCTGTCTGTCTCTAACTTCCTTTCTCTACCTATGTCCTTAGGTGAGGATTAAACAAAAGAAAACTGCTATTCAAATTTAGTCAATTTTATCATGTGAAAATAAGTGAACCTAGCATTGCCAGATCATCTAATTTTTCAAGAAAATGACATCCCAATTTTCATGTAAACCTGCCCATTTTTAATTGTGGTCAGTGAATTCAGTTATTTTTAAAAGCTACAAATCAGCCCTAGCAGGTTTGGCTCAGTGGACAGAGCGTCAGCCTGTGGACTGAAGGGTCCCAGGTTGGATTCCGGTCAAGGACACATGCCTGGGTTGCGGGCTCAGTCTCCAGTAGGGGGCGTGCAGGAGGTAGCTAATCAATGATTCTCATCATTGATGTTTCTATCTCTTCCTCTCCCTTTCTCTCTGAAATCAATAAAAAATATTAAAAATAAACAAATAAAATAAAAGCTACAAATCAAACAAAACCCACCTGTAGGCAGGATACAGCCTAGGGACCACTAGTTTGAGGTCTCTAGATAGTATACATCAAATAAGTGGGAATGAAATTTAAAAAGAGACATGAAAACACTTTGAATAGTTAAAAGGTGTTGCGCATTGTAAGTCCTTTATTGTTATTCACTCATCTCATCAAATTTTTTTTAAAATATATTTTATTGATTTTTTACAGAGAGAAAGGGAGAGGATAGAGATTTAGAAACTTTGATGAGAGAGAAACTTTGATCAGCTGCTCCTGCACACTCCCTACTGGGTATGTGCCCGCAACCAAGGTACATGCCCTTGACCAGAATCGACCATGGGACCCTTGAGTCTGCAGGCCGACGCTCTATCCACTGAGCCAAACCGGTTAGGCCTCATCAATTTTTTTTGGTTCCTACTGTGGTCAGATTTAGATAGTATAATTGGCTGGGTATATGAATCCATCAAAGTAATCGAGTCCACTACTGTTTTTACCCAGTCTGTTAATAAGACAGTTTGCTCAACCAGTAATTACAGAATTTTGGGCCAGCAATGTGTGTTTGTAATACTTTTCTTTGGCAATTAATAATTTGGTGCTTCATTGTTTGGATATGTCCTTTGAGATTTTTTTCCTACTCTGTCCTTTAGCACTGCCAATAATATGTGGCCCCCTCCTAACCCAGATGCCTATGCCAGAAACATGGGAGTTATCTTTGACTTTTCTCTTAATGATTATTGATATTAGATTGGGGATGGAAGGTCAAGGTAGAGTACTGTCAATTCTACCTCCATACACCTTCCAGACATTTCCATAATGAGCTGCAGATAAAATCACATCATTTTCCTCCTTAATATTATCCAATGACTCCCAACTGCCCTCATAATAAAATCTAGACTCATTAATATGACATAAACCCCCTTCATGATCCAGGACCTCCTTACCTCTCTATTCCCAACAAGCTCTCCAAATCCAGCCATTTGAACTACTTATAATTTCCCTAAAAAAGCCACATACTTTCATGCCATGTGTACATTGTAGTCAATGTTTATAGGATTTTTATGTACTTTCCCCATCCTCCATAATTTCTTCTCCTGTCTATAAAATCAAGGCTCAACTCAGATATTACCTTCTTTAAGAAGCTTTTCCTAGCTACCTTTTACTTTACTCTCACTCCATATCCACACTGACATTGTTTAAGGTTTCTCTATTCTCCTATTATACTCTGTGCTCACTGTTAGTAGAGCATTTATCACATTATATAAACTGTTTACTTTATATAAACTGTTTACCTCTTTGTCTCTACCTAGACTCTGTTATTTAAAGACAGGGAATATGTCCTTTAATCTTTACATCTCCATTAGAACAGTGTCTGACATACATGAAACAACAATCTATATATATAAAAGGCTAATATGCAAATATCCCCATGGGGGTTCAACCAGGAAACCGAGAGTTCTATTGCTCGCTATGATGTGCACTGACCACCAGGCGATGGCGTGGAACAAAGGAAGGTCCTGGCCAGCAGCTGGAATGCCCAGAAGAGCCCTGATCGCCAGCTAGGCCTAGGGACCCTACTTGTGCACAAATTTCATGCACCAGGCCTCTAGCTTAAGAATAAATAACAACAAAATAATGAACAAATCAGTATTATCAATTTATTGTTAAAATATACAGCCCTAACCGGTTTGGCTCAGTGGATAGAGCATCGGCCTGCGGACTGAAGGGTCTCAGGTTCGATTCCGGTCAAGGGCATATACCTTCGTTGCGCGCACATTCCCAGTAGGGAGTGTGCAGGAGGCAGCTGATCGACGTTTCTCTCTCATCGATGTTTCTATCTCTCTATCCCTCTCCCTTTCTCTCTGTAAAAAATGAATAAAATATATTTAAAAAATATATATATACAACAGTAGATACTGGAACCATAAATTCCTTTTATGTGACCAATATAGGGTTATATTTACTAAGTTCTTTAGAAGAGTATCACTATGCCCTGTATTACATATGACTTATCTTTTGAACACTTAAGCTTTTTCTATGTGGACCTGAACTTTTACACTAAATGTACAGCTGTTCTCATATCTTAAATTCAATGAGAGAAAGATCATTTATGAAGAAAAAGAATTAATATGCAGTTACAGAATGCATTAAAACAAAAACATTAATAAACTTGCCTAAACTGGGATTCATTTTATACACGACTCAATAAAGAAACTTCATTTTAAGAGTATGTCAGATTACTTCACTTTAAAAAAATGTCATTATGGGTCATGGTGCCAAATTAAAATGAATTAAAATAAAACCACATTATCTTAGTGTTTTCCTTACAGACCAAAAGTAAATAAAGGTTATTAACCTTGAATTCCTCCAACAAAAACTTGTTTTTAAAAATTGCATTTAACAAAAATTTGAGATGAAGATTTCAATGTTCACTAAAGTTAATAAAAAATAAAAACTTGTTACTTCTGTTTCTCTCTATATAATTTTCAAATATTTGATGCAGTTTTGATTACACATATAAAATTTTACTTCAGATATTTAGTATTTTCTTAACCTTTCTACTAGCAACCTCTCTTTCTTTGAAAGAAGAAACCCTGAAAGGTGCAGGACAAAAAACTGGCAGAACCAATAAAATAAAACTTCTAATGCCTCAATTTAGTCCATCACCTGCTCTTGTACTAAATGCATTAACTATATCTATTTTTGTATAATCATCATATTTTCAGGGTTTACCTTACTTAAAGAGAAAATAACTTTCTTTTTCAGTATTCAGCATAATTCAGTAACTGTTAAACTTTCTATGAACCTAGAACCAAGATAAGATTTCTGAATTCTGTAATGCTAATTCACTACCAAAGTGATATTAGGAAGACAAAATATAATAAAAACTCATTCTTTAAGTACACCATTCAGATTCCCCTTTCCCTAAATTTCTTCACAATTATTAAAACTACCATTCAGCCTTGAGCATTCTATGAAAGCTCAATAACATTGCCAAAAATGTTTCTATACCCTGGACAGATATTTAAATACTCCTATTTTAGCCCCGGCTAGTATTGCTCAGTGGTCAGAGTGTCAGCCCCTACACTGAAGGTCATGGTTCCATTCCCAGTCAAGGGCACATATCTAAGTTGCAGGTTTAATCCCCGACTTCATGCGGGCAGTGTGTAGGAGGCAACCAATCAATGTGTCTCTCTGCACATCGATATTTCTCCCTCCCTCCCTCCCGCCCTCCCTCCCTTCAACCGTTCCTTCCACTCACTCTAAAAAGCAATGGGAAAAATATCCTTGGGTGAGGATTAACAAAAAATAAAAACCTACAGCTTAAAAATAAATAATTAAATAAATGTTCTTATTTTAGATATTGCTTTGAAAATATCCTTATCTAGAAGGGCATTCTATGGTTAAAAAAATACACACACACACACACAAAACATGCTAAAGCATGAAAACTGTTACTAAAAACAGAAGAAAGAAAATGGTCAATTCTTGCCACTATGCATACTCTTGGAAACATATCTAAAATAAAAACATTACTTACTTTTCAGTGACTTTTACTGAAAAACCCTATGTAATAACGATTCACCTTTATTCTGATGCTTGTGCCAAAGGCAATGCAATCTTCTTGGGGAACTACTCATATTCTGCAGCTATCCCAGTTCTTCGGAAGCCATCAACTCAGCTACAGGAAATATAAGTGTGCCTTTTAAAAATAATCCAATTCACAAAATTAAAATGATTGTTAAAAGTGATCATTTATACAGCAAAGATTAACCTTTTCATTATTTAAAAACCACAAATTTAACCTTATTGAAAAAATTTAAAACATAATGCTCAGGATACACACACACACACACACACACACACACACACACACACGCACACACAACAGAACTTTAGGGATCTGTGTGCAAACTGAGGGACTCCAGGAGGAGCTGTACCTTGATCCATTTGTATCTTGGTTTATCCCTGCTACATTTTGAAACTATGAAGGCAGTGAAAAAGAATACATCCTTTGTTGACTTTATAAACATTGTCACATAAGGATGTTTTATGTCTTAAAACACCACTTCCACCAGGTGCTGTTACAAATTTAAAAAAACTGATAAACTTAGTTTTTACTTTTTTCAAAACTAGCTTTACAGGTTTCTTTCTCGAATTGAAGCATCTCTAAATCTCTCATTGCCTTTTGAAAACTAAAACAACTTTAAACTGATTTGTTCACTTCTAAAAAAATCATTTATTGAGCTACTCTAATTTGATATACTGTGGTAGGGATACAAATGTGAAAATTATACAGTCCATGCCCTCAGAAGGCTTCCCTATACTTGTCCTCCCACCATCATTGAGGCAAAAAATCTTAGTATCAGCTTTAACCTCATTCTCATTTATCAAAAACCCCATCTTTTTGTAACTACTACCTTAATTCAGAAACACATCACTTTGCTACCACTCCAATCTAATATTTATTACACAACATTTATTAAGCACAGTGCTAGGCACCATACATGCATTTATTTTCACAATAACCCTAAAGGACAGATATTAATATATATTTATAGATGAGGAAACTAAAGCTAAGAGAGATCAAGTAATTTATCCATGATTATAGTCAGTAAGTGACAAAAATAAGTCTAACATCAGAATCTACGTTTTTAACCACTACCATAATGCATCCTCATCAATGAACGTGATTCCAGCAATGAATCCTTTACCCTTTCTAAAAAACTACTTTTATTATCGCCTACCAAAGAAAGTACAATATGCACTAACTGTCTTCTTAACTTTCTCCCTGAAGGAGGGGGAGAGAGGAAGGAGGACCTGTCCTATCTTCTTTTGTACTCCTGCAAAATAACAGGCACTTTGTAAGTGCTAAATACTTGCCATTGATGCCGATTCCCTCCCAAACATTTTTAAATTCTGTGTTAAGAATACTTAACACACACACGCACACACACACACACACACACAAAGAATACCTAACACAAGATCTGCTCTCTTAACACATTTTTAATTGTACAATACAGTACTGTTAACTAAGGTACAATGTTCCACAGCATATCTCTAGAGCTTACTCAACTTGATTAAATGAAACTTCCTCCTAAACGTTTTTAACAGCTCATCACTCACTACCTATAAAATAAATCCAAATGCCTCTTTGTTTGACATTCATACATTTCCTATGTTTTATTTTCAACTTCTCAACAAAAAATGTTGTTCTATATACAAACAAATTACTGAATTTTAATACTTTCTTTCACATTCACCACCAACAACTTAAATATGACATTTTCCTTTATCTGTTTATGAAAACATCATACTCACTGGTCTCATAGTTTAACCTGTTGGTAAGATATATAAACCACTATTCTGATTTTAAGGGCTTTCTTTCTTTTTTTTTTTTTTAAATATATTTTATTGATTTTTTACAGAGAGGAAGGGAGAGAGATAGAGAGTTAGAAACATCGATGAGAGAGAAACATCGATCAGCTGCCTCCTGCACATTCCCCACTGGGGATGTGCCCGCAACCCAGGTACATGCCCTTAACCGGAATCGAACCTGGGACCTTTCAGTCCGCAGGCCGACGCTCTATCCACTGAGCCAAACCGGTTTCGGCAAGGGCTTTCTTTCTTAAAAAGATCCATAAAACAAATGCACAGAGATAAAATTAGTGTTATGGCTGAAAGAGAGAAGTTGACCTAGATAAACTTTATCTCCACTTAAAGTGTCTAAAATCTGAATGGTTTTATGACATAAGAATGTAAAAATCATCCAAAGCCATGGAAAACCCATTGTTTTTTTCTTTTGTGTTCTTTGTTTGCAGAGTGAATATTCAAATGACAAAAATATCAGTAAGCTGGTGCTTCCAAAAGACATGATGGTTCTTACAGCAAGCTCCAGTTTACTTATTCACTTAACAAATTTTTGAGAAAGAGACATAAAATAATTACTAGCTTATATTCTAATAGGGTCAGACTTTAAATAATCACACAAATAAAGATATAATTAGAAGTTCTGAAAAATGATATAAAATGCAGGGCTTGATGAGAGATTTTAATACGGTACCTGACTTAAGACTTGGGAGTCAGGGGTTAGAAAGTACCACTTAGGCTGAAAACTGAAGAATGAGTTAAGTGAAGGATGGTCATGCTGGGTCAATCCAGGCAAACAGAACAAAATGTGTAAAAGCCCTGCGATAGAAAATAATTTGGTTTGACTGAGAAATGAAAAGCAGTGTGTCTGGAGTTCAGAGAGGGAAGGGAGGATGTGCAAGATGAAGCTAGTAAAGCAGGAAAGAATCAGATTATGAAGAATCTTGTAGATCACTGTAAGGATTTCGAATTTTACCCTAAATGTAATAAACACTTAGTGATGGGCAATCCACTGAAGAGTTTTAAGCGGAGAAATGACATGTTACTGCTGAATGGACAAGTGATGTGCTTTGTTTGGGTTTCAGGAGGAGAGTGAAAGCAGCAAGAATGAAAGAAAACTGGGCAACCGGACAGGAAAGTATTGAGTGATTCAACTTATAACAACACTTACAATAACAATTAATGTTTACTGGCTATTGACGGAAGGCCATGTGCATGCTATGGTTACTGCGTTTAATCCTCATAACAATCCAATAAGGTGATGTTTATTCCCATTTTACAGATGAGAAAACAGGGTATCAGTGACATTAAGTCCAGGTGAATGAGGATTGTGGCTTCAACTAGAAAAGTGATACTGAAGATGTACAGAAATAAATTCAGTTATTAAATGCCAAGAATCCCTCAGTGCTCCATCCTAGGCCCCTTTCTTTTCTAGCACTGTACGCTCCTCAGGCAATTCCATCCACATCCATAGCTTTACCATCATGGTGGCAGATGACATATATACACTTACTTGTATGTCCAGCTCAGAACTCTCCTCTGAGCACCAACCCAATATATACAGCTGTCTACTTGACATCCTCTCTTAGATATCTCCAGGTAGATACTTTTCAGATACTGCCACCCCCAAAAAAGGGCCTATCCCTAGGCAGAGCCAAATTTTTGAAAGAACTACCACAAAACCAGTACAGGCCAACTTTCCGAAACACAGGATTTTGTCACCGATTATCATTTCCTTTAGTGGACCATGCCCTAAAATATGTAAACTTGACAACGTGATCTGATGTCTAGAGCTGGGGAGCAACCAAATGCTTGACAAAAATACAATCCATGCCTTTTGGTTAGAGATGATTAGGAGAGGAAGGTGAAGAATTGTCAAGAGTGAAAGAGTACCCTGTCCAAGGCCTGACGGATGTGCGGCTACCGCAACCTAAGTTCCCTTTAGAGACAGCAGGCCTCGTTAAGGGGCGAGTGGCGGACGGCGACAGCCCCCAGCGAAATGGGGCAGGTTCGGGCTGCGGAGGAAGCGAGTGACAGTTAGGACCAGGTCAAAGAAGGAAAGCTTAGGGATAGACCCTAGTGGAGTACGTGTGAGGCCCGGGGAGCTGCGAGGGGCTGGGGGCAGGCTGAGCAGCAGCAGGGCGAACTCCAGAAGAGTGAACGCCGAGTGGGCGGACCGCACCGGGCAAGGGGGGTCTCGGAAAACGGCTCAGTGGAGAAGCTCGCTGGGCCCGTCTTACCTGTGCCTGTGAGTCCGGGGCTCGCACCGAGTCCGCGCGGAGGGGGAAGAATGGAGGTTAAGGAAGGAAGGGACGCCGAACCCAAACTGAGGTATACAGCTCGCTCCCCCAAGTCAGGGAGAGTGGCTGATGGCGGGAACTGTGACCACACGCAAACACGCAACGCACGCACGCACACTCGACGCGACCGGACAGGGCGCGTGCGCGCAATCCTGAAAACACCGCCCCTCCACGCCCTCGTTCCGCCCCAGCACCGAGCGGAGTCCGCGGAGGTAGCTCCGCCCCATAGTAGCACGCATGCGCATTTTCACTTCACTCACTTTCGACTGCCCCTCGTTTCGTCTTAGTCGGCCTGGTGGGGCATGCGCACTACTTGTCCTCCCGGGACTTTTTCCCGCCCTTCACTGGCCTCCGGAGTAGGGTGGGAGTTCACGCCCCTCTCTCGGGGTACCTCCCAGGGGATGCGGGGACAAGTAGGTGGCAGATGTCCTTAAGGTCCTGAATCTTAAGAGGCAAAGGACATACTTTGCTGAGAGTTAGGAGGTGGGAATAAGTTGTTCAGAAGGGGTCAGGGGTGAAAGGTCATAGGACTGCGAAGGGGCGGAGCGAGCCGAAGGCGGATGGCGGCCGCGGCGGTTCATCATCTTTGGCGGCTTCAGTGCTGAAGTGGGGACGTGGGTCGGGAGCTTTCGGCGGTGGGCGTAGAGCGGCTGCCACTCCCAACATGCACAGTCTGGCGACGGCTGCGGTAAGTGACTGGGGCGCCCGGCCTAGGCCCACAACCTTTCTCTCTCTCTAGCCCTGCGTTTCGGCCTCCTCCTAGGTCCCTGTGTCGAGCCCGGAGTCCAGCTCCTACTGCCCTCTCCTCCCGAGGCCCCGGCCCCCCTCCTCGCCGCGCCTTGGCCGTGGTGGAGCCCGCCCTCACTTTTTGCTCGGCGGCCGGCTCTCGTGGCCTCTTGCGTGGCGTTTCGCGTTCTTCTCCGGCCTCGGGGCCTGGTCCCGCGCCCGCAGCGCCGGTCTCGCGGCCGGGGCCGGCCATTCATTGCGCTGACCGACAGTTTGGGGTGCCGTTTGCGCGCTGGGCGCCGGTGGGGATGAGAATTCCGTGAGCAACCTGACAGGCAGGGCCCGGGGCCCTCGGGACTCCCTGCCTAAGCACATCGCAGCGGGAAGGAAAGGGCTTCTGACCCAAACAACAGGCTTTACCGAAGCAACGCTCAGACCCGGGCTCATGTGTGACTTACGGTTCTCTGCGCTTAAAACCTTTTCCCACACATCTCATTTTATCAGTGCAGTTTTTTGACAAAAACGGGGCCTGCAGTTCACCTGTCTGAAGTAATCCTTTGGCTGCCGATTGCAGTAAGATAAAATCCAGACTCCTTGCCATGACATACAAAGCCCTCCCTTGTCTTTACAACCACGTTTGCAGTCTCCTTTTATGTCACTTGCTCGGTAGGCTCCACTGGCCGCCGTTGCATCCCTTCTACCCTCCCTTCCAGTGCGCTTTTCCATCGAAGGGGCGCTTTCTGATCTCTGTTCTTGGAACGCTCGTCCTACTCCCATGCCTTATGCACACACACACACCATGTGGGCTAACGTGGCTCCTCTTCCCTCAGGTCTCTGCCTAAACCTCCCTAGAACTGGCCTTCCCTTACCATTCTTTTTAAAGTAGTTCTGTAACCCTCGACTTTATTAAAGTACCTTTACAGCATGGATTCCACTTTGTAATTTTTGTATTCATTCCCTTGTTTTGTCGGTCTCCCTCTTGAGGACAGAGACAGGTGTAGTGTGGGCCCTGCGTACATGGCTACCCTTGTTCCTGGCATAAAGTAAGGGCTCAGGTACTTTCCTGAATGAGGGAGGTGGCTACTGAGAGCGCTTAGCCATGATGGGAACACAGGACCATATGATCTGAGCACGCTCTTCTAAATGCCCATCCCACTTGTTCTGTTTCACCAAGGTGAAGTGATTTAGGAGAGGGTAACATATGGAAACTGCATTATTTGGCAAAATGACAAGTACCAAATAGAGAACTAAAAAAATCACCTTGACTTTAAATATAAAAAGTGAGCTTCAGTGTGATTGGGCTGTAGAAAACTGTCATTTCCAGAGCCAGTGGCATCTCTGCCCCCAGACACCATGTGTCTAAGTGTTTGTAACTATTCAAAGTGGAGGGGTACCTTTTATATGTCTCAACTGGTATTTGCAGTTTCCCAGTTTTTTTCTTCTTCCAAATTGCATGTATAATTTAGAAGAAGCAAGTCAAGATGAGGTTGCTGCTGGTAGGGGAGGGGCAAGTTAATTAAGGGATTCTAATAAGGTTGGCTTGTCTGTCCATCTCTCAAAATCTGATTGTGTCTTCTCCACACTTTGATACCAAGCTGCTCTTTTCCCTGTCCCTCCCCAAACTCTATACCTATTCACTTTTATTTTCATTTGCTCCCTAATGCTTCTTTTGAACAGCCATTAAAGCTGTGTTTCATTACTTAAAATAAGTACTGAATTAATGGTTTTCCAATTAAATTTACAATACCTTGCATTTTTTAAAAATTTGAACTTTTAGGTACAGTTTCACTTGTTATGCTGTTTAGACCACACAAAAGTGCTGACAAGTTCCTTTGTACCACTCATTCACTAGAATATTTGGTTAGTCAGGAGGTGGAAGCATAGAAAAGTTGAGTGGCCTCTTTCCCAATTCTCTATGCCTTCCATTAGACAAGCTGCTTGTTATTCTGATTATTTTGCTCTGGGTAAAGGAACAGTAATGGTGTTTGTCACTAGCTACTGTAATAGTGCAATAGTGCTTGCAATAATCTAAAGCCACCTGAGAAAATGCTTTGTGCCTAATGATGAAAATTTGCATTGTGTTAACCTTTATCTCTTTTTAATATAACAGGTAAATCATCACTCAGTTGGGGAGACATTACTATCAAAGGAGAATGTAGTCACATGAATGCAGAATGTCATTCACAAAAGAGAGAATTTGAGATAATTTTGGAAGTATCTTAAATTTTCACTCTTGAGTGGTATTTTATTACGCTAAAAATGTATGGTGTAGTAGATTTGTCACTGTTTTTTTTTTTTTAAAGAATGAAATTGGAACCTTATCTTTTTTTTTAATATATTGTTATTGATTTCAGAGAGAGAGAGAGAGAGAAAAACATCAATGATGAGACAGAATCATTGATCGACTGCCTCCTGCATGCCCCCTACAGGAGATCGAGCCCACAACCCAGGCATGTGCCCTTGGTTGGAATCAAACCTGGAACTCTTCAGTCCTTAGGCCAATGCTCTATTCACTGAGCCAAACCAGCTAGGGCTAGACTTGTCATTCTTTACAAAATACATCCTAACATCTTCATTATTGCCACCATAGAAAGTAATTTCTGTCTCACATCCTATATATAAAAGCCTAATATGAAAATTGACCGAATGGCTGAACGACTGGTTGCTATGATGTGCACTGACCACCAGGGGGCAGATGCTCAACGCGGGAGCTGCCCCCAGCCCGCAGGCCCCAGGCCAGCCAAGGCAGGTGCCAGTGGGGACCCCCGGTCGCCCCGCAGATCAGCCCTGTTTGCCGGCCAGGCCTAAGGACCCTACCTGTGCGTAGATTTCGTGCACCAGGTCTCTAGTCTATTAAATAAGGACACACATACCACACAGGATTACCTAAAGATTAAATAAGAATAACAAAGTGCTCAGTGGTTGGCTAGGTTCACTCACTGGTGAAATGACTTGCTCCCAGATTCAACCTTGGGACTTAATTCCTGCCTCCACAGAGTAACAAATCACTTTGTTATGGACCTCACAGGTTGCTTTAGAATAGTAGAACTACAAACTTCACATACTGTGGGTCTTCTGTAATGAATGTTATGCTAGTGATTTAAAACAGCCAAAGGTAAGCCTTTAGGAGATGCATTGGGTATGCATTTTTTAAAATTTTTCTCACTGATGTCCATTGGCAATTCTAACATCCATAAACCTTTTTTTTCCATCACTTTCCACCTAAGTGGCAACATCATTAGTTACTTTATACCTTTTTGTTGAAGCTGTGCTAGACTCCCAGACACTCTCCCCTTTGTCAGATAAAAAGAACATTGTGCACTCGGAAGGATCTAATTCAAACACTATCTCCTCCCTCCCATGTCTCCTGTTGAAATTTAAGCAGATTGTCTAATTTCTCTTTGCTTATTCACTTCCATTTTTAAAAAGGTATTTTAAAGAACATTCTGGCCCTTATTTTATAAAGATAGGATTATTAAGCTAATTCATTATTTCCCTTTGGCATTATTTAAGAAGTGTAGGTTTTTTGAATGTCATTATGTAGACATCCAAAACCACATGTTGAGTCATCTCCAGAATTGGGAAAATACCTGTTTCAGTCCAATTCCATTCTGTTACATATTCATTGGTAGGAAAACCAGCAGTTATTTTGGCCTTTAAACATAAAATTGTATTGATAGGTTTGTCTATTTTCTGTTTAAGAAAGCCATCAATGTCAGTTTTTAATTTTAATCATAGGGGCTAAATCATATTTTTATTTATGGGTAAATGAGAGTCTTTTGATTTAGGTTCTAGATATGTTTTTCCTTTTCATATTAGGTGTTAAGATTTTCATAGAAAATCAACTGTCAATAACCTGTGTTTGTGACACTTGGCGTTAACCATTGGTGACTCACTTTGGTAAATCTCTTGCCTGTGTTAAGCTTTGTTGAAAGAAAGAAAATTATTTGAAATACTTTTCCTTATACAAATCATTAAACAGAAAAGAGGAGAGTGATTCCCTCGTAAATGTTGACAATACAAATATTTTTCACACATATATTAAAAGGAAAGAACCACGGACATTAAATGAGTATATAACTAAAGACACAGTTATATCCAATAGATTCTGTTTCTAATCTTAGCAGACATTGTTGAGGAAGATAACAGTCCAAATCAGACTCTCATGACTTTGTTTCTAGATATGTAATTGAACTTACTATTTAGCCAAATCCAGCTGTTAGTGAGCTGTATTTACATAATAGAATATTAAAGTTCTATATTGTGTTCTTAAGAAACTATTTCTTCAATTGGGAAGGATATTTGTGATTTCAGTTCTATAAACCAGTTAGGGTTCACTGATTTTTGAGAGAAGTAGACTAATTCTGCCATACACTCACTTTGCAATT